GGTACAGCGACGACGAGGAAACCGCCGACCGACTATTAGTAGATGCATATCTTTTTGTCACCACTCGTTATACGGACTTATGGCGTAGCCCTCAAAAGTCCTCGTTGTTCGCGTTTGATCGTTCTCATCGTCGTCGTCGTCGTCGTCGTGGACCATGTGGGCCCCCACGAAGACGCGTTATTAATCGGTCGATGTCAGTGGTTCGACCCCTCATAGAGAACCCATAGGAACCCGTTCGGTAAAAGGGACACAGCGAGGCAAGCAGGGACCGCGCGCGTGCGCGCGCGCGAGTGAGCGGGCGAAGAGTATCGGCCTATACGATGCATGCCACGGTCGCGAAGACGACGAGAGGAGAGCTGGGACGTAAAGGGGGCGACCGTCGGGAGGCGGCGGACCCGGGAGCGGCGGGATGCGCGGGCGAGCGGGGCCAGCGGACCCCAGAAGAATGAGACTCACTTCGTGCATGACCCAAAGAAACCCCCGCTGAGCGACTCGATCCGATCCGCTGATCCCCGACCGCGCTGACGCAGATACCATCTTTCCTTGCACTCCGAATGCTCTCCGGGCGTTTCTTACCGCCCATATACCGCGCTCTCGCGCCGCGTCGAACGGAGGAAGAGCGAGAGATCGAGAGAAAGAGCCAAGGGGAAGGTGGAGAGCAGAGAGCAAGCGCGAGAGGGACGGCAGGAGAAGGGAAGAGAAAGAGGGGCAGAGAGAGAGAGAGAGAGAGAGAGAGAATGAGAGAGTGAGGAGAGGGTGGGATCGCAGGCGAGGGACAGCTATACGACCGCACTGATTTGTCTGCTTATTGTTGCCGTTGCCTCGTTGCTCGTTGTTCCCGTTCGCTCGTGACGATGACGTCGAGTGTCGCGGCCACTCTCGCTGGCGACATCGACGAGAAGGAAACAGCTAGAAGGAGAAAGAGAGAGAGAGAGAGAGAGAGAGAGAGAGAGAGAGAGAACGAAAGCGAAAAAGAGAGCAAAGGAGAAAGAAAGGAGGAGGAGGAGGAGAAGGAGAAAGAGAGAGAGAGAGAGAGAGAGAGAGAGAGAGAGAGAGAGAAAGAGCGGCCGTAACGCACCAAGTGACTCCGGCCTCGACCGGAGTCGCGAGAGTTGGAAGTTTCGGCGCGCGAGGCTCACGGCACGTTTCCCCACGCGGTGACTTCAACGCCGGTGATTTCAACGCCGACGCAGGAGAGACGGCCTCGCACGCGCGAGACCCGTTCTGCGCGGGCGCGCGCTCGCGAATAGGCGCTACTACCTCTCCCGGGCCGATGTAAAATCCATTTAAGGGTGTTTATTTGAGGCCGCTCGGAGAGTATTTCGGCCGAAGGACGTGTCAATGTGACGGCAGCGGCGGCGGTGGCGGCGGCGGCGGCGGCGGCGAGTGCCTCTTAATAACAATCCAATCGCGCGCGCCTTTTGTGATCGAGCCCGATTGGAATTTTTTGTCCCTCCGGATGTACAGCGGATTTCTTTTCATGTTTTTGCCGAGAGAAAGAGATAGAAAGAGAGAGAGGGAGAGGCAGATTTTTTTACCGCGTTTCACTCGCCGTCCGTGCGTGCGCGACTGCGAAACGATATTCAGGAATTTTCTAATTATGTTAATTAGGACCGGCGCGATGGATAACATTGTGACGCAAGAGCAGAGCCAAGGCTGTGCAACGCGACAGGTCCGCATTAACTAACGCTGAATTAGCGAATTATTGTTCTCCCTTCCAGCGCGATTGCATTCTCGAGCATTACAATCTAAGACGGGGGGGCGGGAGGGGGAGCATGAGTTAATTAGAATTACCGTCAACCGTCTGTGGCGGCTGATGCAATCGTTCGCAAATGGTGGGTTCGCAGGAGGCACTTGAGAAGTTGCGGCAGCGAGCAAAGTTTACCCCATTGCGACGAATCAGGGTGACATTCTTCCACGAGCCATTGTTCCCTCCTGCTGCGTTTTTTTTCGTTCTCTTCCTTTTGTTTCCTTTCTCCTCGTCATTATCGACTCGCGCACGTGAGAAATAATTGACAAACAACGCATGTATACATGCTTGTTTGCGAAACGATTTGCGAAACACATGGTCGCCTGATGGTGAAGCGCGATGATAATTTTTCTTTCTCTCCGAGCAAAATTTCTCCGTCGTTTTTGCAAAAATTTCTTCCGATGAAAAGCGCGTTACGTGGTCGCGATTGCGAGTGACTGTTCACGATCTAATCAGTTAGCACGTAAGCCCGTGAATAGCTCGCAGCAACAACCATTTGACACTACCAACCACGAGCGAAAGAAATGTGTTGAAAATGCGCCTCGCGAACCGATAAATCCGCGCGTCGTCGGGAATGAAGAATCGTTTAATACCGTGCGATTAACGTCGATCACCGAGACGGCGAAGCGCGTTATTTACGCGGCGGAGGCGTTCTTGCTGCCTGAAATAAGTGTCGGTTCGTTTCGGCGGGCAATACGTAGCATGCATGGGTGGCGAACGTTTCGCAACAATTCGCGCCGTTATCGTCGTCATTACCGCGCGCGGCCCGATAAGGTCTTATCTCCGCGGATCGTGTGAGCTATGATCGTGCGAACTATTATATTTCGAGTTAACATACGCCACGTAGCCACTTAATACGAACTGTCGATAGCCGCTCGCGCTATTAATGACACGCCAGCCCTCCTATAATTACCGACGACGCGGTGGACCCGCTTCAACGGACTTTGCATAAATTTACCTCGAACTTCGTCAAGAGGTACTCTCCCTCCTTCCGCTCGGTACACGCGAATACATTAGGCAAACGAGACCAGGGGCCCGGGTGGCTCGTTATCAATATCTCTTATCGTCTCGGTTCCTTGCCGCGAGACGCTGTTTGTAACAGTTATTGGTTAAACATTCGCTGACTCGCGAACGATCGCCGCTTTTGCAGTTTGTTCGAAAAACAAGGAAACAGGAAAGAGAAGGAAACAAGAAACATCTTCCCCTCTCTCTCTCTTTCTCTTTCTCTCTCTCTCTCTCTCTCTCTCTCTCTCTCTCTCTCTCTCTCTATCTGTCTGTCTCTTTCTTTTTCTCCTTTTCGTTTTCGGCTATGCAACCTGCACGATTATCAAACTATAAAGCTTCTAAGGCAGCGTAATGTCTCAGTAACGCGGGAGAAACGCAGAAAAAATCTTATCGTCGCGGCGCGAGATCGCCTACGACGACGCGACATGCGTCGATCGTGCGTTGCATAAGTGCACAAGTCCATCCGAACGGAGAGATCAGCTACGTACATCTGGGTTACACGCGATTTACGACGGCTGGCAGCGAGATCTCGCTACGATTTATTTTCACTTAATCCGCTTCTCTCTCTCTCTCTCTCTCTCTCTCTCTCTCTCTCTCTCTCTCTCTCTCTCTCTCTCTCTCTCTCTCTCTCTCTCTCTCTCTCTCTCTCTCTCTCTCTCTCTATCTCTCTCTCTCCCTCGGTGCTGCGAAAGGAAAGCTCTCTCGACTTTCGTTTCGTCATCCCGAAACGTCGTCTCGCCGGCGCGATAGGCGCGCCTAGACATTCGAGAGCAATAATCGATGGTGAACGCTCCATCAATGACAAGGGAGGTCCGACTAATTACTAGGAAGACAGATGCGCGTCTTCGGAATCGCCCGTTACATAAAGCTCCCTGAGAAATATCCGCGTATTTGTTCGTCGACGGGACTATATATATAAGAATCGCCACGGCCGAGGTTACCGGGTGGCCGTAGAAGAAGAACGATTCGCGTCTCTCTTCCGCGAGGGGAGAGTGACTCACGCGGGGAAAGTATTTCGATCGAGTCTTTTCTCTCTCCTTCTCTCTCTCTCTCTCTCTCTCTCTCTCTCTCTCTCTCTCAAGCTCCGAACGGAGCTTGAAAATTGCAACGGAGAATTCGCACAGCTTACGCGAGGGAAGCGCTCGATAAGTATCGCCAGCAAATGTCGCGATTGATTTCGTCGTTATGATGCACCCGAGTCGAAACGCTGCTTCTTCATTAATCCTGCAAATTCCGTCGAACAAACCCGAGTGTGTTATTTTGACGCGTATATAAGCTGAAGCTTCCTTTACGCGTATCTTGTCGTTTTAAATCACGTCGTTTAACGTGTTTAAACGCGTTAAGTGATATATCGAAATGCATCAAATGTGGTGATTTCAGTGTCAAAATAACGTATACGTGTCAAAATAACACACTCGGGTTTGCAGTGCATGGAGAATCTTGAATTAGTTGTGTAGAAGTGTCACGCTATATGTTGTCTCAAGTCGCTGCTGTGAAATGAATCGCTGTTTTCTCCATGTTGAGTCTTCCGGGGAAATATTATAGAATTATTTAACATTCGATTGTCTCAATATTCAGTTGTTACACCGACAATTCTCCCAGGGTATTCTTTATCAATAGTTCGCTCGTCCTTCCCCCTTTCCCTCGCTCCTTCGATACACTGCCTATTGGTAGTCACATAAACCTCGGGCCGCTGACGTGACTGAGAATTTAATGAAATGAGACATGCACAAGTGAGATCGAAAAAGCGACTTTCTCACGAGTCTTCGCATGCGTACTGCGTGACTGCGCGTGCACTACGACGTTTCCTCCGCACATAATTACATCCTCGGGGTCGAACCGAAAGTTTGCGAATTTTTTCAGGTTCTGATCGCAGCGAAGATTCATTCTTCACTCTTCGTTCCCCCCCCCCCCTCCCCGAGACATTTCCCCGAGCGGTAATAATGATCCTTGCGCGAAACGAGAGAGAGAGAGAGAGAGAGAGAGATCCGACGATAAAGAATCTCGCCCAATCGCTGAAGAATTCTTCTCTCCAGGGACGACGCGCGTCCTTCTCGCGACGATCGATATCATCGATTTCGGATCCGAGCCGCGTCGCGCTTCGCTCGAAAACACGAAAGTTCTCCCCTCGGCTCGGGCGTTCCCCTCTCGGCTGACGTTGTATCGTTGTACACACGTCGCGTCCGGCGGTGATGACTCAATCGTCCAGCGGATTCACATTTAATTGTTACATTCTGATTCGCAGGTGCTCGTGAGGGTGTTAGACAAGAACGACGAGGCGCCCACGTGGGACAAAGGCCCGTGGATATTCAACATCTCCGAGGAGGCCGCGCCGAACACCCTGATCGCTATGCTCAAGGCCAAGGATAAAGACACCATAGGCTCTCTGACCTACACCCTGGTACCGAATCATCGGCCCGGCTCGCACGGCAGGTTCGACACCATGGATGACAACTACGGCACGGAGAGTCAGTTTAACCTCGATCCGACCACCGGCCGATTGAGTCTCGCCGAGGCTTTGGACAGAGAAACGAAGGAGAAGTACCTGTTGAGAGTGCGTGCCGACGATGGACTGCAGCACAGAGACATCGTGCTCACCATACAAGTGAGTGCTGCGACGAGATGCAATCGGGCAATTGTGTAATTAAGGGCTAACGCCACGGTTGAGGCCGAAAAATGATATCTAAGTTTCGGCATTTTTTTTTGCAAGTAGAAAAATAAATTTTATTGAAAAATCAAACGCAGGCCTGCGCTTGTACAACTACCGAACTGTACAAACATATTTTTATTCTATTTTCTTCTTCAAAATGGCGGCGTACTGTTCTTCGGAGCTCTTCGGAGACATGTTTTTTTTTTTTTTTTTTTTTTTTTTTTTTTTTTTTTTTTCGTAAAAAACGGTGGGACTTCTAGCTCCGGCCTGGTTGGATCTGAAACAATCGGGCAAAGATTTTTATTATCTACATACATAGAGCCTTTCGAGTACATAGGATTTTAGAGAAATATTAATTTTTCGCAATTTGGCACGTTATTGGAAAGAAAGATTTATTTTCTACACTAAAATTTTGTCAAACAAATGGTTATTGCAAAAAAAGTTTCAAACGTTTCGAAGTGGTTGCTATTGTGTGATCAGATTACCAAGTACATCAAGTTACACGAAGGCGCGTCAAGTTATCAAGGTACACCAAAGTTACTAGTACTTCATAATAGGATTACCGGCTGGAATTATTAGTATTTTATATTGAGGCTATCACATAAATGCTTCGCTCGTTTTCCATTATCGTCTTCCTCGCGTTCCCGAGCGTTTGGTCCAAAGGTGAGAGTGAAAATCCAAAAAGTTGCGGAGTGTGTCTCTGCGCGCGAATAAAATTTGTCGCTTCGTCTCGTATCGCTTCGCGAAGCTGCGCGAGGAGAAATTAGCCGATGCCATTTGCTCGCGCGACCGAATTCCTTCACAAGCGCCGATTATTATTTAACCGCGAGGAATCGCCGATATGAAGCAATAGGTTACAGTTATAGTAGGAAGTCGCCGGTGACCTTTCGGCACGAGGACGTGTCTAATGCATTATCGACTTGACCCCTCGCATCGAGCATTCCGACGGACCAGGAACAATCGGCCGCTCTCTATCTTCGTCCTGACGATCGCGCTCGCCTACCTGCCCGCCTTCCCCCGCAAAGTCTACACAAATGCCATTTTCGATATTTCGTCATGGAGAGAGAGAGAGAGAGAGAGAGAGAGAGAGAGAGAGAAAGAGAGAGAGAGAGAGAGAGAGAGAGAGAGAGAGAGAGAGAGAGAGAGAGAGAGAGAGAGAGAGAGAGAGAGAGAGACGGGGACATTCTTTTGCACCGAGCATGTGCTGGATACGCTAGTTTTATGTTGCTTGAAACCCCAGCCGGCGTGGTATTTGTGGCGTTCAATCGACGGCGTTGCGAAACGCCGTCGCGGTTGATTGTTATTCAAATTGCAGCGAGCGTGCGGAAAAGTCGATCATTGAGCGCAGTCTGAAACGAATCGTCGGCGAGAAATCGTCGCACAAAGTTCCACTCCCGAGAGATTCTCCATAAGCGAATTATTATTATATATTAACGTACTCGCGCGCGGTTCCATCTCGCTTTATCGTTACCAAATCGATCTTGAAAATCAAGCGTCCACGTCGGAAACCTGTAGCCTTCAACGTCGAGGTCGGGAAGTATCCACGTGTCCGTAAATAGCCCTAATTCTAAGCACGCCATCGTGGAATCACGCGGCCCGCCTTATAATTCATTACGCGGTCTCGCTGAAGCGATTCGCGGCGATAAAAAACGCGAAGCCGGATAGACTGTTTAACGAAGGTCCGGTCCGGGTCGTGCCGTGCCGTGCCTTTCGGAGACAATCGCAAAAATGATCCTTATGACGTGTAATGGTCGGAATTCCTTTAAGAACCTCGCGAGCTTTGCCTACCTTTCGCTCACTCACTCACTCGCTCGCTATTCTATCCGGATCCCTCTCCCGCAGGAAAGGAGAGGAATGCCAGACCCGATCATAGCTCGGCGGTTTCGGGGCCCCGTGAAAGAGGGGCCGCTATTGCCCGACAGTTGCGGAATCTGCCCCTTCTGGCCTCTTATATCTGGTCCTCTTGTCCTGTCAGCTCCCCCCCTCTCTCTATCTCTCTCTCTCTCTCTCTCTCTCGTCTCGACGCTATTTCGCGTTTCTCTCGCTAACCTCAGGCGAGCGATTCTCCCTCCTCTCTCTCTTTCCCGACTGATCTCCTCGGGCCCCTCCGGGGAGAGTCTCTTTTTCACCTCCTCCTTCGATTCCTCTCCTCGATTCTTATCTTCGTCGCGCCGTTCTCGTTCGGAAGAGAAGAAGGGTAAGACACGTGGCGTGTCGGCAGTGTCGCTGCACAAAATAACACACCCAGCACTCGAAGAGAGAAAGAGAGAGAGGGGGGAGGGAGGGAGGGAGAGGGGGAGAGAGAGAGAGAGAGAGAGAGAGAGAGAGAGAGAGAGAGAGAGAGAGAGAGAGTACTGTCTCCGCGTAGAGTCATTTTGAACAAGTACCTCGGCTCGATGAGTATCGAGTCTGTCCTTGAGATTCCTCGCGAGATTCTCATATCGCGGCCGTCGCGTCGGATTTACGCGCGAGTCGAATACCGCGAGGACGCTCGGGCCGCGCGACGGCGCCGGGCGTCGTGCACGAAGGAATCTCGCTCGGCTCACCTCCGACTTACTCCGGAGCCAGCGGGATCCGTCGTGCCGCTACCTTGTTTCCGGCTCGGCCATCGTGCGATCATCATCACAGGATACTCCGTGTAGCCGGATAACAGCGGTGCGAGCGCGCTTCTGCCGTTGCTTCGTCCGCGACATGTCTCGCTCGCGGAATCTGGGCCCCGATCGTTCCTCCACCACCTCCGGCCCCCGCGTGAGTCCCGGTCCCTTGGTCTCCCGTACGGGCTCAAAGAGTCTCTCTTCCTCTCTCTCTCTCTCTCTCTCTCTCTCTCTCTCTCTCTCTCTCTCTCTCTCTCTCTCTTGCGTCTCTCGACCTCCTCCACCCCGTCGTCAGCAACCCTTTTTCTTCGTCTTCTCCCTTTCGCTGGCCCCTCGTCATCCGCCGCCGCGTCTCCGGATACCGTCGCTTTTTGCAAACGTCTCCGGAGTCCTCCTTAATCAAACCGTGCCCACCTTCGCCGCTTGCACGCCGGTACCGCGCCGGTACCGGCGATTTCGGAAACGCTCCCCGAGAACACGCTCGGATTAAACCCTCGACGCGGAGACGCGGTTCGCGCGACTCGGCAATGTCTCTTCTGCCTCTTTCCCCGCTGTCGTTGCGTCGCCGAGCATCAGCGAGCATCGAGCGATCGTCAACAGACACTTCCAATCCGTTCGAAGCCGTCGAAGCACGGACGTTTCGTTGGACAAACGATGAGAGGAGATAATATGCAAAGCCGCTATCATGATGTCTTGTTTCGGCTCGATTTACTGACAGATAAATTAAATTAAATTGGCCCCGCCACGATAGGAGCCGCGCTCTCGCGCTCATCCGAAAGGGGCCGCTATACGGGAATAATGTAATTTACATACTTCTTTTTCTCTCTCTCTCTCTCTCTCTCTCTCTCGCCGTATGTGCACACATGTGTGCGTACAACGGGCGTGTGGGTGTGACGTCATTGTATCGTGCGTTGTTAAATTATCGCGCGTGTTTGTCTTTCGGGAACGGCGCGAGCAAGCGTTAGAAAGCGGCCCGCCGCTCGTTTCGATTTGACAAACGCGCGAAAAATGCAAATCCTCCCCCGCCTCCCAACCTGCCGTGCGCGAAAATGTCAATCCGCCGTTCGGTCTCGACTCGCGCGCGCGCGACGAAATTCTCGAGCGATAAAAAGGAAGAAAAACGGCCGCGGGAATTGAGGTATCCGAATCGTTAATCGCCGTGTTAATCGCCTCTCGTTGTTGCCGGAGTGGGAGGGAGGGGGAGAGAGAGAGAGAGAGAGAGAGAGAGAGAGAGAGAGAGAGAGAGAAGACAAATATACGTCGGAGGAACGCGCCGAGACACGTAGCAAAAATTCTGTTTAGCGCTATTTATTATTCGTCCCTTCTTACCTCGATCGCCGAGAGAGGGAGAGAGAGAGAGAGAGAGAGAGAGAGAAAGAGAGAGAGAGAGAGAGAGAGAGAGAGAGAGAGAGAGAGAGAGAGAGAGAGAGAGAGAGAGAGAGAGAGAGAGAGAGAGAGAGAGAGAGAGAGAGAGTCGTCCTTTTTATCCCTGCGCGTCCTGCGTTTCATCGTCGCGGCGATCGACCACAATGAGCGCATTGTTACATGGATAAATAGCCCGCGGGGCCTGAGAATATTTTCTCGTGCTGTGGGACTACCGCGGGAGAGAAAGAGAGAAAAAGGGAGAGAAAGAGAGAGACTGGGCACAATAATTCGAAGAGGCGAATGAGGCGAGCGAGAGTGGCGCGAATATTTCCGGTGGCGGCGTGTTTACTCAAGAATGACGTCGAGTGCGCGGATTCAAGCCACCGGCCGATTTTATTTGCCGAGTGTTTATTTTAAGATCGCACGTACGGTTTCCGGGTCTATTAAGAGGCGCGCGTGTACGCGCTCGCTCGACACGACCGTAAATCTTTTCTACGCTTTCGCGCGGAGAACGGAGGGACGCGAAGGGCGCGGACGCGCTCGAAATGAAAGCAACTCGCCTCGCCGGGAGATTGTTCGCGGCTTTGAGACGTGGCTCCTCGGTGAAGAAGGGGGAAAAAGTTCCCGTTCCCGGAAAGGAAATTCGTGGCGCGATGGAGATGGGCGTTTCGAAACGTCTCAAGTCTTACGCACGGGAAAAGATCTCTCGATCTTCGTGTAACGGAGTGTGCTGCCGCTGGCGGGGCCCGGACGAAAAGTCGATGACGAGGAACGATATATCTCTGTTGTCGCTGCCGAAGACATTCGTCCGAACATTCGGCTGCGTTGAAGCACATTGCGCGGATAACCGAGAACGGAGATCTTCTTCGGGAATTTCTCGACAAGCGAGTTCTTGCCCAGTTCTCTTCCGGGCATCTCTTCCTGGAAAATCGATCGTCGCGCCGCCGCCAGTCGAGTTTCCTCTCCCATACGCCTCGCCCTACGTTTGGCGATTCATCAATCTCACCCTCACGTCATTAGGGGAAGCGAGGCGAGGCGAGGCGAGGCGAGGCGAGGCGGTACGTTGATTGCATTGATAAAAAAACGTCGAAAATCGTTTCCAGGTCACCGACACCAACGACAACGCGCCGACCTTCCAGAGCACGGCCTACTCGTTCGACGTCCCGGAGGACGTGCTGAGGGGTAGCCGCGTCGGCCAGATCGTCGCGACGGACGCCGATGCCGAGGGACCCAACAGTCAACTGAGCTACGTGCTGATCTCCGACTGGGCGAACGACGTGTTCTCGTTGAACCCCAACACCGGCGTGTTCACGCTCACCGCGAGCCTCGACTACGAGCAGGTATACTAGGCACATGAATCAAAGCGACGATCCTCCTTCACTTCCTCTTATGTTCTTTTCGTTTAATCTTACCGTGTCGCTCTTACACGAGCATTCAGAGGAATGCTCGTCGTAAAGGGGTGCGCCGGGAATTCAGCCGAAAAGAGGCTGAAGAGTAGTCCGAGCTGAAGTTCCGTTTAGATCAACTCGGAACTAAAGAACGCGCGCGCGCGCGCGCGTATCCGTTAAAACGTGTCGGAGCAAGCCCGAGGCAGCGATTACAACCACGAACACGCCTCTCTCCACATTCAAGCCGGCGCACAGCCATTATATTAGCCGCGGAGGGCAGCGCTAGAATTTAGGGTTTTAACGGTAGAACACAGAGTCGGACAGATCGATGAACGGACACAGTCTCTATAATGGCGGTCCGCCGCTGCATTTCGGAGACAAGCCATACTTAGACTCCCGGCCGCGTACGCTTTACGAACCGACGCGCGCAGTAGCGTAAAATCGTAAACCCGCGATGGAACGCGAAAGCCCAGAACGATCCTCTTTAAACGAGCTAGAGAAGAGGAGAGGACGAAGAGCGAGGAACAGTCTTTTCTCACGTGGCTCTGATCGTGGAGAATGACGAGAGGATGCGATAATTTCGCGAGAGAGGGAAAAAGTGAGAGAGAGAGAGAGAGAGAGAGAGAGAGAGAGAGAGAGAGAGAGAGAGAGAGAGAGAGAGAGAGAGAGAGAGAGAGAGAGAGAGAGAGAGAGGCGCGTCTCCGTTCCTCACCTGTCTAAGACGAAAGATGTAATTTGCCATCTCATCGGATCGCCGACTAATACAGCGCGCGCCCTGAAGATCTGCCGCGAACAATACACACTCCGAGGATTTGTTCGCACATTAAGCGATATCTTTGCATCGTGTTTTATCATTAAAGCGTAATCACGCTTACCTCTCATCCGGGCTCGCCACGCTTGTCGTTTGTCTTGTTCCGCGTGAAGTTTCCGACGGCGATGTTGAGATAATCGCGATAATAACGACGCTATCGACGTTTTTCGCCTGCCCTGTTTCTCTTCTTCGCGTACGCTGGCTACGCCACTGTTTTACGCTCTCTTACGACACGCATGTGAGAGCACGGCGGGGGAGCGCGTTAGTCGCGCGGCTCCTATCGAGAAGGACTAGGAAGAGTGGGGGGGAGGGGGAGGGAGACGCGAGAGGAAGAGGATAAGGGTAGCTTATAGAACCCTTCATCAACGTAATGCCCTTCCAGACCCACGTTCCGGACAACGTCATTACGCAGCCATGAAACGCGTCGTACATGTGTATGCGAAAGCGCATCGGAAACAAAGAAATAGCACGGTGCCGCGGCCGAAACTGACATTTTAGTCCTTGCAAAGCGGTTAAGTGCGGGTCTTAAGAGGACCTGTTACCGGACGATTTATAACAGGGCCGAACGCAGGTTAATCCTCGCGCAGTTTCGCCGCACCGAAGGAGGAGAATCTCGCCCCTGCGTCCACCTATTCTTCGTGCGTTTCTTCCCTTTTCTCTGCTCGTCCTTAAAAATCAGCCTGGTTTTTAACGGAATCGTAAAACCAATCGCTGTAACTCTTCGTTGTGTAACGCTTTGAGAAAATGAAAAAATCCCGCCCGTCGAAACGCATGAATACCCTCGTCGAGGGAACTTCCTCGATTTCCTCGGTCTAGCCGGCGAGAGCCGTCTTCTCGCCAAGTCTTCCGCCGACTCAACGATAGACGATTGCGTGAGAACAATGATGAGGGTGTTAAGGGTGACCGATGTGTCTTCTCATGCACCAGATGCAACACTACATCCTGGTGGTGCAAGCGACGGACGGCGGCATGCCGCCGCTGTCATCCACGGTCACGGTGTACTGCAACGTCGTCGATCTGAACGACAATGCGCCGATCTTCGAGGCTGGTCCGCTCGCCGCCGAGATCATGGAGAACGCGACCATCGGCACCCCGGTGCTCACCGTGACCGCCCAGGATCTGGACTCCGGCGACAACGGCAGGGTGGTTTATGCCGTCGTCGGCGGCGACGACGACGGTGACTTCGTCGTGGCGTCCAACGGCACCCTCCTCACGCATCGACTGCTCAATCGTGAACGTAAGCCGCTGTACAACCTGGTGTTGAGCGCCACCGACAGCCCGTTGCCACCCGCTCGGCCGCTCTCCTCCACGGTGCAGGTGAGTCTTGGGAATCTGCTAACTTCGAACTTGAAGGAAGGTCTCCGCCGAGACCCTGACAAAAATATTTCACCGTTTTTACTCCTCAAAAATCGGTTTTGACAGTAAATTCAACTCAGCGAGTATGACACCGAGTTTTTAGGTCGGAAAGTCGGCATTTTTAATTAAACAGTGAGCGGAAAACGGATTGTCGAGTAATAAAACCGAATATATCCGAGTAGTAAAAACGTATCATAAAGTGTATTTTTAAGCAGATTGCCCGTCTGTACTCTTTTTTCCAATCTTTCTTCAGCTGCGAGTAACAGCACGTTAATACGTACATTTTTACTCAATTTATTTCAATGTCCTGAGTAAAAGAGATACGTATTAACGTGCAGCCACTTATCAGCTGAAAAAAGAGTGTTAAAGACGAATAATCTGCTTAAAAATACTCATGCATATTCGCGTATACTCGTCACAATTTTTCGTTCTATACTCGCTGTACGGGCTTGAGAGTGCAAAAAACGGACATAAGAATGAAGAAACGGGTAAAAAATGGGCTAAAACGGGCCAAAAACGGGCTAAAAACGGGCAATATGAGGATAAAAACGGTGAAATATTTTTGTAAGGAGACTTTCGCCTCTTCGCTGCTGCACTCGTATATAATTATGAAAAGCGAAAAATCGTACAAATATTTCGTTCACGTTGACGTTGAAGGGAATTGAGCCTCGATGCAGTTGCGGTTGAGCAGCGGAAGCTTTGAAGACTACTTCGTCATTAACGTAATCATTTTGAATTAGTCTTCGCTGAGGTGTCTGCCTCTCGCAGAGTCTGCTTCACGCCAAGTTACCGCTGCGAACGTTTGTTCCTGAATTTTGTTCATAATTTTGATCCCGAGTTTCGATGTTGAAGAACACGACGTTTCGTCGTTGACTCACCTTGCGAAAACTTCGCTCGACACTTGCGTGTTCGTCGACGCTTCGACGTGCTTCGTAGACAGGAAGTTCCAAAATTCTCGTCGAGGCGCGCGCGATCGAATTTCCGCGGAAGGAAGTAGACGTGAGAGTCGGCCGAAGACCTCGTAATGGGAGCCGGTGTCGATGACAGCTGCTCTTCCTACCGAATTTCGAAGCAGCCACATTGTGTTACCCACGTATTAACCCTCGTGCGACAGGTGACGGTGGTGTTGTTGGACGTGAACGACATGTCGCCGGAGTTCATATCACCTACGAAGATATCGATAATCGAGAACGCGCCGAGCAACACGGTGGTGATGTCGATCAAGGCCGTCGACCGGGACGAAGGTCGAAACGGATACGTGGAGTATTCGCTGGAGAACGACAGTCTGCCGTTCACGTTGGGCTCGGTGGACGGGCTGCTGCGTGTCTCCGGGCCGTTGGACCGCGAACAGACGTCGAACTACACCCTGCAGGTCATCGCCAAGGATCGCGGCGACCCGCCGAGGTCGTCGTCGATCACCGTCACCGTCACGGTGCTCGACGAGAACGACAACTCGCCGGTGTTCGATCCGAAGCAATACTCCGCCACCGTCGCCGAGAACGCCAGCATCGGCGCCAGCGTGCTCCAGGTCAGTACTATCCACACGAATAGCGATTCTCTCCTCGTAGCGACTTGCAGCTGCAAAATGCTCTCGTCCCTCATTCGCGAGTTTGTCTTGATGGATTTGGAATCCGGCACGACTCGTCGTCTTATCGCAACTGAATCGTTCATTTCTTCAGGTGTCGGCGATGGATCGCGACGAAGGCGCGAACGGCAGGGTGCGTTACAGCATCGCGAAGGGCGACGACAACCGGGACTTCACGATCTCGGAGGACGGCGGGGTGATCCGGGTGGCGAAGAACCTCAACTTCGAGCGCAAGCCCAGGTATTACCTGACCATCCACGGCGACGACTGCGCAGCGGAGGTCGGTGAGAAATCCCGAAGCGACACCGCTCAAGTCACCATCACCGTGCTGGACATCAACGACAACGCGCCGGTCTTTCTCGACTCGCCTTACATCGCGCACGTTATGGAGAACATGGTGCCACCGGGCGGTTTCGTCATACAGGTGAGCAAGAGTGTACATTTCGGAGTTTTTATTTTTTATATACCTGCTGAAGCGTCGCAAAAACGGACGAACGAAGCCGAATTACTTCGCGACCAAGTCAATCGCTCGGTTTCCTTCTTGTTCTTACTCGCACGCAATCGAACTTGTTTCACAATGACACCTTACTTTTTGACAACGATCATCGTTCTTTCTCGTCTGCCTGCTCAAGGTCAAGGCATACGACGCGGACACGCCGCCGTACAACGACCAGGTACGCTATTTCCTCAAGGAGGGCGACACGGATTTATTTCGCATAAACGCCAGCACCGGTGACATATTTCTCCTCCGGCCGTTGGACAGGGAGGTGATGTCCGAGTACACGCTCACTCTAGTGGCCATGGACACCGGTGAGTTGACTCGCTCATTAACACTCGGTCGTATCCGTGAAGCCGTCACGCAGCGGACGCTGGCTGGTACTCCGTTGGGAACGGGGAACGAGCGGCGGCGCGGCCGCGACGACGAGGATCGCGAGTTCGTCGAGAACTGTAAAGCCAGATGATACATGATGATAACGAAATACCATCCTCGTTAACTAACCGCGGCCTGATTGCCATTGCCCACGGCCGCCGCTCGGCGCGTCGAGACGCATTGCCGAATCACGCTCTCGCGATCGTCTCGCGTCTCGTCTCCTCGCTCCATCGTCGTCGATCGTCGAATTGATCGACGATCCGGCGAAATGTCATCCCGGCCGGCCAGCCAGCCGCCCGGCCGGGATCCGCAGCACATAGACGAGAGAGACGATAGACGATGTACGCGGTGGGTTTAAGTAATGAGCGGTAATATACAAATTGGATATAAATTTGTGGGTTGTTCGATGAGATTCTTTAAGCGGTGGGCAGTTCCTCCCTCTTAAGCCTTTTTTCTCCTTCCTTCCTCTTAGAAGCCGGTAGTCCTCCCCCGGTCCCTCCCCAGCCTTCACCCCCGATCTTCCTTCCCCCCTTTCCTTTCTGACCAGCCCCCTCCCCGCTCTCGGTCGGTGGCTCGATGGCCCAATCGGTCCCCGGCGAGGTAGACAAGCCTGCGGAGTTATGACGCGCGATTATGATAATCGGTCTCGAATGCCTTCCTCCCTGCCTCGACGCTGCTCTGTCCTCTTCCCCCTCCCGCCGGTCCCCGTCCGTCCGTCCGTCCGTCCGTTCGTCCGTCCGTCCGTCGGAGCGACCGACCGACCGACCGACCGACCGCGGGCCTTATTCCACACACTCCCCCTTCCCACACTTCGCGGTCTCTTCCATCTCCTCCACCTTACCCTTGCTCTCGCCGCTGAGACCCTGCGCGCGCGCGCGCGTGTTTCGGGGCCTCACTCCCACTTCGTGCTCCTTTTCGTCGGAGAATGAGAAAGAGAGAAGGAGCGAAGGAGAGGAGAGAGAGAGAGAGAGAGAGAGAGAGAGAGAGAGAGAGAGAGAGAGAGAGACTTGCGTCTTTTGGGTCCCCGCCTGTATGCGCCCGCACATTATATTCTACTTTATTCATACAGCGCGGCTGTCACGCGCGTACGCACGCACGCACGCACGCCACGCACGCACGCACGCACGCACGCACGCACGCACGGCACGCCACGCACGCACGCACGCACGCCACGCACGCACGCACGCACGCACGCACGCACGCACGCACGCACGCACGCACGCACGCACGCACGCACGCACGCACGCACGCACGCCACGCACGCACGCACGCACGCACGCACGCACGCACGCACGCACGCACGCACGCACGCACGCACGCACGCACGCCACGCACGCACGCACGCACGCACGCACGCACGCCACGCACGCACGCACGCACGCACGCACGCACGCACGCACGCACGCACGCACGCACGCACGCACGCACGCACGCACGCACGCACGCACGCACGCACGCACGCACGCACCGCACGCACGCACGCACGCACGCCACGCACGCACGCACGCACGCACGCCCCACGCACGCACGCACGCACGTACGCATTTTCGTATCGAGGTGCGTATTTCTGTCCCGACATGCGCATCGGCGAGATGATCGCGGGACCTTGTGACCTCTTGCAGCGGGGACTGACGCGGAACGGGAAGCTTCCAGCGGAAAGTACGATGCGTAGGCTACTGTACGTCTCTCGGAGCTCTCCTCGCGATTCCCCTTGCGCGACAAGCGGGAAGTGTGCTTCATATCGGTCGTTTTTGTTATTTAATTTCACACTGACCTCTGCCCCTCCTCCTCTCGTCGCTTCCCGGTCGCGTGCTACGTTCGCGTTTGCAACGCTAGTTCGTATCCGGGAGACCGGTGGTTTCCCTGGAGATCGATATTCCCGGTCTCTCGGCCGAGATCTCCTTCTCTCTCTCTCTCTCTCTCTCTCTCTCTCTCTCTCTCTCTCTCTCTCTCTCTCTCTCTCTCTCTCTCTCTCTCTCTCTCTCTCTCTCTCTCTCTCTCTCTCTCTCTCCCCCCCTCCCCCCTCTCTCTCTCCTCTCTCTCTCTCTCCCCTCTCTCTCTCTCCCTCTCCCCTCTCTCTCTCTCTCTCTCTCTCTCTCTGCCGATGGAGATCGCGGCGGTAACAGCGAGTAAGTCGCTTCATTACCATCATTAGGCAGTACGCAAATTACGCGATCACTCGTTATGTGCAAAGTGGGCCATTTCTTCTGATCTGTGAACCCCTGGGAACTGGACGCATGCCCTGGTCCACAGCATCGTGAGGGGGCGATTGTTGACCGCGTGTCCTCTTTCTCTCTCTCTCTCTCTCTCTCTCTCTCTCTCTCTCTGTCGCTCCTCCACTTGCGCGCCTTTCATTTTCCGCCACAGCTTTCGTCGCGAGCGCAATTATCACCGGGCACGCGTTTCCACCCCTCGTTCTCCGGTTTCGTCGCACCATCGCGCCACCGTCGCGAAGACGTCCGGATGAATTGCCGGCTCTGCGCGCACCGAGCGCGTTCGCTCGTGTGGAGCCACGATGGATGATGATTCATCCGCCTTGGAATTCGATCGAGACGGATCGAGCCGCAATACGATCGTCGATTATTTTTCCACGTCATCGTCTTACGGTACACGCGTTTTTCCGGCGCGGCGTGGCTCACCGGCCGGAGCATCCGCGCCGGTGTATCCGGGAAAAGCGCGGCGTTCTTGCCGCGGTCTTTATACATCCTGCGCTATCTTACTGGATATTTGTCTAGGATATGATAAATTTATATATATATATATATATATATATATATACGGTTTCAATCTCTCAGCCTCCGTTCCCTCTCCGTCCTCTCCCCTCAGTCCTCCTCTTCCTCTCTCGCATTCTCTGTCTATCTCTCCCTCCTCCTTTCTCTCGTTCCTCGGGAACTCCCCGCGTGATTAAACGGCGTACGTCCAATGCAGGCGCGTGGCCCTGGGCTACGCCAACGCTCACCATATATATGTACCCGACTATATACCCCCCTTGTACCTGGTGTATACACCCGATGCACAATCAGAGAAATCGGGTCCCCCCTCCTTTTCCTCCTCCTCTTCCTCCTCCTCCTCCATCTCCTCCTTCTCCTCCTCCTCCTCCTCCTCCTCCTCCTCCTCCTCCTCCTCCTCCTCCTCCTCCTCCTCCTCCTCCTCCTCCTTCTCCTCCTCCTCCTCCTCCTCCTGCTCGTGCTCCACCGTGGGGTCGCCGCCAGAGAGTAATGGTGCGTTTTAGGCGGCGCAATTAAGCCTCGCGGAGAGCCTCGCAGGGAGACGTTGACTTTTCCACCAACACGCGCACGCTCGCGCTAACGTCGTTATTCCTGGCGCCTCAATCCGTAAATCATACGCGGTAGCACAATGGCATCGGAGATCCGGGCAACGTGTCATGTCTAAATTACACGCGTCGACCGCTTGTTACTTGCCCGTCGCGCCGCGCGCCGCGTGGCCTCGGACTTCCGCGACTTGGAAAAGTCCTTTTCCCACCGCGAGTCCGGTCACTTCTCGCCAACCTCCTTGGGGACGATTCCGAGGGAATATCGCTTGAAAATGAATTGATCTGTCGTTCGAGCCCCTCTCCTCCTCCCTCTCTCTCTCTCTTTCTCTCTCTCTCCTTCGCCGTTCATCTCGCGATGATCCGCGAAGATTGTCGATGGAAGCGACGTATATCGCTCGTTAAAAGTGTATTCCGCGGTCCGGCACACCGACGAGCTCTAAATCACTCTCTCGGTGGCTGAGAGAGCTAGAGCGAGCGACGCGCCGCCCTACAATAATATTCTGTATAAAATTATAGCCCCGATTACCATCCGCGCGGACCGATTTAAACCGTCATAAACGAGCCGCGAGGCGGGCCGTAAATTTCGCGGAATAATCGCGCCACTGACCCAACTACGGTTGGCGCGCGTTACGGTTCGGGATGGCGATAAAAGCGCGACGAGCTCTAGCCGAGCTAGAGTGACAGTATCGGCGACGCATCGACGACGGCGACGGCGTCGGCGACGGCTATAGTCGACTCTTTATGGTATGGTCCCCGTGGACCGCGTGGTTGACATTTCGCTCTGCTTGAAAATTCGCAGGCTCGCCGCCTCTCACCGGCTCGGGCATCGTCAAGATCATCGTTCTCGACGTGAACGATCACAGTCCAGAGTTCGCCAGGCAGAACTACAAGGCCACCATGCTGGAGAACATGCCCGCCGGTACGTGGGTCACCAAGCTGCACGCCACGGATAAGGACGAAGGACTCAACGCGAAGATCAGGTGGGTGTCCTGCGCGCGATGTGTTGACGCGACATCAGAAGGGAAAATGTCTGAAGGGTGTGCGAGATCTAAGGGATCGTCCATTAATCACGTGATATATTTTTCGGCGTTTTTTTACCCTCCCCCTCACTCCCTTGCGTGATTTTAAGTGATATCATGACTAACCCCTCCGTCCTATCATGTGATTTATTAATGTCGTTTTATTAATAAGAAATTCACGTATAAATACATAAATATATATTTATTTTATATATTATATAATTTTATATAAATTTGCCATAAATGAATATATACCATATATATATATATATATATTATAACATGTTAATTTTAATAAAAATTATATTTTTTCAGTCCATGGTATATGCATACTTTTTTCAATAGTAAATAATAATAGTAATAGTAAATAATAACAATAGTCGCATCGTAAAAACGTCAGTTGGTATCGAAGAATTAGCTTTCGCAAAAAAATACACGTGATATTTCGTATCACCTCCCTTCTCCGTCGTGATCATCCGTGATGTTTTCATGGACTCCCCTCTACCCCCTTAACCTCACGTGATTAATGAACGGCGCCTAAGGAGGAAATCGCCGAAGGTGTTGTTGACGTATCCGAAAAATCTGAATGCACAATTGTAAAGAGTGTAAAATACCGTGAAACCTTCCACCGTTTCCTTGCAAGTAGGAGAAGTGAGAGAAGGGGGAGAAGATTCTTCAAGGTAGAGAACGTCGATCATGCGCTAAATCGTGATCTTGTGGACTTCTCGAGCAGGTACAGTCTATTCGGGGACAAGGTGGAGCGTTTCTACGTGGATCCCGACACGGGGGATGTATCCACCATGATGCCGTTGGACCGTGAACAGACGGCTGTGTATCATCTCACCCTGTTGGCGCAGGACTCGAGCCCGACGGAGAGAGCTACCGCCGTTAAACTGACGATCTACGTGCAGGACGTGAACGACAACGCACCCCATTTCTCGAGTCCTCGGTACACGGCATACCTTCCGACCGGGACGCACCTCGGTGAGTGTGATGGAGTTCAAGCCGTTTGCTCTCGGCAACCTCCGATTAAGCTAGTCGATGAGTAATCGGCAACCGACGAGCGAGAAGTGGCAAGCATTTTAGCGTCGATCATTGATGATCACCGTGGTAGTCGACGCGGCGTTAATTATTTCGATCCATTTCAACAAAATGCACAGCAAGTAACACTCGACTGAGCAAGAGACAGTGAATTGAAGCTGTCGATTAGACTAATCGGAGTTTGGTGAAAGTCACCCTTGTGGAGCGCCCATTAGAGAGAGAGCGCTAATTGAGTCCGCTGGGGAGTATTTCCGCTAATTAAATCCCGCTGACGCCGAGTTTCTCTTTCTCCCGTTCGCAGGTAGCTTCGTGTTCGGCGCGAAAGCGGTCGACGACGACGACGGCGAGAACTCGCGGATCGTTTACCGGCTTCTAGGTCAAGACGCCAAGCGGTTCACTATCGACTTCGACAACGGCGTTATACGCGCCGCCGAGGAAATGATAGACGAGCAGATCACTTATCATCTGCAAATACAAGCGTCCGATTGCGGAGATAAGCCCCAGCACGTCACCGCCGACCTGGTGATACATCTGTGGCAGCGACATTTGTTCCCCAACTTTCACACGAACTTCACCACCAAGTTCACGCTATCCGAGGATGTGCCGGAAGGCACGCTGATCACCAAGCTAAGCGCGAGCACGCCGAAGAGCGGATCAGTCAGTAATCTAGTCTACGGTATAGCCGGCGGGAACATCGGAGACGCCTTGAGAATCGATTCTCACTCCGGCGAGGTAATTACGGCCGGACTCACCTGAAGGGAACCTACTTGGATGAAATAATCAAAATTAAGAGAAATACTTCTCTCTGTATTAATCCGGAAAACATCTCAAGTAACGGTAACATTGCTGTTGTAACATTAATGTTGCTGTTGATGTGATGTTACTGTTACTCGATATTTATTTGAAGAACTTACGGAGAGAGATATCTATTCATCTAAGAAGCATTCAAACAAATTTGCTCGAAACATTTGACTCGATTTTGCTGCGATTTTAATATCACGCTAACGTCAGCTGCTAATATCAAAAAGATGTAATTACTAATATCGTTATTAACGCCGCGGAATTTTGTTACTCAGGTCGTGGTGGCTTCTGGTTTCGATTACGAGATAGCTTCGTTTTACGAGATCTGGATTGAGGTGCGTGACTCGGACCTACCCGCGCTACGTAGCGTCCTCGAGCTGCAGGTGAACGTCACCGACGCGAACGATAACGCACCGGTGATGGAGGCGGCGATTTACAACGCCACCGTGCTGGAGAACGAGTATCCACCGTTGCCGGTCGTCAAAATATCCGCGAAGGATCGCGATTCCGGAGATAACGGCCAGGTCACTTATTACCTGGTCAACAACTTCCACGAAACCTTCGTCATCGACATTAGCACTGGGCAAATCGATACCAACGCCAGGTTGGATCGTGAAGAGGTAACAGTAACCGGGCCATTGTAACTACTGTTGTGATTGATTAACTGTACTTGCGTAATCAATTAGTCAAGTTGGTTAATTCGAAATATAATTCATCTCTCTGAAGATATCTCATGTCACAATCACTAAACCGTAAACTCAATCCACAATGAATGTCTTGGATTTCAGATCGCGTCTTACGAGTTAATCGTGGAGGCTCGCGATCATGGCCACCCTCACCTGACTGGCACTACGACGGTGCTGGTGACCGTGTTGGACAAGAACGACAATCCACCGCATTTCACACGCCTGTTCAGCGTCAATGTGACGGAGAACTCGGAAATCGGCACGTTCGTCATACGCATCACCAGCAGCGACCTGGACATTGGCCAAAACGCGAACGTCAGCTATAGCTTTACCTACAACCCAGGAAGAAAGTTCTCCATCGACGCCCTCAGCGGAAACGTTACCGTGGCTGGCCACCTCGACAGAGAAGAGCAAGACGAGTACTTGCTGAAGGTAAGCTGCGCAATTTCTCGCCCTCACATTTTAACAAACTTGAGACTACTCCACACCATTCATCGTAGATCGTAGCGGTGGACGGTGCGTGGCGAGCGGAGACCGCTCTAACGATCACAATTCAGGACCAAAACGACAACTTCCCCGAGTTCGACGAGACCACCTATCGCTTTCACTTCCCCGAGCTTCAGCCAGCGATGGCTCACGTCGGTCAAGTCACAGCGATCGATCGCGACAAGCAAGGTCCGAACTCAGCCATATCCTACAGCCTGTTGCAACCCTCCGACCTCTTCACCGTCGACCCGGCGACAGGAGACGTCTTTAGCAAGCGTACCCTGCGCTACAAGCACACTCACCGACCGTCTTCGCCGGAGAACTTGTACTCGTTGACAATAGTGGCGACCGACAACGGTAAGCCACCGATGTCCTCGCGCTCATTGGTCTACGTGAGTGTGGTGGACGCGAACAACAACGCACCCCGCTTCGAGCAAAGGTCCTACTTGTCGCCGGTGCCGGAGAACTACGGTGTGAACAAGCGCATCACCCAGCTGATCGCCCGCGACGACGCCGACTTCGGCGTGAACGCCGAGATAGATTACTCTCTGGTGAGCGTAAACGGCAGCGACCTGTTCTCCATCGAAGAACGAAACGGCTGGTTATACGTACGCAAGAGCCTCCACGGCATCGCCGTTGGTACGGTATTCTTGCTGACAGCGGTCGCCACCGACCGGGGTGTACCGCCGCAGAAGGACGAGGTCACGTTGACGTTGGTGATCTCCGGGGAGAATCGGCATGCGCCTATGGCGACACGGTGAGATCCGAGCCGGTGAACACTACCATCTTGACGGTGAGCGCCGTGGATGGCGACAGTGGGCCGAACGGTATGGTCCGCTACAAGATCTCCGCTGGAAATGAGAGGAACGAGTTCTTCGTGCACTCCATCACGGGCGCGGTCACCATCCTGGAGCCTCTCGATTATGACATGGTGCAAGAGTATCGCTTGAATATCACCGCCACCGACCTGGGTTTCGAGCCGCGGCAGGCTGTCGCTACTTTAACCGTGAATGTCTCCGACATCAACGACAACCCGCCGACCTTCAATCAAAGCGTCTACCACGCGTATTTGCCGGAGAACTCGCCGCTAGACAGTTTCGTCTACAAGGTATGTTCGTCTCTCGTAGAACGTGGGTCATAATTCGTTAACGACCAGTCTCATCTATGAGGCGCGCTTCTCTTTGTATGAAATTGGATAAAATTCAATGACATTATTTGATTAATGTATGTAATTTTTATTAGTTAGTATATTACTACCTTACTTTTCTGATACATCCACTTACTTACTTACTTACGTCTATACTTTTGATAAAAACAATTTGAACGATAATTTAAGATCTCTAAGGAATAAACAGATTGATCGGTAATGTTAATTTAAAAATGCTTGAAAGATAATGACATCCTCCAACAGATCAAACTCTTGAATTTTCGATCCATTACCTCTTTTTCTACGTCCTTTTTTTACGTCCTCGATACACTTTTCCTTCGTTTGTTCTCAGGTGGTCGCTCGAGACATCGACTCGCCCAAGTACGCTGTAGTGCAATACAAGATCCTTGGCGGCAACGGCATGGATCACTTCCGCATTCACGAGAACACCGGCGAGATCACATCAGAGATCAGCTTCAACTACGAAGAGGCCAACGAATACGACCTGCACATCGTCGCGGCCAATCCCGACTCCAATCCGCAGATGATTGGTTTCACGACCGTGATTGTGCACATCACCGGGGTGAACGAGTTCTACCCGAAGTTCGTCCAGCCGATCTTTCACATGGACGTGTCGGAGAGCGCGGAGGTGGGCACGTCGGTTGGTATAGTCCAAGCCACTGATCAAGATTCAGGCGAAGACGGCCGGGTGTACTATCTCTTCGTGGGCTCGTCCAACGACCGCGGCTTCTCCATCGGCGCTGAGACCGGCATTATCCGAGTGTCGCGACATCTCGACCGCGAGACGCAGAATCGTGTGGTGCTGACAGTGATGGCGAAGAACGGCGGCGGCATCCGCGGCAACGACACCGACGAGACGCAGGTGATCGTCTCCATTCAAGACGGCAATGACCCACCAGAGTTCCTTCAGAGCTACTACGAAACCACCGTGTCGGAAGGTGCTGATTACGGCACCCGGCTGCTCACTGTTCGCGCGATCGACAAGGACATACGACCTCAGAACAATCAATTCTCGTATTCCATCATTGGCGGCAATATCGGACAAGCTTTCAAGGTGGACCCGCAGACTGGCGACATCGAGACGGCGAAGCAGCTCGATCGAGAGTCTATGTCCATGTACGACTTGATAATCGGCGCCATAGACATCGGCTTGCCGCCTGAAACCGGTACCGCGACAGTGCACATTGAGCTAACGGATGTCAACGACAACGGTCCGGTGTTTGACCCGCCGGAGGTGATCGGCTACGTCAGCGAGAACGAGCCGCCGGGCACCAGCATCATGACTCTGAGCGCGACCGATCCTGATCTGCCACCTAATGGCGCTCCGTTCTCGTACCGGTTGATCGGTGGAAGGCAGAGCAACATGGTTACATTGGATAAGCATTCTGGAGTATTGAGAACCACCAGGAGCCTCGACAGGGAAACGATGCCGCAACTGGATCTTGTGGTTAGTATTTAAAGCACTTAATAATCGCACACAAGAGAGAGCATTGGTAAATAATTTATAATTCTATTTTAAATAATCCCACACATACACACATAAGAGAATAATTGTAATAATCCCCCTCACTAATTATGTCCTTTTATCGTTATCATGTCCCTTATATTTCTCGCTGCGAAGTAATATCGTATGAAACTGATATATCTATTAATTTAATCTTTCTCGTGGTTGTAGATCGAGGTTGAAGATTCTGGTATACCTCGAATGAAGAGCGAGCACAGCATTACCGTGATCGTCACCGACCAAAACGACAGTCCGTCCACACCGAGGTCAGTGCACGTGATCGTGTACTCCTTCAACGGGGAGATTCCGCTAAGGAAGATCGCCGACGTGCACCCGAACGATCCGGACACCACCGGCGCTTACTCCTGCAAGATCTTCTCAGGCTCAAATTCGCATGTTCTCACGATTCCCACTGCCTGCGATCTGCACACCAACAGAATCACGCCGGGAGTTGGCTACTCGTTGAGCGTTTCCGGCAACGACGGCCGGCATTCCGATGTCATCTCCAAAGTCACTGTCGAGTTCCTTATTTTCTCGAACGCCACGATCGAGAACAGCGTAACCATGAAGATCTACAAACTGACCGCGAAAGACTTTCTCAGCCAATATTACCGACGTCTTCTGGATCTGCTGCAGGAGAAGATCGACATCGGCGATACGCTCACCATCTTTAGTATCGGCGAAGACGGACCCGACCTGAACGTCCATATAGCGGTGAAATCTTTGCTGGAATATCGTAAGAAGAACGAAGTCACCGATCTGCTGATACGCAATCACGACCATATCCAAGTGTTGCTCGAGAACAACTCGTTCACCATCAGTTACTCACCGTGCAAACACACTCCATGCGAGAACGGAGGTATCTGCAGCGATCGATTGGCCATTTACGACGATGCCAGGATCACCGATAGTCAAGCGCTGATCCTAACGTCACCTAGAGTGCTGCACGAGATGGTCTGCAAGTGTCGGGACAGTTTCATGGGTGCGAGATGCGAGAAACAGCAGGATCCGTGCACGCCGAATCCCTGTTTACTGGTAAGCAAATTAAGAAACTCGTGCATTAAGAAAAAAATGAAAAGGACTCGCAGATTGTAAAAAGGAAGGCTCCATGAGAGTACTCAGGAAAGAATCAAACGTGCTCGGGGAAAATTAATTAAAAAATCTAGAAAAATAAAATTAATTTCTTTTCTTCTTATATCTATATATTTCTATTGGGAATTCGCATAAATCGCCAGACAGTATTACATTCAGAGAATATATCTTACATGTTGGAACTCGTTGTAACTGTTCGACTTTTTCTCTTTTACAGGGAGTACAATGTCGACGCTCGTTACAAGAATTCACATGTGCCTGCCCGAACGATCGCGGCGGCAAGCTGTGCGAGCTCGAGAAGGGAGACGCGTGTGCCAGCAACCCGTGCCGGAACGGCGGCTCATGCAGGACGAGCCCAGACAACTTCAGCTTCTTCTGCCTCTGCCGAGCGGGCTACAAAGGAAACCACTGCGAGGCAGTCACCGACTCCTGTCGTCCGAATCCCTGTTTGCACGGCGGCTTGTGCGTGGGGGAGAAACCTGGGTATCGCTGCAGCTGCCCAGAGGGTCGCTACGGCCGGCACTGCGAGCGAGCGAGCTTCGGCTTCGACGAGCTGTCGTACATGGCGTTCCCGACGTTGGACGCCAACACGAACGACATCACCATCGTGTTCGCCACTACGAAGCCGAACGCGCTGTTACTGTACAATTACGCGTCGCAGACCGGCGGTCGCTCAGACTTCGTCGTGCTCGAGCTGATAGACGGTAAAGTGGTGTTCTCCTACGGCGGTGCTAGGAGCGCGATCACCACCGTCGCCATCGTATCCGACAAGCCGGTGTCGGACGGCAAGTGGCGCAAGGTCACGGCCATCAGAAACGGCAGGGCTATCTCGCTCAATATGTCCATCTGCAGGGAACACGGCGACACCTGCGACGAGTGCAGTCCCGACGATATTAATTGCTACTCGAACGACGTAGGCCCTATCGGGTTAGTGTCGTCTCTTCTGTTCCTTTTATAAGTTTTACTTTCTGAAATTGCTTTGTGCATTCGTCAATTTAACTTACTCTATAAATTTAATTTTGCCCCATGAATCGTATTTACCTTATAAATTTCACTTTACTTTTTATACATCGTAATATAATAATTTTATAAACTTTAGTCTTTATTAATACGTTTGTTAATATTTTTTTGATAAACATCGAGAAGCGAAATTTATTGCGATAACTTGAAATTAATTCGTATCAACAACCTAACGCTTGACGTATACTCACAGGACCTTGAACTTCAACAATAATCCTCTGCTGCTGGGTGGCTTGGAGAACGCCGATCCCGTGCTGGAACGTCCGGGTCAGGTGCACTCCGACGATTTCGTCGGCTGCATTCACTCGGTATCGATAAACGGTAGATCCTTGAATCTGTCGAATCCGCTCGCGTCCCGCGGCGTGAAGTCGACGTGCGTCAGGTCGCAGAAGAGTCCCTGTATGAAGGACGAGGAGGACGTGGTGTCCGTGTGCGGCGCAAACGCTCAATGTTACGACAAGTGGCACCAAGTGATGTGCCAATGCGGATCTTTGACGGCGCCCAATTGCCACGGCGCTTTGGAGCCTGTCACGTTGAGCGACGGTGGATATGTGGAGTTCAAGGTAAAAGCAGACTCAGACTATTTGAGTCTAGTCAATGAGTAAGACTTTCTAATTAGCTTTCTAGCCAGGTCAGTGAACAAGCCCAATTGATGCATCAGCGAATTAACGAATAAACGGTATTAACAATACTGTGTACCGGTAATGACACAGGTGTCGGAGAAGCACAGAAGGATGCAACTGCTGGAGTACCTCTACGGCGGTTCCACCATGTGGCACATGAATCGCACGAAATCGCGCGATCCTACCGAGGACACGGGCTTCACAGCGAACCTCTCGCCGTTGAAGACGATTGGTCTGATGTTCAGAACCGTGAAGTCCGATGGGATCCTCATATATGCCGCTACGAATAAGCATTTCACATCTATAGAGGTGAGACATTCCTTTGAAGCTCAATATTTCTCTTTATTTTATTGAAGATATTGAAATTCAACCTCAATTTCGATAACTGCTGGTTGATTCTTCGATCTCGATATTTTACAGTGATCATAAAATGAACCTGAGTTTCAACTGTTGACTTTATTAAATATTTCGCGATTTAACTAACACGACCATGGCACGTTTTTAGCTTCGTAACAGACAGCTGGTCTACATGTCGCTACTCGGGTCACCGGTGAACATGTCGGTCAACATCGAGGGTGATCTCGCTGATGGACATTGGCACAACCTAACGCTCCACGCCTATTCACGAGGATTAAGACTGCTAGTCGACGGCATGCTGACGGGCGACGAACTAGACTCGGCGGGTGTCCACGACTTCTTAGATCCTTATTTGTCTGTCCTATCCATCGGTGGAGCCAACCAAGACACCTATTACGCTCACAGCGCCGGCGCGAGGAACTTTGAGGGTTGTTTGGCGAACTTCACTATCAACAACGAAGTGCAGCCGTTCAACGACTCCGGCTCCATCTTCAATGACGTGATTTATCACGGCAAAGTGAGTACCGGATGCAGAGGGCCGATCGGCATCAGTGCGGCGACCGACGCGGATCCGCTCAGCATCGGCATCACCTTGGTGATCGTCTTCTTCGTCATACTGCTGATCGCGATCCTAGTGAGCTTCATAGTCTTCCGACTGCGACGGCAGAACAAGGAGAAGTCGGCACCTTCGGTCGTCAACAAGAACACCAACGCTATTATCACCGGCAATCCGCTGGTCGGCGCCGGCAACGACAATCTCATGTCTCGCCATGAGAACACCTACATCTCCGATACGTCGGATTTACGTGGCGTAGGTCACATGGGGCCCGAGCTCATCTCCAAGAAGTACAAGGAACGCGAGATCAACTCCACCGCCGAGCACCGACCTCAACGACCGGACATCATCGAGCGGGAAGTCACCAAGTCGCCGCCTATTCGCGACGAGCACCCACCGCTGCCCCCACCCGCTCAGTCCTCTTTGCACTCCCATGAACACAACCCAGAACCTGATATCCCGGAGCACTATGACCTAGAGAACGCCAGTTCCATCGCGCCCAGCGACATCGACATCGTGTATCACTACAAGGGTTACCGCGACGGAATGAGAAAATACAAAGCCACCCCGCCTCCTATAGGTAAGAATTTATTTTTCACTGGTTTATTTGTAGCGTGGACTATAACTTAATTGACGTAAAATCGTTTCCTTCGATTGAGAGTAAATTGTTGTCTACTTGATCAAATTTACTGGCTAATTGCCACAAAACATGAGCCATTTTATTGACTAATGTTTTTTGAGATGAATTTAAATATAAGAAGAAATATACACGAAATATGAAAGAGCAGTTTTAAGATCAGGCTGTGAATACCGTCATCCATGATGTGAAAGACTCAACAAAGAACATCATTCACGCAGGTAACTACGGTAATCATCACAAGCACACAGGACAACAACACCGGCACACCGGTCCCTTCCCACCGCGAACGATGCCACCTCCCAACGTGAACCAACCACCCGGGCCAGCACCCAAACTGCTGCAGAGCACCCCTTTGGCGAGACTGTCGCCCAGCAGCGAGCTCTCGGCGCAACAACCGCGAATCCTCACGCTCCACGACATCAGCGGCAAGCCGCTGCAGAGCGCTCTGTTGGCCACCACGTCGTCGTCGGGCGGTGTCGGCAAAGACGCGCTGAATTCCAACAGCGAGAGAAGCCTGAACTCGCCCATCATGAGCCAACTGTCGGGTTCGACCGCCAGCAGGAAGGCACCGCAGTCGAACAACGAGAACTCTGTGAACAACGTGTCGTCGGGACCGATGGGTCTCACCGCGGAGGAGATCGAGCGACTAAACTCTCGACCGAGGACATCCAGTCTGGTCTCCACGTTGGACGCGGTGAGCTCGTCCAGTGAAGCGAGAGGACCGCCCGCTCATGGGCCTCTTCATCACCATCGACGTCACACGCCGCCGGTGGAGAGGCTCGAGCGGCGCAACTCGTCTACCACCGACGAGAGCGGCAATGACAGCTTCACCTGCTCGGAGATCGAGTACGACAACGGCTCGTTGGTGGGCGACAAACGGTCCGACAACCTCTTCGCCAAGCAGGACGACGAGGAAGTGGGCCAGCGTAACAACGAGTCCGCGCAGTCGACGAAGCCGCCATTGCCGCCGAACGTCAATTATGACGGCTTCGACAGCTCGTTCCGCGGCTCCCTCAGCACCCTCGTCGCCTCGGACGACGACCTATCGACCCACATGGGCGCGCTCTACAGCAGCAGGCACGCCAGCAACGGCTCGCCAGCCCTCACCGAGGACTACCTCAGCTGGGACTATGTACTCAACTGGGGGCCCAACTTCGAGAGCCTCGTCGGTGTCTTCGTCGACATTGCCGAGCTCCCGGACAGCGCCAGTCGAGTGCCCAGCACGCTGCGATTGCCGGCGAACATCCCCAAGCCGTCCGAAGAGTACGTTTGAAAGAAGGACGAAAACGAACGGCTGTTCGCCGGGACGATTTAGTGGACTGATGTTTAGTTTATAGTGATGATCGCGCGCGGTCTCGTCGGCGAAAGGAAGCTTACTTTTGCCGAAGAGTCCCGCGAATCTAGCAATGTATCGAATCAGCGGTGTAATCTTCTCAGTCGACTGGCGAATATGTTTCTAGCTCGAACTTTGCGATTGTCGCTGGCCGATAGTATTAATAGCGAGCAGTTAGTCGCGACGTCCGATATCCGGCTCGAGGATACTTGAGGAGGAGACGCTGGGAAGAAGAAGTCGGTTGCGACTGCAGAAACCGCAACGAGGCGCCGGCCGCATATCGAACGTGTGATCATCTTGCCATAAAAAGTGTAAAGAGGGGAATTCTCCGTCCCCAACCCCGAAGCGAATGAACTCGTTCGACACAAACACTCTGGGGACATCCTGTTGTACTACGTATTTTTTATCCTGTGCGAATTTGTAAATATCGACTAACGCGTGTCAGAAAATCAAAAACGCGACTCCTGGTCGTCGGAGTACGCGACACGTCCGTCTTCGATGGTTACGATCGATCGAACGATGAGAAAAGAAAGAGAGAGAGAGAGAGAGAGAGAGAGAGAGAGAGAAAGAGAGACAAAGAGGGAAGAATCTGAAGCGTTAACCCAGTAAGCACCAAGTAACAACAACGCCACATCAATGTAATTTTCCGGTCGATCGACGACCTAACTGTAACTGTAACACACAACGCGCATGTTATGTTCCTATACAGCACAGAAGTTGCAGCAATATTGCTGCAATATTGCAACATTGTTGCAACTTGTTTCTTCAACTTTGCGTGCTGTACGGGTTGCGTCTACATTGTCGTGTAGGACGTCGACGTAACATCAGTGTTGGTGCTCACAACCGCGGGTAATCACGTTCGACGATCGTACATGCGAAAATTTCCAAATCAATAATTGTACAACGCGATTCGTGCGAAGTGGTGCACACGCCAATCGCCATCGAATGCCATCGTAGTTGCAGCGGGACGGGGCAGACGTGCGACTGAGTATCGAGGCAACCCGAGATTAACTATTAAATAGTAACTTCTGTATATATCCTAAGGAAAAAAAAAAAAACCCGTGCCAGATACACGCTGGATGCAGTCGCACACGTCGCGTTAATCATCGATTCAACGGTCGGCGAATGAATCGCGGACGCGGCGCCCGGCTTGAACGGCAGCAAGCAGCAGCAGCGACGTTACGTCGAGATGTTATGATTCTCCAGTCGACGATATAAGTGCAATATATCATAGATATGCTGTCATATACACAGTTACATCGTTCACTGGAAAATTAGAGTACGTTGATGTACTCAACGTATAATTACAAACGCAATGAGCGAATGTGTGATGAATAACGTCCTGATGAAAGAACGATCGACGCGAAATGTTGTATATGAAATTGCAACAATGATTTAACGTTATTGTCGGTTCAGCCGTTCAGCGGGATTGTCTCGATCGGGTGTTGTGAATCTTCGCCCTCGATTCGTTCGCACATCGTTAGAGGCAATGAAAGAAATAGAAAAAAAAAGCAGGGAAAGATAAGGAGACGCGTTCTGCGGCGGTTTCCTCGAGAGAGAGAGAGAGAGAGAGAGAGAGAACTCGCCGCGAGATTCGCGCGACAGAGACCGCCAGACTGATCCTTTACACTCCTCCAGCGCGCGCTTCGCGACGGCGAAGCGCCCTTTTTATATTACCTTGTTGTAAATTACGAGACTCGCCTCTCGGCCCGTCTCATTCCTGTAAATAGTGTGAACGCGTGAACTGTACAAAAGTGCGAATGCGTGTGCGTGTGTGCCTGTGTGCGTGCCACTCTATCATCACGTCGATCGTACTCGTAATAGACGACAGATTTGTAAAAGCTGCTGCTTCGCTTTACTGACCCTCCTTCACGCATCCTTGTCCACGTCCTGGCCCGAGGAAACTCAGACGCGTACACGCGCTCTCGTCGTGAGTCCTCGCATCGCGGACATGGGACGCAGGAAAGGATTTTCCGACGTATCGAGTTATCTTCGAAGATGATTGCTCGTTATACGTAATATAACGGTGCCCCCCCGTTATATATTACGATGTTCCGCGCGTAACATATTTTCGAGATTATTTTTCGCTTTTCCGATAACTTCACGAATCAATGTAAATTGATTTAAGTGAATTGATTTACGATTAATTTATGATTAATAATTTACGATAATATATTAATTTATGATATATTATTCATATAATATTATATTAATATATTATCAATTTATGATTTATGATTTTGATTGATTTATGTAAATTGATTTATTTATTTTCGAGATTATTTTTCATTTTTTTCGATGACTTCATAAATCAATGTAAATTGATTCAGGTGAATTCCAGTGAAAAACTAACTGTTTATTCGAAAAACTAACTATTTATTCGAAGGATTATGTGGAGCAAGGATATCATTCGCGCTAGTCAATCGCAAGAAGACTCTCCCTCCAGAGTTTCGCCTGGAGATATATTCGCCGTCAGTTGCGTATCGATAAGTCGCGCCGACGATGGGATCTCTTCTGCGATCTTCATTTCTTGCATCCCGCTCCGATAGTTTTGTCAAGACGATCAGGACCGATCTCACGTCGAATCAATCAATCGCCAATTATCTCGCTTACCTAATTAACTGCCTCGCGACTCGAGACCGAATTCTTGCTGGAGGCGCGACAGGATGGGGCGTCACGTGTAGCGCGAAAGTTCATCGGCCCTTGCTCCTTGGTCTGTCGGCCCGGATCCGGACTCCGCGATCGATCGGTTATAATGTGCAGATAATGATATCTCCACTTCCGTCATACGACGACGACTTCCTGAACAGCGCCTACGCAAACATTAGCCTGCTCGCCGACGAGGCCTGGTCCTACGACCGCGAGGATCCCTTTCGCAAGCTGAATCGCTCCCTCTGGATCAAGGTGAGATATTGTGCCTTCAAGCATCTCTTCGAGTTCACTGGAGGCGGATGAAGCCAGTAAGAGCCGACGTAAAATGCAAATTGTCAAACTCTTTCGATTTCTGAACGAAATAGGAAATGGCTATCAAGCGGAATCCTCTGCAAGCGAGTTTCACAGTTGACATCTTGCGTCGCCTCTCATCAGCTTTCTTCGTCCCCAGGTGCATGTGGGAACATCGATAATTTGTTTATTTCATCTTCGAAGTAGATAATAATAGATCTTCGAAATAGATAATTTCCGAAATAGATAATTTGTTTATCTCATCTTCGAGATAGATGTTCAAGCCGCATTATCTCCGAACGCCGTCATCCCGTCATCGATATCTTTTGCGAGGAGACCAATTATTATTATTATTATTATTATTATTATTATTATTATTATTATTGTTTCAAGTATTGTTATCTCATTATTATTCCAAATATTTATATTGCCGAATCCTGTAAGAGAACGTCGCGTTGAAGACAAACGAAAACGTACCGGCGCGGATGTATGCGTCTCGTTTGCGGAAGATGCGTACAACGCGAGAGTGTTATTAAATTATTACACACGACAGAGGGAGAGAAAAAGACAGAGAGAGAAAAAAATATACATATATACACGCAGCCCCGCGTGTACCGTGTACCGTATATACGTACAGAGGCGGCGGATTTCTTTTTTTGTTTTCGGAAGGGGTAAAAAAAGAGGGGGAGAGAGAGAAAGAGAGAGAGAGAGAGAGAGAGAGAGAGAGAGAGACCGATTCATTCCGACGGTAACGATAACTTATTATTAACGTCAGAGTTGCGAAGTAACCGCGAAGTACGAGGAAAATGGTGATTACCGTCCGAGACTCGTCCGAGATGTCATCTCTGAATCGCGTTTGGCGAAGTACGGTAATTACGAGTACGACGAGCGGCGCGAGAGAATGTACAGGCCGGACGACGGTAAATCGTCGGGCGGGCTACGGCACTTCCGTCCAGAGGAGGCTACGGAACCATGGATGCTCCCTGAAGTTCAAGAACACTTCGCCCGGTTAATCTCGCCGACCTGCACGCGAGCGCATCGGGAACCGTTAGTCCGCCTCGGCACTTTCGTGTCGCTTTTTTATATTTCCGAAGTCATCTGCGAGAAAGGGAGAAGAAAAAATACGCCGGGCAGAGCGCACGCTCGAGCGTCCGTCCGGTATTGACAATCCAGAGGAATGTCGGATCGATATCGGCAGGTTCTCCTCTATGACTCCGTCTTACACCGGAGACTAACAGAGAAAATCAAATCGCGCATCCCGTTCTCGAATCGCTGAAGTATCGGCCGACATATCTTTAAGAACGCGTGTCTTTCTGTAAACGCTTGCAAAATTAGCCGAACTGCCCCTTCGCCCTCCTTCATTGATAATATGTACGTTTAATTTGCAAAGTTCAGCACCACCGGCACTGAAGTGCGACTCCGCGAGGAGGGAGGACGAGAAGCCTACTCGCTTGGGCCTCCAGTCGTCGGTCGACTGGAGCGAGAATTCGAAGAAACGACGTCAGAAGGTCGAGAGCCCGAAGGAGAGCGGGAGAGCCGGCTCACAGGACGAGTCGCTCCCGGCTCGGAAACACGACGAAGGCGGTAGAATTCTGTCATCGCGCGTGTCGGCGATTTTAATATATAAATCACGAGAAGCGAAACTAACAATAAGTAAAATAAATAATACAAACGTAAAAGCAACGGGAATAAGATGAGGATGTAGTGGAGTTCTCCGGGAACATCTCAGATAGCACAAGATGTCCCGGAATCATGCAGAGATGAATACATTCAGGACAGGACTCATACATTCAGCTCAGCACAGTTTTGTGCTATCTGAGATGAAAGCTGCAATGAAAACAAACACGCGACGAACCTTCCGAGGTTGCTCCTCCGCGTTTAAAGACTCCTCCGCTTCACGCAGGAGAATCTCCTGCCGTTCCTATTTTTCTACCTCTCGCCGCGCTTGTCTCTCTGTCGCAGAAACGCGCGAGAGATCCACCAGGACCTTCGCCCACCGCCGCTACACCGTCGAGACCGCTGCAGAGATGCAGTTGCGGTCGCGCATCGAGAGCGATGCGGTCCGCGACATCTGGAATCCTGAGAGGCTCCAGCGGCGCCAGCAATGCCAGCAACAGGCTCAGCAATCGGGGGTCGCCCGAGCAGCGCCGAGCGTGCCGTACACCGCCACCACCGCTAACCACCATCAGCAATTCTACTGCACCTTGCAGTACCAGCCTCTGATCTTGAAGACCGAATACCAAAGACGACCGTTGCAACCGCCGGCGGCATTGTTGAGCGCCGAAGTGCCGGAGTTTTTCCCAAAATCGAGCCCGCCGCCGCCGATTACGCATCCGAACAGCGATCAGGAATGCAGCAAGGCATCTTGCCAGATGCGCTACTTCCCGTCGGTGAACGACAGGAATTATCAGAGCGAGCTGTTCCCCCACAACCGGTCGCAGCAGGAGAACGCGGCCGTATTTCCGGTGAGCTGCGAAAATGAATGGTTTTTCAGGCATTGGCTGTGCGACCCGATTAGGATTCATTTCTCAGTTTCTCCTTTCAATCTTATTTTGTTCATTTTCACCTTAATTTTTGTCATTTCAGGTCATAAAAAGTCAGTTTAACTTCAATCTTCATTCTTTTCGTTAGAATTTGGATCTGAATTTTTACTTTATCACTCTCTTTATTCTCTACTTTATTCACTACACTCTACTTTATTCACTTCTTCACTCTCATTTTCAATTTAATTATAACGACTCATTTTATTTTGTCATTCGTTTAACGTATTTTCAGTTTCGCTTTTAGAATCTTAAATTTTGCATTTATTTTAGAGATAAACGTTCGTAAATTTAACGTTCGTGACTTCGCGGTAAACATAATGATGTATTATTGTTATTGTTATTACTATTATTATTATTAATGACAAATGATATAATAATAAATATTAATGTCAACCAACGTTTAATATTCATTGAAAACTTCTAACGAACCTCTTATGGTTTCACAGAATGCGAGGGTGTCCATGTTGCCAACGGCGGAGACAAACGTCTTCCGGATGCCTCAGGAATGGATCCAGAGGATCGTACCGCCGATGCAGCTGCAGGTAGCGTCCTCCACATCATCGCCGCCAATCTGCACGTCGCTGCAACCGATCCGCGATGTCGCGATCGCCCATCGTCCCTTCCAGGTATTTCTTCCTCAATGAAAATCGCTTCGGACAGATCATAGATGATCCTCTCGACTCCTCTGAGATTCATACTTTACAAAATGTGTCGTGACTTGCAGATGTACGAAAGATTTCTACCTTACGCCCAGCATTATTCGAGTCCGACGGCGATACCGGTGTACCAACGACCGAGTGAGCTTTACCAAGAGCCGACGTCGAAGCGGAAGAGCCACGGGGTCGACTTCAACAACCTCATCCTACTGACGAAGAGCAGCTCGAAAACGCGACGTGGTCACATGAAGGGGAGCGCTCAGCAACCTCCTCTTCTGCTGGAATCCACGCAGAGAGACCTGAGATCAGGCCAGAACACGGCGCAGTGGCTCGACAGAGACTGCGCGAGGAGGACGAAGGACGTCGTGACCGTGAATGCGTTGGTGTCCGAATTACGCAGCTTCGAGGGAAAATACGAACACAGCAGAGCTGGCACCAGCTGGGCGACTACCACCGACTCGTCGCCGCAGCACAGGCTGTATTTCGAAGGCATGAAATCGAAGGACGGGATCTTCGAGAAGGAGGCATCGCGATGCAGGCTCGTGGACGCCGAAGAGAGGGACAGGAGAACGAAGCGACCGCTCTACAGGGATGTCTTGGCGAATACCACGAGTGGCCAACACGGAATGGTCCTGGAGAACATCTTCGAGAGAAAGTGCGCGCGAAAAGCTCAGGAAAGACGTCGATGATGATGAATATCGTCGGTCATTCTCTAATTTGGATCCTAACATTTTGATGATTTTCAGGTACGACGAGCTCGAGCAGCAGGCGATGGAACAGTATAGGAACTCGGAGGAATCGTTGGCGCTGAAATACCAAGTAAAACGAATCGAGATGTTATTTTATATCTATACGTACAGAATACTATTTTTATCAGAATAATAATTGTTATACGTATACAATATTATTTAACGAAACCACCAGGCGAATTGGCAAGAATCGATAAGCACACGCGCTGTGAAATTGCAGGAACTGGAACGTCAGGCAATGGAGCAGTATAAAAACGGCAACACGGTGGACGAAAAGCAGGTCGACTCGCGTTCAGCGTCTCAAGAGGACCAGGATTGTCTCGACGGTCGAAGATGTTCCCGATACGGACAGTGTAGTCCTTCGAGGAGAGATCGGGAGAAGAAAGGTAAGCGTTTGGTCGATCTTCAAAGTCGATCGATTCACCCTAAAAAATTAAAAAAATAATGTCTAAAATAATTTCGTATCGCAATCTGCGCGAATTGCGTCCAACGCTTTTGGATCAAGGTGATCTTCCTCTCCGCAAAGTGATTCTTCACGGTGAATCTCTTCGTTCGTTCATCCTCGTTTGTCATCAGATTTTCGCTTCCCGCAAGTCACTCTGCTCAGACCGAAGGGGAGGTCCTTGCCGAATGTCTTCCAAGGGTCATCGATTCCAAAGGGCAGCGACAGCAATCACCAAAGCGCCGTCATCTCGAGGAGCTTGTCCACGTTGACCGACAGATCGTCGAAGAAATCGAAAAACATATCTAAGGGTGCATCAGGAGATAAGATCGACACGAGTAATTAAACAAGTGACAATTTTAACGTCGTATTTGAAGAGTTACACAACGGTGTCATAATGTAACGTTACAAGACAAGCGTGTATCCTACTGTTTTTCTTGTTCTGTTTTCGTTCTTCCAGTTTGCGGATAAAACTTTCTCGTATTTGAAGTTTCAGTACAGACATCATCGAAGCGGCGTCTGATACTGGTGTCACCCTTCGAGCGCAAATCAGAGCCCCGGGTGATGGAGACGACGGACCTGCGGGAGATCTGCTCGCTCTCACAGGCAAAGGAGAACGTCTTTGACTATTACCGGTCTTCCGAAGTCGCTCAGAACGGCAGCGGCGACGAGAGCATCATGTTCATGCAACCACCCAACACGGAAGGTACAATGGGCAGATGTCGGTAACTTTGAATTTTCCAAATTCACCAAGACGATCTCTTCTCTCAGTTTGGCTGTCCGGATTCTGGACCACTTGAGAGAAAGTGCGATCGGATGTTTTACTTTCATGGCGGCGAAACGATACGTGAAAATTAAAAGACACGATTGTTTTATACAAGTCGAAGTTGAACACTAAACTCTATCGCTTGTAAATAGTGACCAGAATCGTTTATAATTATTCCGACACAAAGTACGGTGTTTATTCGTTCGTATATATATACACACACACACACACACACAAACACACACACACACACACATATATATATAAGCGCACATACACTCTACGAAGGAGAGATACATTGGGATTATAAAAAAAATACGATATATATTACACTTTCTATAAAAAGAAGGAAGGGGTAACGAGTCTAAACTGGCTACGTTGTTCGACATACCAAGCGCAACATGTACTTCTGACTCCCTCTGTGAGAATGTAAATAGAATTAGATATATTCATGAAGACACACGCGAGAATTGTTCCTATCAGTCTTACTTCGGGTAGCGCAATAAAAAACAAAATATTACAAAATAAAAATATAAAAAAAGTCGTTACAAAAGTCATGTTGTGTATATAAAATACTTCACTTCTTCGCACGCCTATGAATATGTTCGCATATCAATTATATATAATGCCTCTAGCTTTCATACATACACACACACATGCACTCAAATATATTTCTTGTATAATATAAAAAAAATTCAGATACATTCCTTGAATATATGCATGATTAGCAGTTCCTTCTGGAAGAGAAGTCGTTTCCGCAATGGGAGAAGCTTACCAATTATCGAGAAATTCAAATCCGGTCTTTGGTATACTTCTCTCCTCATCTTCTTGATTCAATTGCGTCGACTGAAAGCTGCTGTAGGAACTTGGTGTTTCCAACAAGGCAGTTGACTCGTTTATGTCGCTTGACTTCGTCCGCGACATCACCACTAAAGTGTTCGACTGACTCTTGTCTGTATCAGAATCTCTTTCCCTCACCAGACTCTCCATGTCATCTTCAATGTTATTTTGTAACTTCAACAGAGAAGTCTTGTTGATGAGCTTGGCAAAGATACTATCAGAGGGTTCAGTATCCATTCCATTGGTTAATAAGTCACTGCATTGGTCATTCTCAAACAGACTGCTAGCATAACAATCTGACTGGTAACAGCTGACTTGATGAGCAGAGCTGTAACTGTCGCTCAGAGAACAAGAATTACTCCTCTGCGCTTTGATAGGACTGGAGAAGTGTGGAGACTCTCCAAAATGAGTCCTCATTGACTTGGACTTGGAATCTTCGTTGGAGTCTATTAGACTTAAGTTCATTTGTGATTGTGTCATGAATGAAAATGGAGCAGAATGTTCATCTCGCCATCGTAATGTCTGCCATAAAATATGAGTTATCAGTTTGATAAGTTAAGCAATTAGTGGTTAATAAATCAAGTTTTTTATTAATGCTTAGGTAGCTGTAAACATTAGTAATATCTCTCAATGACTGAAAATTTCTTTGATTAAAATCAAGTAAGAATAAAGGAAAAAGTAAAATTAGTTATTGCATACTCACAGAACCAGTTTCGTCAATGACATATTTCAATCCAGTCTGTATACGTAGTTTTGGATACCATTCAGGTAACTCTTTGGTCAGTTCTACTTTCTTCAGGGTATACTTTAATGCTACCTCAGGTTGAATTATAGTCTCATTGATAGCTTGATTCCGTTCTGCTGTGCTTAAGGTATTCCATAAGCCCTCGTAAGCCTCTTTTGTTGCAGTTATATCTTGGCCAATTCTCTGAGCTAAAGGATTTATATTGTACAGGTATTGTTCTGCTTTTGAAGCAAGAGTGCTAGAGCCCATCCCGCTGTGCTGCGATACAAAAAATCACCAACGTTGAGATTGCATCGCGAATATCGACATTGATCGCAGATGTAATAATTATCAAGTAAATACTAAATGCAAAGATGCACTTACTGAATGTTTGATAATGATATAAACAAAAGTGAAAAGTGTTAGTCACATTGACACTTACGATCATTGTTTGTTAGGAGGTCACACGATGATTACGGAAGGAGACATAATTGGCTCGAGTGTACACACGCGTGTAAACTGTATATTAACGTTGAAAATTACGTTCATTCCAGTGCAGTCATTGATTGTTTAGAAACCAACACGGGAATGAAAAGTAATCTGCAGCAGGTACAGCAGACGTTAGACCGACGAGTCGATGCTCCGATACCTTATTCCCTGTTAAAGGATCGATTATTTTCTCGAGGCTCAAATTAGATCAATGTACGTATTTAAATGACACAACAAATCTATTCAAAACTATTCTTTTTAGTTAAACTAAAATATTGGTAATTTTAAATATTAATAAAAATATATATATTATGTATATCTATATCACCATACGTAATTATGATAGATATAAATATAATAAGTATAGTATAAGTATAGGGTCAATAATAAATATAGGAATCAACATAACAGCCTATTTTATACCTAAATACAATTAATAGACGAAGTTTAATAAATTCGTAACATCGGCCACATTAACGATAATAAGATGTTTCAAGAAGCTGTCTGCTGGTCAAGGTTTCTAGTTTTCAGCTGTATTTGGTGATATATAGTTAGCTGTTCTTTTACAATGTTACATGAATAAAAATCGGAATTCGTAAAGCGTCGAGATCTGATCAAATTTGTCAAACTGTATCGGATGAATGAAAAATTGTATAACTGTATATAAATGTAGTTTATAACGTATAAATGTGCAAACTATTTCTTTTAATTTTCATTCACGTAGTTGTGATACAATCTTCTTTTACTGAGTTATTCAAGATTGAAGCACTGAAGTGTCTTTTGAATTTAACTATTTATAAAAGAGAAACAGGTCGATGTGCATCAGGACACTAATTATCAACTGAATAAAAAACTACAAATGTTTTCTCTAAAATATATTTCAATATATATAAATATATTTCAATAATTTTGTCGTCAAATTTTCCATACAATTTGTTTTTCTACATAAAACTTTAACCGAAAGATAAAATTGAAAGTTCAACGGTCGCCATTTCTTATCTGATGAAATATAATTTAGCGACGAACGATAGGAACATTATTAATTTAATATTTTTAAAAAGCAAAGGCTTGAAGATTTTTCTCAAGACAGAGGGGAAAGATGTCTCATCAAACGGTGAGCCGCATTACTAGGATTGCCGCTACATCGTGTTGGTATGTCAGATCCATGATTGACTCTCATCACGACCTCAGTTAGTCCTCAAGGTCTATTCCATCATCAATGCACTGCATAAGGAAAGTAACTATATCAGGACTTCCTTTCTTAACCTGACGTAAACGATGTAGTCATCTTTCCTCTTTATAATGCGGACGATAGTTCTTAGGAACCGGCTCTAAACTATTAGCTGATGCATATCTGTTATATATCTCAATAACAATTGGTCGAGGAGTGCGGTACAATTCTAAACGTGTAAGTTGTGCAGATGAGCTTCGCTTCAAAATCTTCATCCATTTCGGCTCTGGGCCCTGGTGTAAGGCATGCTTTCGCTCTTTAGCGTATCGAAGTTTAATAGCTCCAAAAGTTAGACATGATAATTTATCAATAAACTTCCGACTCTTCATTTGCTGGAGAAAAGCATCCGAAAGATGCTGATACCCTGGAGATGAAACCTTGCACCGTGCTTCACGACACGCGCAACAAGCTGCGCAAAAGTGCGGATTGGAAGAAGAATTAGAATTTGGTCTATCTTGATTACCGCCACGAGAGAAACTTCTCTCGTGTGTCAGCCAATGATATCTCGGCTGAGGTAAGGCGTTTTGCACCATACCTGGATTTTCTTGGCATGGCGACAGCTAGCAGATTCTCTATACAACTGAAATCAGCCTGCTAAAAGCCACATCACGATCTAAATTCCTTGTTAAGGAAAGTGGCGACTCGTAGCGGAGATTCTGGAACTAATTTACAAAAATAATATTAATACCTGTATTCATAGTCGGGCCTTATATTTGTTGAGGCCTTCTTATATCCATCTTTAGATGCTGCACAGATTATTTTATTGGCTACAGACCATCTGAAGATAAACTTAAGGAAGTCTCAAATATAAGGCCTGGCTATGAATACAGGTGAAAGGAAGAGAGCGATTGATCGTCTATGCATGCTTTCCTACCTTACTATCTTCCTTAAGGAAGTAGAGAGAACAAGAATCGTGCACGTTTTATCGTTATCGTCAGGACGGGCGTAGTGTGCACACATTTTCTCAGGGAGCGCGTTGGATAAAGCGTCCTGGCGTAACCGACTCGATGGCCGCTCTCAGGTTTCTCTCTGCTATTAGCTAGACTCCCTATATTTCAAGAAATGCGAAATGCAATTACGCACCCCCGTTATCTCTAGAGAAATATAAATAAACCTAACGAAATACGTTTATTAAACTCGTTATTATGACGAAAATATAAGGGGTCTAAAGTAAGGGGTGATTATTAGACCCGTTATTTTTGTGAATTAGTTCTAGAATCTCCGCTATGAGCCGCCACTTTCCATATCGAGAAATCGAGGTCGTAATATTATATAACGACCAGTAAGACATTCTTTTGTTTTACCATGAAAATAGACTGAATTCAATAAGCTGTAATTTCCACAAGAATGATACTGAGATAGTTTTGAAATTATTTTATAACACATAGATTCTAGTTTTTAGTCATATTAATATCATAATTTTGCTTAAGTATTTTACTATGAAAAATTAAATTAAACAGAATGATTTGGTTTTCTCTTAAACTCCAACGACTAAACAGGCATTATCGAAATTTTGTTGATAAAGAAAAGCAAAAACACTTCCTCTCTCCATTATTAACATTCACGTCAATGGAAAACGAAATAATTTTGTTCTTCTCAAGTCTCAACAGCCAAACATAGACAAAACACAATACTTCAGAAATATACAAAGTTTAGTCTTCCTACGCTCTTAAAAAACTTTCAGAAAATCACATATAAATTATACGTTACATTACATATACATTACATTACATTACACTGAATTTTATCAAAAAAACATAAAAAATGGCATATTAATATTAATAAGACTGTAAAGCGTCTAATTCACGCCAGAGGGGCCAGGGAAATACCAATGAAACACTCGAATGAAAAAAGAGAGTAACATGTCTATATTTTCTCATTTAAATAATTACGGCTGAGAGCTCATCTAAACTAAAATGCTCTCCGGTACTAAAATGCGAAACAAGAGATAAAGTGACGTTTCGGAAACTGGATAACTCGCTTGATGTTGAACTATAACGGAATAAAAATCCTTCAAACACACGTAGCGTTTCACTAAAAGAAAGCGAACGATACAATGCCCAATTGTAACTTGTACGTCTGATTTATGACGGAAATGTCATATACGTTATTCTCTTTATTATTATACAAATATATACAACATTAATTTCTCGTAATCAGTCGCACGCGATAATAGACCGTTCTTACGAAAATCCATCAAAATAAATCACTTACATCTTATACATCGTATATAATGATTGGCGATAATTATTTACAGGTAACAATGTATCAAGAGGAATGATAATAAATAATAAATTGCATATGATATCGTGTGTATGAATTATATTATTAATTAATATCTGTATTCTATCTGGTACTGTTTTCTTTTTTTTTAAACAAAGAAATCGCTTTAAGTATAAACGAATATGCAGAGTGTTCCAACGGAGCAACCGAACCGGGTTGTATCTTCGAAAATTATTGGAGATAAGATAATATCAAAGAACAAAATGTCCAATTTATCAATTGTTTAATTTGCTTCATATATTTAATCACTATATTCTAACGATTCAACACAAAAATATACATGAAATATATGAAATCAATTAACTTTCTCTCATGTTATCTTCTTTATCTCCAATCATGCTCCAAACATACAGCTCGGTCTAATTACGTGGGATACCCTGTATATACTTTCAACCACATCCTCTTTGTTTCTTTATACATAGTTTACATAGAAACACAGTAACTGCGTCAAATAGAAAATAAAAACTTTTGCTTCCTCCCTTCTCTTCTCAAAGTCATGAAAAGTCATGAGATTTTCCATTGGACTTTACCACCAACGCAGTTTGTGTTTGTGAAACCTTATTATCTTCATACTTTGTGGATGGACGTGTGCGTATGGGGTGTATGTATGTATATATGTGTATGTATGTGTATATGTATTTGTAACGACAATATTAGAGATTACATCGTATCAATATAATCTTTTCATGTAACATTTTGTATCCAGCAGATCGAATCTGCTAGATTAGGTACATCAGTGTAACTTATTAGCCATCATACATTGCACGTGTATCAGTAAAAAGTATCGTTCGACAGAAATTAATGTGACTCTCACTCTTGAACAGCTGAATCTTTGTTTGATTTGCTAGTACTTATTATTGACAATTCGAAGATTTTTTTTTACTTTACGTACAAAACTTAAAAAAAGTTACTTTATATACATAAAAAGATAACGTATGATTTTATATACATATTGAAAGATGTATCTGTTTATATTATATTGAAAGTAATTTAATTCAATTTAGCTATGTATTGCTAGATAATAGTACACAATTAAAATATCTTTTGTTGTGTATCTCTCGTTAAAGTAAAACTGTTATGAAAGCAACGGAAAAATTCAGTCGCATAATGATCTCTTGTTAAACGGTTAAACGGGTAAACGTGGAACATGAGAAAATGGTTTAGGAGAAAAGTTCCTATTTTATATCTTTGTTAAAAAAGATATATACTGGCAACTGCGATGGATCATGATACAAAATAATCTATTATTTTAAACTTTTTTTCTTTCTTGTAATATATGACATATATATTTATATCTATATCATACTTGAACTGCATAGATTGATTGTATGTCTCAGATCTTACATTTTATGAAAATGCAGAGTAAATGTATGTAGTGCGAGAAAAATTCGCGAAAAAAATACTGTATTGCTCTAAATCTACAAATAAATTAACAACTTTCTTTTCTTTCTTTCATTTCTTTAAACCTAACGTCGTCGATTCTTTCTACTTTCTATTTCGTAAAATACGAAAGAAGGAACAATTCTATGGAACCAATTCTTTATTATATATAATTTTCAGGTTCATTTGAAATTTCGTTTATGCGAATCTACTACTTACGCTATATCACGGTTGTCTTCTTCCAAAGATTAGGACAATTCGTGTCATGGTCAGTGGCAATACAGTAACGTGTAGGTCGAATCGAACGGGAGTAATGACTGACAATAATGAAGAGGAGTACGATTGCACGTGGAATAGGTGGAACACAAATTCGTCCACAGTTACCTGTTTGATAAATGTTTGAGAGGACCGAGACTTAATATAGAGGTAGCACCAAGCGCACCCAGATTGCAGGTGCTTGAATTCCTCGCACCGTCTATAGTGATGATCGGCAAGCCAAAGTAACCACCGGTCTGAGCGCTCAATTGCGACAGCGGGATGTAACTTTGAATACCCAGATTCGCTAAGCGATTCAAAACATGTGGCGATTTCAAGTCCACAACCGGCAAAGCCAATTCGGCGCCTCCATTTTGTGCCACAGTATCGACCTCTTTGTGGTACGCCTGTTTATGCGTCGCCAAGGCCTGAGCCGTGGGATATTGAGCGGGACAGAGGTTACACCTTGAAGAGGAGAACGTGATGATAAATAGCAAACCGAACCTTACGTACCTCATCTTTAAAAATGAAATACGAGCGACGATGAGAACTCACTTGTGGAGAAGTTTGCTAGTTGTTCGATGATTCGCCATATGTTGAGTCAGCATGTCTTGATTCTGAAAGTTCTTGTCGCACACTTGACATGTCAATAATGCTCTGAAAAGTGCAAGTGTCACGTAAAATGGACTCAGTGGCTGACTAAACAATCGCGATATTCCACAAATCGGATGAATGCAACAAAATTGAATGAAAATGCAAAAGAAAATGCGAGCGGCGAAGATATTTCTCACCTGGGTGGCCGGCCACGTCTAACCACTGGCATCTGCGGTGGAGTATCCTGCGTGAGGTCCACAGTCGGTGGTCTCGGTGGTCGTTCCACTTCGTTCATCGATGATTTGTTCTGTTTGTTTTGCGGCACGGCAAACTGACCCTGATCCTGCTGCTTTCTTTGCGAACTAGTTGGTATGATAGAAATAGCAGAATTCAGATTGAGGGCTGTAACATTTAAAGGCTGCTGTGAAGGTGGTGGCCTCTGCTGCTGCTGTGGAGGTATCTGCTGCTTGTTTTGTTCGCTTGTCTTATTTTTATTTGCAGCTGGAGTAACTGTTATACCTCGAGCCGCGAGGACATTCGCCACTGCCTTGGCGTCGGATTTCTTTCCGCCAGGATTCGACGTGTTCTGGACTTGAGCTGGGGCGGAACCTTCAGATTAGTAAAAGAACACAACGCTCTTTATATCTCTGTATAACGCACCCCTTCTACGAATAGTGATCTCTTGAACAGAACACACACATGCGCGTATCGGAAACGAACAATAACACTAATGCAAAAATCAAGAGCGAATGAAAGTATCGTCGGAACTAAATTTCGAGCTATTGCAAGCATCGACAAAACCTTGACACTCATAAAAACGACTCAGAGAATACCAATAGACGCAAAGTATAATTGAATGTAAAATAGGAACTGAATCACACAAAGAGAAGAGGTACTTTAACAGAAAAAAAAAAAAAAAAAAAAAAAAAAAATATAAGTAATCAAAAGTTGTGTCGGACAAGCAAGTTGAAATGTTTTCAAATATCGTTTTACATAAAGCAATAATCAAATAAGATCCTCTGGAGAAACCATATCAGTCCGTATCAACGTCAATGGACTGGTAACTAACTTGTAAACAGCATAAATTTGCAATAATATTAAATGCTGTACGAACTCTTCTTGATTGCCCGATACGTTAGACAATTAAAGCTGAAATATATCGAAGTGATCGAAACTTACTCGGTTGTCGAACACTCAGAGTAATCGAATCCGTGAGGTGTATCGTAGAGTCGTTTCTACTGGTTTGCTGGGGAGCAGCACCCTGTACATTCTGTATAACAGGGAGACCATCGTTCCGTTTTTGTTGCGCTATGACGTGACAGTCCGCGTCCTCGTTTCTGTCGGGCAACAGTACATCCATACGCCTCTGCTTTGCCGCAGGACCGCTATTTTGCGGTTGGACCGGCATTGCTTGCTGCATAGGTCTCTTCATACGCTGCCGAGGTACTGGACCTTGCTGCGGCATCCGCGGTGCTCTGAAATGTTGAATTCAGATGTTGAAAAGCTAGGTTGTACTAAGATGTAAAGTCGATGAAGGAGCTATCCTCGAGTTTCCGGACAAGGTTTGCTTTTTTTCATTCAAAGATAAGGGGAAACATATAAATTTCATCGATCATTATTCAAATTCGTCGTCATTGAATTCATTGATTCAATCATTATTAAATTTTGATTATCATCAAAATTCAAGTTTCATCAGTGATCTCAAAATTCATTATCATCAAAATAATTCGTCATATTCATTATCAGGATTAAATTCATACCCATCATCATGTTTTATGAATATTCTCAATATTCGATCATCAAGATTTATAATCGTTGAATTAGTAATCATTTAATTATAATTATTATAATTAAATTATAATTATTTTATTTAAATGATTAATAATATAAAACTAATACTGCAGTTCTTCGTGGGTTCTAGTCTGTCCCTCAATGTCCTTCCAGACGTTTCTGTCCAACTGTCTTAATTCTCCGTGATTTAATAATACTAAGGTTATTTCATTTGCCTCGTCATTGTCGAGAGTTCCGTCTATTGTATATCGATAAGAATTGTTTTCTCTACCTTAGGTTTCGGTAACAACAATTTTTTAGACGTGTGGATTGCCTATAGCGCAAACTCTTTTTCTTTACGGACGGCTCTTTTTCTTTCTTCGCGTCAACTCTGACTCTATTTCTCACTGAGAATGGTTACTTAATCTTCCGCAGGACTACCAGGGTTACTCAGGTTACTCAGGTTACCAGGGTCCATGTGGTTTTCATGCACTACCCTCTACATTAAAGGATTACTGATTGAATTGTATATTATGTGACACACAAATGTCATGTTCTTACCTGCTGTTTTGAACGACGGACGGATATCGCCCTCGTGGAAGTTGCTGAGACAATTGAGGAGGCATTTGCGGTGGCCCGGCCATCTGCGGATACGGCCCGTACTGGGGATACAAGTGCGCTATATGCGGCGTATAATGCATACCCTGAGGACCAGGTACTCTGTATAACGGCGGGCGACCCGGCGGTTGTACGAAGTAATTGGGACCGGGTATCATTGTGTTCGCGCCTGGAGGAAGACTCGGGGGCATTTGCCCCGTCTGTGGAAGAGGCATACGTTGCACTTGCTGGGCCAGTTGCTGCACAGGCGGCGGCAATTGCTCAAAGTTCACTGGCGGTATCATTTGTTGGCTCGCCGCCGCCGCAGCAGGACCACCATACGTCGGGGAATTGGTTTGATGCGGAGACGTCAACGGCGAATTTCTGCTGAGCTGCTGCTGCGAATTCGTAGTCGTCGTCGGCGGCGACGGCTCCATCGGCGGCGCGGTGTGGTGAGGTGAGTGGGTGTTGAGCTGCGGCGAGGCTTGGCTCAGATGCGGCGAGTTCTGATTGATGTGCGGCGAATTCGCGTTCAGATGCGGCGACAGCTGGCTCACGCTCGGTGAGAGCTGAGTGCCGTGCATTTGCGCCCGATGTATCGACACCTCCATCGGCGAGTTAAAGATCATACTAGCGCATTCCGGTATGTTGCACTGATAATGGCCGGCTTTGCCACGGTGCTCGTCCAGATGTGCGATGTCCTTGAACTTCTCGTTGCAGACGCGGCACGTGTTGACGGTCTCTGCCAGTTTCTCTAGAGATACGTACTCCGTCTCAACAGGTTGTAAACTGTTCGACAGCGATACCTCGTTCGGGTTGCGTCTCTGATGTTCGATGAGGAAATTCTGTAACAGCGAGCCAGCGTTTTCTATGTTCGTGTCGCCACTCTCCGCATGTTGCTGCTCGTCGCTGTCTTTAGGATCCTCGTTGCTTTTGCTCGACAAGTCGGCAGACAGTTGGTTCCAGTTGAAACCAGCCTGCGAGTCGGTCGATTCCCTGTCCTTGTCCTCGTTGTCACATACCGCGGCACGTTCCGCCGCATGATTAGTATACGTGGAAGACTTTGGAATAATGCTGATGGAAGGATTCTCCTCCAGATTGTGTATCATACTGGATTCGTGACTTCTATCATCCTCTTCCTCCACGGAGGAATCGTCAATCAGTCGATTCGTCGACCTGGAACTACAAAGGAAATACCTGTCATGTAGAATCATGTTGAAATCGCTCGAATATTTTTCGCGTTCTCAAGCAGTAACAGCATGTTTCAAATAAACAGTATAAACATGAATCACGCTAACTTTTGTAGTGTAAACATAAATCATATTGAACAATTGACACTTTGTTAGGATATCAAACAAAGCGATCTATATCCAAATCAATTTGCTCTACTGTTATATTGATTCTTCAATGAGTCAACATTTTCATATTGAAAGTTTGTTGATAATACAACATATGAATGTCAATCCTATGAATTAGCGCAGAATGTACATTATGAGCCAACTTACCTCGACTGTTCACCAAGTTTTTTCAAGTTTTCAATAGTTTCCCTACAAGTGGCTTCCAAAGCATCTGATTCTTCATGATCCTCAGATTCTGAAAGTCTCTTCTCAGAATTGTCGTAGTTATCAGCACCCTGTATATCATCAACATTTTGATCTTCCTTTTCGGATGGATTTGCCATATCACTCCCTACACCGGAATCACCTTCATTAACATCTAAGGACGGCCTATCATTCTCTTCTAGAAGATTATGATCGTCGTTGAATTTAATGTTCCCATAATCGTCCTGTAAAGAAAACAAGTTACAGAAAATACAACAAAAGCTGCACTAACACTTCATATCCTTTAAAAGAAACACCTACTTGTTGGTCCACCATCACGTTTTCAAAAGGTTCATTAAGCGAGCCCTCTGTTGCCCTATCATCTCTGTGGTCATTCTCCTTAGCACCTGCCACCTCTTCTTCTTGATAATTTCCGATATCTGGATAAAAGTTGCGATTCACTACAGTGAAGGCTTCTGAATTCTTCTTGATTGTAAGCTTGACACTTTGCTTCTTCAGAGTCAGCTTCAATGAACCCTTCTTCTCCGGGTCTAGCCAATACGTGTCACTCTGCCTCCTCTTCACCACCTTCGGTCCTGTCACCCTCCTGAGGACGATACACGGCTTCCTCAGATGAGTATTAATGTGAACACGCAGTAATTTCTTGGAGGCGAATCGCCTGCCGCAAATACCACAGTCCAACAGCGGTTGTTGACCGCTAAAACCGTCCGGCGACCTGGGAGTGCCCGCACGGTCGTCTGAAACAGAAGGCATGAGTGCCATCAACGATGCCGACGGGATTACATGTTGTCACCGTCGTATCGCGCGCTTGCATTACACACGCACACAACGTTACGTGTAGCGTGTAAAGTTTGTTTGGTGCGCAGAAGTTACATCGGTTGTACGCGAAGGGGAGGGAGACGCTAAAGAGGGACACACGAGGACGCGCGGAAGAGAGAGCGAGAGAGCAAACGAACTGGGGAAAGAACGAGAGAGAGAGAAAGAGATGAGAAAGAGAGACAAAGATCATGCAAATAACGTATTGACGAAGGTAACTGACCGCTAACCGATCGTTCTGTGTACACAGGCGGTACGTACGATCTGCCGAAACGATCTGTTGTACAGTAAGTCACTAGCGATTTGCCGCGCTTTTCCTCGTCGCTGTCAAACCGCTCGCTCTCGCGGCGACGTTACTCGACTCGGCCGACTACTGTACGTGTGTGGAGACGAGTCATTGGTCACGAACGCGCGCGATTCGTCGCACTCAGGAAAGAAAAGGAACAACCTCACGTTACATCAACGGTGCAACGAGACAGAGTATATAAATTATGTGTATGCTATATATTATGTATACACACATACGTGTGTGTGTGCTGTGTGTGCATGTGTATATATGTATGTACACACAATTGACGTACATATAAGACACGACGAAGATCGCTTGAGTCCCGTCAGATTTCGCACACGTGAACGTAATTGAAGACCATCGCACAAGATGGTCGGTGCGCGCGAGAATCGCTTCGCGCTTTCGCTGAGAATTGAAAATACGACTCGCGAATCGATACGCACGCGGCTAAAACGCGCGTCCCATTGGCCGCTTGCGTATCGGCGCGAGTCTTTCAGCTAGTCGATTGGTCCAGCGACCATACCGGAATATTCGCGACGGAGTCTCCTGCGTGCAGTGCGGCGATTCGTGAAAGCGCAAAAAAGTGCTGCTGGCTAGAGCTAATCCTTCAACATCGATTGACCTAACCTAACACGGATCTGTCCCTAACCTCACTCAATCTCAATTGAGCAGCGCTCGATGTTCTTTCTTCTTCTAGATATTTCAAGATCCGATGAATACCAACAAGGATAATGGAGAATAAATGTATTCAGATATAACGATTAAGCTTGAGAATAATTAACATTGAGACAAAAAAGTGGTCTCCAGAAAGATATAAATACTCGCGCAAAAAAAATTAGATAATACTTCTGCGGCTGCGAAGAAAATAACGTGGAATATACAAGTATAATGGACTACATTGAATTATATTTAATTTATCAGAGACGTATAAGAACCACCTGTCAATGATGTACACATAAAGAGGCAAAACATGAGTTAGTAGATGGAATGCAAAGTGCGATATGGTAGATTATTATCGCAGACGTGATTACGTGTACTTTGTCGCGCGCGCGTGTGTTTATGAATTCCTAACCTGTAGACGACGCAACTTGCGTAGCCGGTGGCGGGACAGTAACAAGTTTGTTGTTTCATCGCTTCACATAAATTTTTTCGATTATACATAGATAAGATGATAATATAATGGTATAAAATAGTTTTTTTTTATATATATATATATATATATATAATAATGGTTAGAAAGACTGATGGACACGTTGGAAAGGAGCGATCTTGATGGAAATTAGCGCAATTCTTTTTTTTTCTTCTCATATTTTTCTCTCAAAATCAAGGCATATTTTCTTCTTTCTCAATTGTGAAAATAATAACAAAGATTTCAGTCAAGTTTCAATATGAAAGCTTATTAAAAAATTAGAGAACATTTGTTTGATCAAATATAATCTTTATCATTATCATTATCAATACAAAGTTTATAATTTTCGTATGCATATTATAAACAAAATGTTCAACATTGTTTGACAAACTTCAACAAGATATGGAGAGTATCTTCTCACTATATTTTTTTGAAGATATTAAATGTATGTTCAGATATAGCTTGATATAGAAACTGATGTATGTTGAGATATAACTTGATAATAGCTTGATATAACTTGATAATAACTTGATATAGAAACAGTGTTGTTATGATGTTTATATTTTGAATAATTGTCATCATTACCTTCGACTTGTACAGAAAGAGTAACACTAAAGAATAGATCTCCAAAACATGTCAACAATTGTACACAGAGGGACATAAAAGTCTTTGTACATAAGGTCATATTATTTCAGTGAGTATAATAGATCTTTTGTGTGGAAACATCTGAAATGATATAACTTTGTGTAAAAACGTCATCTGTATACAAAGTCGAATCAGAGCTCATCATAAGCTGTATCTGATGACTGTTGGTTACAATTTATTATATATCTCTTTTGTGCTTTATCTCTTTTTAATAAAAAGTAAAAATTGTTTGGAATCATTACCTTCTTTTCAAAATTTACCCAAGATTTTATAGAAGATTTTTATAGAATAAAATAAAGAACTATTATACATATTATGTTCTAGGATACAACAATTTTCTGAGACATAAAGTAAATACATCATGTGTATATGTATGTGTGGCAGCAGACAAAAATGTTAAATTCGTTAGTTTGATTCACATAAATATAATTATTATACTTGATAGAGATTAGCATATATTAGTTGTCTGTGTTACGATTGTTATATAAATACACGAAAACGCGCACGGAAATTTTTGTAACAAATCCACAATGCCGTAGTACTTACAGATTTTATCTTGCGTGGAAAATTTAAATTCTGCAAAATCGCGATCCAGTGGACTGTTCATTTCCGATCTGCGAACACAAAGGCGTCCCAGTGTCATTAAGTTTTGGAAACTTTGTAAATGGATTTGTAAATATCTAATCACGTGCACACGCTTAACCCACGCAGACTCATTTCCAAAAATACGAGGGAGAATAATTATCTCACTACGTATACCTTATCTTCATTCACCTTTATCGTGCGTGCATGCGTGCGCGCGCTCACGTGCTATTACACCGTATACATATTACTTCGAGAGCATGCATCGTACTTACAGGCATTGTTATCAACAATGCTGATTGTCAAAAGCTTGTTAACATCGGCTTATCCTCGGTCGAGCAAATAACAAGCTTTAATCAGCATAATAACACAATATTATGATCACCATGCGACCGATCCAGCACGCACATTATCCCTCGCCGATTTTCAACGCGGTTTCAACGTGATCCGGTGTCCCGCGCACCGGAAACGCGACTCCAGCGGGCGCGCTCTTCCGACAGTCGCGAGGACGGAGTGTGTGTATATGTGAGAAAGAAAGAGACAGAGAGAGAGAGAGAGAGAGAGAGAGAAACACGCGCGAAAAAGCGGAGCACACGAAAGCAGGAGAGCCGGACTCTGCGCGAAAGTACCGCGCGGCCAAACGCGTGAGAAGCACCAGCGGCGGCTCGTCTCCCGTTGGAACGTTTCGAATCGGTAAACGCGGCGTTCAGCAGCGGTAGGTAAAGTCAATTAAACACGCCGCGCTAGTCTCGAATCCACTTGGCGCGCCTGGCGGCGTCGGTGACGGGCGGGAAGAAGAGAGAAACGGCCCTCCCTTTACCTCCGTTCGTCGTGAAACGTAACGCACACGTCCCGCGCGACGATCCTGTCCCGGACGCTGGCGCTCCGACGATCGACATCAACGCGGAGGCAACTCAGCCACGTGATCGCGCCGGAAGGCGGCTGATGATCCTCCGTTCGTTGTCGTCGCCGTCGTCGTCGGCGGCGGTTCCACGCGCGCGAGTACAAGTGTCCACCACCCTCCCTCCCCTTCGCCTCCTCCTCCTCCTCCTCCTCCTCCTCCTCCTCCTCCTCCTCCTCCTCCTCCTCCTCCTCCTCCTCCTCTCCTCCCCGCTGGTCCGCCGCTCGCGGATCTACCGTGGGATTCTTTACATAGGATCGAGAATATGGCTGACGGTGTATTACGACATGATCACTACCGTGCTGCTGGTGTGTGCTGGTCTCTGTTGTATGATTGTTTACGGTAATTTTGCACTCTGCAGCAATTCGTTGTTCATGTAAACGAGCAACGATATTCGAACGATGAGAAAGAGATGCGCAACGACGATCGGCAGACAACGGGCCGCGTCTGCGATTCCTCGTCCTACTAGCCAGGTCCAGTCTCAACTTATATTAATACGTGTGGATATATCGAGCCGCCAATATGGTGGCACGGCGCGCGCGAGAGAGAGAGAGAGAGAGAGACGCGCGCGAGCGTACGGGCGGGCGTGCGAGCGAGCGAGCGAGCGAGCAAACGAACGAACGAACGAGCGACAGGATATAATCAACTCAGTGTGAATTCGTGCCGAACTGTTGAGGCACGAGTTCAGCGGCGAGGTTCAGAGTGTTCAGATACGTTGTTTTGTGAAAAGGTACGCGCGCGCTCGCGCGCGCGCGCGTGGAGCAGCGTGCGCCGTTCTCTCTGCTGCCGCTGCAAACGGCGGGATTGAGCCTCTCCTGCTCTCCCCGTCGCCGCTGTATCAGCAACTACCCTGTACTTCCTCGCACCGCCGACATCTCCCCTCATTCTCTTTCGCTCGCTCTCTTGCACCCTTCCCTTCTCGCCCCCTCGTCCTCCCTTTGTCCTCTCCCGCTATCGCCAAGTCATGTCGTCTCTTTTCTTCGACGCAGTTGGCAGGTTACTCTCGCCATACTTGTTATTGTACTCTCTCTCTCTCTCTCTCTCTCTCTCTCTCTCTCTCTCTCTCTCTCTCTCTCTCTCTCTCTCTCTCTCTCTCTCTCTCTCTCTCTCTCTCTCTCTCTCTCTCTCTCTCTCTCTCTCTCTCACACACACACACACACTCACATGTGATGACGACGACGGCGCGCGCGAGCGCACGTCGCTTGTATATACGCCCTTTGCATGGAACCCAACAAGTACAAAAGGGTGACACGCACACCGAGCGCGGATGGTCGAGTGGGTGCGAGAGCGAGAAACGAGTGAGAGAAGAGGAGATGGGGGAGGAGGAGGAGGTAGAAGGGTTACGGAGAGGAGGAATAGTTGTGTGCGTGTGGAAGAAGGAGCCCGAATTGAAATTAAATCAACTTAATGTGCACTCGAGTGCGGGTGGGGAGCCAATGAGTGACAGCGGTTGCTCTCGTGACGCAGGCGCAGCAAGGAACATCGCTAAACAACATCGTACCCCCCGGTTCCCTCTCTGCGCCACGTCGCTTTTCCTACCCAACCATTTTGCCCTCCTTCCGCCTCTCGTCACTCTCTTCTACCAGACCTCTCTCTCTCTCACACCCTTTCTTCCTTCCTTCACCTACCGCTCTGCTCCGTCCTCCCGTTGAGCCGCTCTGCGCAGAGGTACTCTCTTTCTCGCTTGCACTCCCAGCTCTTCCGAATGCCGCAGCTTTCGACTGCTGCTGAATCCCTCATGCCGTGCAATTCCCCAGCGAAATCGTCAACGCCAGCTATCCAATTGCCACCTGTCATCCATTGTACTTAAAAGCTACCGTATTGTCTTTCTCTCTCCCTCTCCTCTCTCTCTCTCTCTCTCTCTCTCTCTCTCTCTCTCTCTCTCTCTCTCTCTCTCTCTCTCTCTCTCTCTCTCGTCGGGGACAATTTATATCCATAATTTTGCGGTGGTTTTCCTGGTTCCACGATAACTCAGACAGCAGCCGGCACCCTCTTTGACACACTTCGTCTAGGTCGTGCAGCCGCCCTCATTCATCGGTCCGTAATACCATGTACAAAAGTCAATTTCCGGCAATTTCCGGTCGCCTCAAAGCTGATCGCAAGTTGTCGCGAGATGAACGTTCCGCTCCTCGCCTCCTCGCACAATCGAACATCTCCCTTGACGATCCTGCAAAATAAATCGACATGATGTATATTTCTCTTCAACATTTCTCCGTTTCATTTGATAAACAAGACGTTGTATAAAAATGCTATCGCAAATTCTTGCACTTATCGCTTACTCACTGCATGACTAGTGTGATGTGCTTAATTATACATTGTTCGTAACGCATAAACCTTGAGGAGAATTAGCCAACGAGCGATGTATCGCGATATAACGCATGCAACAATGCAACACGAGCGAGTACTCGCGGTTAACGCGTTCGCCGATGTCTGAAGAAGATGAACGAGCTTTCTAAAGTATACTTCTTTTTGCTTTTGAAGAAGACATAAAGCGTAGTTATTCTAACCACATCTCGCGTAACCGGTTTGTCCGGTAAAGTTTACGTGAGTGAGGTGTGGTCGGTAATGGTTGGAGGTCGATGAGGACAAACATATAGTAGGGGAACTCAACGGAATATATCGAAAACGGCCGAATCTGCTGTCTATTGATCGTAACGGATCCCCGGTCCCGAGATACTCAAACAGCACGCTGCCGGAATTCTATACTTAGCTCCCTAGACAGAAAACGGCTCTACCCAGTTCGGTAGGCCCAAGGGAATGAATACGACCGCGGGAAAAAATAGGAGGGACCAGTAGAATAGTTGACCAGAATTCTATATACCTTATCGCAAGGCAAAAAGGAACCGAAAGAAAAAAAGGAAAGAAAAGAAAACCGGCACATTTGCGTGTCAATTATCCCAGTGAGGAAGAGGATTCCTTCCTCACTGGGATTCACCAGCACTCTTAGAGCTACGTTTGCACGACATTGTAGTCGCATTGTATACGTCGCATGAAAAACGAGTATCCTCTGCGTTGTATACCATGAAAAGGCAGCCTACAGAACGAACGCACGCTCCGCTGACGTCACCTCGCTCGCTAAATAGAATCTGTCAAGGAAACGGCGAACGAAAAGTGGCTGTCGTCGGGATCCGAAGGCCACGGCGACGTTTCGCTCGATTATGGGTTACTTTAGCTTGAGCGCGTACAAAAGCCTAACGGTTAATCAGTAGGCAATAATTTGCCTATCGCATTTTACATAACTATGACGCAATACAATACACGTCACACCATGACTCGTCGACGAGTCGATATTAATAGCGAGCGTCTGAATGTTAACGAGAATAGAATAATCAGCCAGTTGTGCGTGTGTCGTTGTCCTTGTTGTCGTTAGCGTAGTGAAGCTACAAGCTAGCTAGCTATAGTTGGCTGGCTGGCTGGCTGGCTGGCTGGGTTGGCTGGGTTGGCTGGTCAAATATGTGCACCCGGCTGCCGGTGGTACTCACATTCGCGGAATATACTTGACTATCGATCCTTCCCGCACACCCTGCATCCTACCCTACCGCTACTGCGCCGTATATAACTCGCGTGCTACGATTTAGCAGACCTCTGTACTAGTATGCGCAATGACCCCGTTAGTTGCGCAGGGAGGGTAATCCTTTTTATGGAGCAGGCGAGATTACCACGATATAGTAGTGACTTGGCAATGCAGAGAGTGATACGAGAAACGTGTGTGTGTGTGTGTGTGTGAGAGAGAGGAGGAGGGAGGAAAGCGAGAATGAGCGAGGAAGAGAGGGAAGAGGGAGAAAGAGGGAGAAAGAGGGAGGGTGGGAGAGGGAGAGAGAGAGAGAGAGAAAGCGATAGAAGAGACGCTGTGACGTACGTTGACCTAGCATCCCCGTTCGCCGTCTATCCTTCCTCCACTCCGCGAGAGAGCCCAGTTTTACTACGAGTTGCGCACAACTTTCTAAGCTCGATTCCCTCCTGATGAGTTTTGTTCAAGTTACGCCGCTTGGGTAGATGCTAAGCAGCACCGGCAGAAAGGGGTGAAAAAAGCTGCGAGCCCGCCTTGATTGCGCGCCTCATTAGCGAGGCCGCAGGACGGCGTTGCCTCACAACCTGTTCGAGCTTACTGCGGCGTGAAAGCATCCTGATCTCCTGTCTCAATGCATAAGTTTCTGACGTATTTCTTTTTTTTCTCCTGCCGGTCCGTTCAGATTTGCGCGACGGGTTCTTATACGACCGTAGTCGGCTGTAAACCGTATGCGCGTACGCGACCGTTATTATCAAGAGAATATTCGCGGTTATAAACGTAAAAGGCGTAAGGTACTTCGGAGCTCGCAACTATCGCAGTCTCGAACAGCAACCAGCCGGTCTCTGCCTGCTGGCAGAGAGATCGATCGAGCTTCCTGCAGCCTGTCAGGACACGATGAATGATCATACTTGCTATTCCGCGACTCGCGGAAGTATTTTTTCTTTTTGACATACACTGAAATATATATTAACAGATATTAACATCTCATCGCGCGGCGAATAATAGTATTACTTTCCTCACGACTCGTGTCGCATTAAAACTTTGTGGCCGGCGGCGACGATGCCGCGCGTATGCAATATGATATGTCTCGCAGCCGGGCATCATCAACCTCTGTCGGCATAATCACGCGAGGCAACGTTTCAGCATAATGCGAATCGCATATAGTCGCGTGTGTACATGTGATCCTGTACAACCAGTGGGAATATAATAACCGCGTACGCACAAGCCGATATTACTCAACCGCGACGTGAGTTTATGCGTTCGTAGAGAGCGCAATAAAAGATAATAGCTTTACTCTCTGCTCCCCTCTCCCTCTCTCTCTCCCTCTTTTTCTGTCTCCCTCCCTCTCTCTCTTTTCCTTCCTCTTTCATCCCAACCCTACGAGAGAGGGGTGGGACGAAATAGAACTGGAATTTTCCGTTCGTACTAAGCCCGCCTCTCTCTCTCTCTCTCTCTCTCTCCCTGTTCACTTGATATGTGTGTATGTGTGTGTGTGTGTGTGTGTGTGTGTGTGTGTGTGTGTGTGTGTGTGTGTGTGTTTGCGCGCACACGTACACGTATTCTCTGCGTCGCTGTTGCTGGCAAGTCGATCGTTGCTGTTGCTGAGCGCTCTCGCCCTCCACTACCCCACACGATGACGTTTTTGAACGCCAGAAACGTTGGCTCGGCAAAAAGAGAGAGAACGCTTGGCAACGCAGGAAACCTACCTACATCCACTTCCCTCCCCCCCTTGCCTCTTCTGCGTCCTCATACCCGGTTCCTCTCCTTTCCTTCAAGCGTCTACCCCACAATATCTATATCCACATCTACCTAGAACTTCTATACGTTTACATACCAGTAAACTTGCGGCTTGCTGGAATCGACCCCACCATCTTCATCCTCTCTTCTCCCCGCTCCTTCCTCCTCAAACAATGGCTCTCTCCGTTATATTCTCCTGCTCCCCTCATTTTTTTTTCTTTTCGTATTTCTTGGGATTGTAGCTACGCAGGTACACGGTGAAAGCGCACGGTGAGTCGTCGTCTGTTGGATTATTTCACTGTAAAAACTACTTATAACCTCGAATCTCTTGCATCTCCTGGGAAATGAGTTTCTTCGGAATGACAGACTCCTTTGGTATCCAAAAGAAATTTCCTGTCACTTTCAGAAACTTCAAAATCGTCGTCCTGACTGAAATGAACAAAGCTCGACTTTTACAGAGAAACAAAACAAATAATAATGACGATCTGCATTTAAAGTATAAAATTCAGAAGAGCTTCACTTACTCGCTACATCCCTTTAAAATCGATGTGACGTTAAATTTTTCTTTCCTTTTCCGTTCCTACGTCGGACACGCCCAGTTTTCCCTTTGTTACGTTTTCAGTAGCTTGCAGCTGTTCAAAGAGAAGAGAGGCAATTGTGTTTCTAAAAATACATGACTTAGTCGCTCATCAGCAATGCAATCGAGATATTTTCTCGCGCTACGTTTAATATTCAATTTGACCTCGTTTGTTGACCTCACTGGTTGCTAGGCACCAGAACCGCACCGGCAGAAGGGGAGGGTTGGAGAAGGGAAGGGGTTTAAGCTTTAGCGACGTTGTCAAATTGCTCACGGACGCGGATCAACCAACGCAACGCAAGGCACGAACCAACCAACCAATCAACCAACCAATTATCCAACCAACCAACCAGCTAGCCGCGACCAGCCAACCGGTGGTTGAAAATTCCTGACGCCGTGAACGGCATAGCCCGTCAATTATGCGCGGCACCGGAACGATTAATCGTCCAATTGATCGGTCGTCCTCTCAATGCTGCTTGTTTTCACGCCGAGTCACGGCGCGTCCGAACAATCAGGGCGCTTTTTGTTTCGCGGACAATGGCCGTCAATTTATCACTGGGGATCGATCGCGCGCGGTTATGACAAGAAGGAACCTTCGCGCCTGTTAAATTTTCATTGTTTCGAGCGTGCAACGTGCTGCCTTCGTTTTCGACGCGAGTATTTTGCAAGGAAACGTCGAAGGCGAAGACAGACTCCTTGTATCTCCGGGCGATCAAACATGTCGCCTACACGGCTAATTTCGTCGCGAGCACTCCTCGCCAAAGTTGTTAAACTCGAGAAACTATCGCGGGGTGGTGGCAATCACGCGACATGAATTATGACGATTACGCCGATCAAGCAAATGGCACAAACAATGCCCAATGTACTTTTGATTGTTGCGCGATTGTTTTGACGAAGCTTCGACTCGCTGTAATTTGCGGCAATTATGGCGGCCGGTATGCAATTACGCAGTCGGCGCGCGCGGTCGAGCGCTTTGCTATATAAAGCTACGGATTATTTTTAGCGCGAGCAAAATGCAGGAAGTTATATTATTCGGTGCTTGTCGACGCATACACGATATCGAGGCAACGTGTTTTGACACGCGTGTTGCAATGCGCTCAAGTTAAACCTTCCTTTGGCGTTCCTCATTGCGCTCTCTGTTGCCATGCCTATAAAGCCATCTTTTTAATAGCTTAAAAGCTTCAAGAGCAAGAGTGCTCGACAGCGTTACGATGTAAAGGCTACGCGCAAAAAACAGCGAGTCGAACAGCGGCTCGTCGCGAGGCGTCGAATTATGAACGGAATCGGAAAGCAACTTGAAACGCTTGGATCGGCAATCTCGAGACACCCGGGATACGTTATGCTCGAAAAAGTAACATGTCCACGAGTTTGCGAGCTCGCCACAGTTTCGTAAAAAATTATCATTTCAGAGATGTGGGTGCACGACTTCGTCAAGAATTGAGTTTTTCATATTCCTGCACGTCGAGTTATGCAAATTCGGCAATGGCAGGGATAAACCGTTTACCTGGACGTCGTTTTCCTTGATCCGGATAGCCGCTTCTGGATAGTTAGCGTGAATAATGGAAGTGCAACAAGCGCGAATTGTTGCACCGAGTTGTGGATTCTGCAACCGCAGCGTCGCCAACCGGCATCGCATAGAGGCTACCTTTCTTGATCGTTGTGTCTCCATCTAAAGTGCAATTGTACAATCAAGTGCTTGATATGGAGTATCGATTGATACCGTCGCGACCACTCGAGACTCAAATTACCGACAAATTCGTCTGGTATAATGCGTTTTTACAGAGACTCTGTGCCGATACATATCATTTCATTCTGCCTTCGTTAATTAAACTCTGAATTCAAGTTGTTCGTTTTAAAATCCTTAGGTATGCAAATTGATCACTTAGTCGAATTGGCTAACATTGAGTGTATTATTGTATATTACTGTAAACATTTAAACGTTGCAAGTGCTCCGAGTAATTTCGCTTCGATGTGACAGTTGTCAGCTGACAACATAGGTAAACATAATCTTTATTATGCGACACTTTTAGTGTTTCTTTCGTACGCTTTTACGCTTCACTCTGTGTTGGAATATTTATAACATGAGTATTTTCCACGAGGCTGTTCTCTTTTCAGTGTGAACAGTCAAGTCTAATATTATATTCTAAGTTAATTGACAACGAATGTATACTGTGAGACAGTGAAGCATGTTTGGATCACTACGTAGCAAGTTTCAAACAGTGCAAGAAGGTATATCCGCTAGGTAAAGTACTTTGCGTGTTTGGCTTATTGTCCGTCTTTATTTTTTTTATCAATATATAAATTTTACACAAGTGATAACATATTATTCTAGTAAAATTAATAAGAATATGTGAAATAAAATATCAGTTATTTAATAGGATCATGCTTATGAATGATATGTATGTTAGAAATAAATTAAGAATAATAATAATGATAATAAATTTAAAAAATTGTAAATAAGGATTTATTGTAGTATACGAGGACTGTCAAGTACTGAAACTCCAAAGAACAAAAAACCAACCAATATACGGAATGTAAATTATGATGCTGGTGCAGATATATTGCATCGTTTCCAATTACAATGGAATGAGCTTCATGAACTCTCAGAGGAAAATGCAGGAAAAGCTCAGGAGGCAGATACACTGGTATCTTCTATCCATGAAAAGCTTCAACACGAATGGGACAGTGTTACTTGTTTAAACAGTACTTTAGCCTATATTCCAAAGATTAATAATGCAATTCAAGACCTCATGGACCAAATAGGTAGCTTCACTTTAGAAAGACATATATAATATATGAAGGATTTTTTCTAAAATTTTTTATTACATCAAAGGAAATTTGCAAGAGATGTTTGAGGAAGTTGAAGGAGCTTTATATCGATTGGAAGACCTCAATGAAATGCTGGATTTGCAAAATAGACAGTTGGAACACAGGTTTCAGTTGGCTATGTACAAAGAAAAAAAGTTGTTAGAATTAAATAATTTTAAAGGTATATTGCAAGACAATAAGTTCTATATTTAATTGAGAAATTTTTGCCATTATTTACTTTAAATGTTTTTTAGCAAAATTAGCTAACGAGCACATTGAGAGAATCTCACAATATGAATTGAAACAGCAAAAGAAACTGAAAGAACGACGTGAAACTTTTGAAGAAGTTTTTAAAGAAGATCTTGAAGAATATAAAGCAACTGGATCTATATCAAGTATGTTTTATTCCCGCATTTTTTTAAGTAGAATAATTAATTAAGTAGAATAAAAATATTAAGCAGAATAAAAATATTTTTTAATACAAAACTGCATATTAATTAATTCATTTGTTTCAAATTTTCAGAACTACCACTTTCCTCAGAAGGTCCATCATTGGATGAAATAGTGTTAGATATTGATACCAAAATATTTGACGAATTTTTAGAAAATTAGAAGTAAGAAGGATTATGAGTATATCTACAAAAGCTAATTGATTATTATAATTATGTGTCTTATTTCAAGATTTTATGCTAATGGAAAAAAAATCTTTTTACTGCATTTCCTACAATTAGATATTAGGGCTGTGACTTGACAATTCAAGTTTTCTAATATAATAATAGCAAAAAAAAGTTTTTTGATGTATGAAATCTTCCACGATCTTGTATTTATCAATTCATAAGCTCATTTTTATGTTTAATAGGACTTTATATGATGCAACATATGTGTGTATGATTTGTTACTTTATTATGTATAATATTTACGATTAATTATAATACTTAAATTCTATCCCATATATATATATATTTGCTTGTAAGTGTAGATGCAGAAAGAGAAATTATTTTTATTAAATTTCTTTAATTTTACCGAAATAAAATAAAACGGCATATTAAACATTTTTGAAAATATTTATTTTCTATACCTCGATTAAAATGAACTCCATATCAAGTTACATATTACAGATTGAGAAAGGAGTTAATTTCTATTTTGTGATTGGTCAAGTTTTAATTTATAATTCCAATCTTTAGTAGTCCTATTTTTTTATAGTCGCATTAAATTATACTCAGCGTACAACAAAAGCGAAATTGATATGTATGCTTAAAACTCGGTTGTAAAGAAAAATTAAAAATTTACATAATTCAGAAAATACAGCTGTAAAGAACAGACTTAATGTGCAGTTTGATACAGGCTTAAGACCTGATTTACAAAATATGCCGTATGTATCAGCACATATGCGGTATGAGATACCTGCAGTGACTAGTTCAAAAGTATAAAAGATTTTTGAAAGAAAACAGAGTTAAACAATCGTAAAGGAGACGGCGATTTTAAACTGTCGACATCCCTTAGGTATATAATCTTAAGTATACTTGAATATAACAACTAATGACATATTATTCCTTATTTCGTGCTGTTTTTGAGGTTATATGCTTTGAGATATATTAAGATTTTGATTTCGTAATATTTCCAGCAAGCTAAAGATTTACGTGTCGGTGTACAAAATAAAAAACGAATATTGTGAAATAATATGATGGATCTGGATTTGCGAAAGAGACAAAGGAGAGACAGGATATACGACAAGTTGCACAGAGGTTTTGTAAATACTTGCATCGGTGTCACGTTGATCGGTGGAGTTCTTCTCGGTTACAAAGTATACGAGTACTTCGTATATATTCGACCCTTGCACAAGGCGCAGTATAAAGTAACTGAAGAAAATCTCTTAGATGAGGGTAGGAACATAGAAGGACCCTCGGATGCAGAAATATCAGCATGAAGTGTCACCTGATGACTGTCAGCATATAATGAAAATTCTCAAATATATAATTATAATGACAGTAGATAAAATTAAATGAGGTAATGCGATATAATGAATTGTTAAGGATCAGAATTTCATAAACTGTGAATAAACCTCATAATGTAGATTATTGTATATTTCATGTAATAAATATAAAGTTAAATTCATTTTTATAATATATTAAAAGTATAATTTATATATATGAATGATATAGGAACATGCATTTATTAATTAACTCAAGATTCATTACATCCATTTTATTCGAATAGTTTCAATTGTAGCTATTATCACCTGCTCTCTCACAAATATACAATAATAATTTTGTTTTACATCAGCAGATTTTATTTCTATTATATAAAAAGTATATTGTGAAATATTATTTGGCCCTGAGTCATTTCGAAACTTTGTCGAAATTGATGTGAAATTTTGAACGTTTGAATTTGTAATCTGAAATGTGACATCTATGGTCCGGTCACGTCAGTGAACAGTAATTTAAATTGACTGAATTTTCTTTCTCTCATATAGAAGTACCAAATGAAACAAAAAATTCAGATGTCTCGTCCAAATGTGCAATCATCCTTGACGCAACCGGAGCGAAGAAACTTTTATATAATGAGAGAATATGGTGCATAGAATGATATTCACATACAATCTATTTTCTATCATAGGCATGAATAGAACATGGGACAAATTCAGTGTTGCATAATATACAAATATCTTTGAGCATTATATTGCTTTCTTTGCTAAAGTATTCTTAACATACAAAAAAAGATGTACTAGAACTATACATTAAATGTTTGTATAAAATGCATAGCAAATCACGGGTACTTAAAACGTAACGTGTACTAAATTTAGAACACATTTCGCGGCTTTTTGCACAATATCAAAGTATCAAATTAATCTTACAATAAGATATATTTATAAAAACTGTAACGTCTCTGTTCACTTTCAAAATATTTCCCAATATTTCAAATGTGTGAATTTTGTGTGATAAATGCAATATGATATTTACATTGAATTTCGAAAACATAACATGATAATGACATATTGAATCTTTTTTGTCACATAAGCATTTCTTTTACTTTTCACCATTAGAAAGTCACCATCTTCAGTACTGAGCATAGTATAACTTTTTTGGACTTATATCGTATCATTATGCTACTATATCTCTAGCGCCGAAAATATAATTTCTTATACACACGATAATCATTTGTATTTTTCTTTCTTTTTTTTTCAAGAAAAAGCTAAGAACTGTGAGACTGGAAGGATAATTTTTAGCAACACAACCAGGATTTCGCATCATATAAAATCTGTATATTAAATAAACATTTTGTTTACTATTTACACGTATGATATCGGTCGAGTGTGCAATGTAACATTTACAAAAATGCATATACGAAAAATGTATGCACAATAAAAGCAATTTTTTGTATATCAACATGATCAAATATTTTTACGTTGAATTTAATATGAATCGTCACTCGGACACGCAACGCATAACGCCTAAAAAGGAAGAAATAGGCAGATATCGTATATTGTCGCGAAGCTACAACTGTAAATCGTACAGAAGGCAATGCATTTTATACATCACACAGGTATTTACTTTCGAATACAAAATACATTTTGTTCTTGTTTCATATGTACAATATGTGTTCTCTACTGTATAATGGACACAATTTGTACTCTGTTCCTTGACAGTGCCACTTATTTTTAAAACATACATATATACATATGTATATACAAGAGTCAGTTGGTTACCATTGTATATAGAGAGAATATATGTCTTATTAGCCTGCATAAGTAGATCTCGAATTCAATGTTATAACATTATTCCCGCATTTTCTAGTACATATGTATGTATATATGTTCCAAACATGTCACATTATTATGTCATCAGATTTCGCAAAATAGTATTTTAGAGAGATATCCGCGGATATTGTGTGAATATGTATAAAATGAAATTCCTCATGCTACGTTCTGCGCGCAATTATCGATATATGTAATTATATACATGTCTTTGAATATCAGTCAATATAGGAGTTCTACTTCGCGCACGATTACTTGTGTAAACCTAACGCTCGATGTAACGTAATAATCAATGATTGTGTTCGGCAGAAGTCACTCACTGTATCAACGTATCATTGCAACACCAATGACTCTTCGAAAATTCTGTTAAACATTCTTCTCTTATTATATTGTATTTGCTTGTGTTTAACACGTTGCTCTTATTAAGTGTATCTTCGACACAGAAATAGTAGCAACCGTGTTTAGTAAACACATATGAAATGCGAACAGACGTTCAGCAAAATATTTCGCGACGGACGTATAAGATATTTTTCTGCTGAATGTGTCATCTCAAAGACAAGATTATGCTGTTGTAAGGGACGACTGAAAATTGTAACGTTACATCGTTTAACTAAATTCTTGTTTTCGAGAAACTATATCCAATTGATAATATAGGACGATATTCTCGAATAACACGTGATCGAGGTATGATCTTTGAAAAAAGTATTTTTATGCAAAGATCATTCGGCTGAACACTTTTTCAAAGTTTATTATTTGGAAAATCTTGTGCACGCGTATGATACACAATCCTTCCTATTCATCGTCATAGAACAAGCAATGTCCTTGTTATATAATAAACAAGAAAACATTGTGGTAAGACATGTCCTGAAAAGGACGGACATTCACAAGAGGAAAAGTCCCGAGTTTTATCGCCACTCACAAATGTCTCGATTTTGATGACAATGATAACACGAAATTCCTTACCTCGTTCGTAAGTCGAGCAACGTCTGTTATCATTATTTCGATCATCATTGTGTAACATACTTACAAAAAGAAAAAGAAAAAATTATATAAACTGTTTTTAGAGTTAAACGACATATATTCACGATTGTAAAACGTCCGATGAAATACATTTCGATACACTACGACACACTTCATCATGAGGAGCACTTGCACAAAACCCTGTAGCCCATAAACTAGAAATCGACACCATAAAGATGGCCGCTTTTTGCGGCTGAACCTAGTTACGAGCTGTTCGAGCTTGGAGTAGAATTAGAGTCTATGCGCATCGAATCAATCTTGGCTACGATCTTCAATGCGGGACCCAATTTAATACTCATAGCTGACATGAGGTGGTCTTCTTTCAGCAGCATAAGTGCTTGACCGTCGATTTCCTGAATGGCGAAATCCTCCGCATAATCAGCGCATCCTGGTAAACCGCGTATGAAATCGCACACTTCGTTCACCTGGGAAAGCAATAAATTTTTTGCCCATCACCGTTCGATTATCTCATCTACTATCTTGTAGCGTGCATGCATGTTTATGGAAGATGTTTTCATTACCGTCCATTTAACTGGATTCACTTTCGGCAGTGATTCATCGATGGAGGATGTGGTGCTCGTTGATAACGGCCTCTCCTCACTGTTCTTTTTCGTTATGTCATTATCGGCGGTTTTAGTTTCAGTCTCTGTCCACTGCTTCTCCAGTTTAGCATCGCGCGTTTCGCGCTTTTTGCTGTGAATAATATATATATTTTTTCAAGTATGACTGTAGCAGCCATTATTAAGTATTTGATATTTGCAAGAGTAATCAGATATCGTCTGAAAATATTTTCTTCGCACACCTTCTCCCCTCATGTTCAAGAGTACAGCACTCACCTCTTCGCACACAATGACGAGCAAAATCGCTTCTCTTTCTTGAGCTTGATGTTTTGTTCGTCGATTATCTTGTCGCAGTTTTCACATTTACTGGTCGATCTACTGCTTCCATCCTCTTCACTCGGATAATTAGGAATGTGTTTCTTTCCTGTGATACAAATTGTACAGTATTAAATTCCAAACGCGCAACACTGTGACGACTTAACAGAAATAAACGACTTACTCGGTGGTTCTTCGAGAGTTTCCCTTTCGGTGGCTGTGTTATTCCGATTGAGAGTATTGGTAGTGTCTTGACTTACCGCGAACGGTTCCGACGCTGCAACACACGGGATAATTCAATGCGACGTATAATGTGAAAAAGATTTATTCTGCTTGTGACATCGTAATCTAATGCGACTACAGTGCTGTTCACATATGATAATAATGGATGAAGGATGCAGTTATACCTTCTTGTATCACAAATCCCTCTATTACATGCGTGAGGACTTGCGGCTTTACCATGGCTTTAGGTGGCGCTTGTTTATTACTATTTACTGTGGCTGGTACTGAGACTGGTATATTCGATGGTTCATCGCTGCTCACTCCGTTCGTAATCGCGTTCACAGCATTGGCAAGCCCTGCTAACGGATTATTGCACGGTTTCTCTTCCACTTTTTGGACAAGCGTTTCCTCTTCTTTTATTACCGGCTTATTCTGGTCCCCATCTATACGCAGACAATAGAAATACACGCTCGTATTCTTTATCGCACGTATTCACTCGTCCGACACTCTCGCAATCACGCATGGAATATGCGTAATCCGGCCCACGTTGGCTTACTTTTTTGTTCTGCTTGAACGCGTCGTTAATTGCAGTGCAACTGAGTCATCCGCAGCTCTTAATATCAATGAGACAATTGGTTAATAATACCTGTTACTTCTGTTGTCTGAAGTATCGTGATTTCCTCCGTAGTGACGACAGGCACTTCTTCTTTCTTCAGCAGTAACTTTAATCCATCGTCGTTCGCTACCGGTGGATTCGTGGTGGACGACATTAGTGGACATTCCGCTTGCGGATTACGTTCCGGTGATGTGATCATTATCGTTGAATTGGTGTTATCGTGCTGATTTTGCTGATCTTGTGCAGTGTTCACAATTGGCATCGTCTGAACTTGCGACGCTCCGCTAAGTATTTGATTACTTATTATAGTTGGATTAATGGCCTGGAACAAATAACAACCAAATCCATGAGAGAGAGAGAGAGAGAGAGAGAGAGAGAAAGAGAGAGAGAGAGAGAGAGAGAGAGACAGAGAGAGACAGAGAGAGGTCTTGTATATTATAGCATACTATTAAAATTATCATGACCAAAAGCACGACAAACGTTTGCCAGTTCGTAGAATTAAAATTGTAGAAAGTTTACGCGATAAAAGGTTGCAGTTTTAATATCGTTATCTAATTCGTTATTTTATAGAGAATTATGTCATGAAAGTAATGTCAAAACATTGAATATTATGAAAATTGTATACCGATAAAGGAAGTTGTTGCACCGCTGGCATGGGAGTTTGGGGCACCTGATTCATCTGTGACGTAGTGGCCACTCCAACCCCAACTCCACCCACTGATACAACCGGCATAATAGGACGGTCCGCACCCAAAACGACGCCGGGTTGTTGTTGCTGTTGTAACGTCATATTCGCTGCATAACAAAAATGAAGAAAATAAATAGGTACATAAATTTTACTCTCCAATAAGATCACTTTAAACATTCTTACTCATGATAGGTTTAGGTTGTATCTGCTGTTGGGTAGACTGCACTTGTTGCTGATATTGTTGTTGCAATTGCTGCTGCTGCTGCTGTTGTGTGTGTTGTTTCTGTTGTATAAAAACAAGTTGATGCTGTATCGATTGCTGCTGAGTTGGTTGTTGTTGTTGCTGTTGTTGCGGTACCTGCGCAGGTTTACGGCCTTTTCCAGAGCTTCCGGCATTTTTACCACTCTAAAAATTCGAATAACCAAGAAAATTATAGCTTATGCTAATATATTCTACTTAAATAAATATCTATTATCAATGAAACAACTAGCTAAAAGTTAGAAGGCAACGCATAATTGAAAAATTAATGATGAACATAATTCAACGAAATATCTTTATGAAATGTACTGTAAGATAGAAGAAGCAAAAAAACATTATATGAATACAAAATTCTACGTAATTTCATTAATAATTTTTTTACGAGAATACTACTGAAAGAATAACATTAAGGAATAATTGTAATTTAGAATGTCCAAAAATTAGGACAATAATTTTTATTGCTACAAAATTGAATGTTTATCTTTTTGCAACGTTTAAAATTATCTTCACCATTATAGCGTGCCGATATTAATATAGTAACCTGTGCTTGTACCGTAGTTTGAACTCCGTGAACAGTTTGCGTGGAAACAGAACTGGCTGCGCGTATATTGGCAGCTTGTACTGCTTGTAAAGATGATGGTAAGATGCTCAACGGTCGTTGGCCACCCACATTCGGCTTACCCTGCTGCGACTGCTGCTGCTGAATATCCATTACCTTCGGTTTCCCACCAGTAGCCGCGATTTGTTGCACACCGTGAATTTGCTGTTGCGTTGCGAGAGCTATTTCGGTAAAAATAATGCAACATTAATGATAAGGATGAAAAGGCCATCTTTCTTTCAGAGTTACTTTTTTATGGAAAAAATGTGAAAGAATTAAGATAAAGATATTATAACAAGACTATGTAAACTGGAATTAGGATATTTAATTTTATTAACTGCGGAAATACTAACCATTGTGCGCTTGTATTGGCTGAGGGCTCTGTATAAACATATCAGGTTGTGTGGCACCCCTAAGAAAAATGGGATTTGGCGCAGCAGTCAAGATCGTCGGCGACTGCAACCCTGCAGTCCATACCTGTGGTGCGAATTGCCACGGTGCGAATTGCATGCCGGCATTCCTTCCACCTGAAGGTGTTCCAGCAGCACATGTTGCGTACTGTTTGCGACATGATACAGTATAAATTATAGCGTTCTAAAAATTATATAGTATTATGATTTACGATATTAAAATTTAGCATATCAAGAATTATTTTTAATTATTTTATTCATTTTTAATTATTTGCCTGTAATACTTTTTTCGTATATAAAGCGTAATGAACTATGAATTAGTGTATTGCACATAATGGATGTATTATTTATATATATATATATATATATATATATATATATATATATATATATATATAGAGTATCCATATTTTTAGTAGTCAATGCAGTTTTTTCATATTTCGTTTTAAAAATTAAAACTTAAGCATTTTATATTATATTTGTATCCATTTCAACTGACAAAATCGAAATCGGTTATTTAATAATAACCTTTTGAACCTGATCTTGCTTGTTTGCGGATTGTTGCTGTTGTTGCTGCTGCAACGAGGGTGGAGGTTGAGGAGAACCCAGTACATCCAATTGGCCAAATACCAACGTCTGACCTCCGCCAGGAGTAGCTGAGGTTGGCACGGGTAAATAGCCGGTAGGAAATCCTTGAACCTTCGTACCGCCAGCCCCTGGATGCGCACCGCCTTGTCCAGGAGTAGATGCTGTTGTCAGCATGTGTGGAGTTAGTTGAGCTGCAGATTGAAATGGCTTTCCAGCTGTTATTACCTATAAAATGTACATATGATCATTTTAAACTTGAGCATCGTTTCTTATATTGTGAAATTCACAAGTGAGAATTAATGAATCCATACTTGAATAGAAGAAGGATTTATGCCTGCTGGGTGGAGAGCAAGATTTCCTGGCATTATCAGAGGTGTGCCCTGAGCATTGTATAATTGTTGCAAGTGATAAGCTTGATTTTGCAATGGCTGTTGAATTACTTGGACCGCTTGCGGATGCGCAGCCATGGTAGTTATAGTGGTTGCACCCTGTTGACCTGAGAGTGTCATGGACACACCACCTACTCCTTGCTGCTGCTGATGTTGCATTGATACTGCGACAGCACCTTGAAGCTGTTTTAATAACAAGGTGTAAACAGAATGGTTTCATGTACAAAATTCGAAATTATAAATGTTATTTTAATTTTTTGGCTGCCAGCGGGCCGATCTATCGGCCTGCGGTACGTATGCGAGAACTGCCACGGGTCGATGCATCGGCTCCGTGTGTTTACATTCAGATTATCGCTCCTCTGAGTGTTAAGTTACTTCCGTTTACGCTTAGTCATGATCTCTAATGCCTAATATCGTATTGTTTGAAGAGAATAAATACTAAAACTTTCCTCAAACTTTCCATAAAATCGATTTTCTTCTTTATAAAACAATTTATAGAAGGCGCATATCAAATCGGCCCAGGCAGTCTTCGCATATACGCATATCGCGTAGATGGGCCTGGCAATAAGAGGATTAAAAGAAATTAGAGAGAAAAGTTAAATAATAAAAGAACTAACTTGCGATGAAACAACAAGTAAGAAATACAAATAAGAAGTACAAAACAGTATGGAAATAAAAAGAAAATGTACCTGTTGTTGCGGCATGCTAGCAGCTACCTGTGGCTGCACTTGAACTTGAGTAGGAACAACATTATGCTGCCCGTTGTTTTGCTGTTGCTGCTGCTGCTGCTGTTGTTGCTGTTGCTGCTGCTGCTGAACTTGCTGCTGTACCTGTTGTACTTGTTGTTGTACTTGCTGCTGAACTTGCATTTGCTGCTGTGCTTGTACTTGTTGTTGCATCTGTTGCTGCGGCTGCACTTGTTGCTGCTGCACTTGCTGAGCTTGCTGTTGTACTTGCTGAGGTTGTTGCTGCTGCTGTTGCACATGTTGCTGTGGTTGCTGTGGCTGTTGTACGTTCTGTTGTTGTTGTAATTCGTGGGTTGCAATCATCATTTGCTGTTGTTGAGGTTGCTGTTGCTGTGATGGCTGCTGCTGCTGCTGTTGAGGTTGTTGTGGTTGTGGTTGAGACGGCGAAATTCCAATTGGTTTAACATCTGTCATGTTTCCTTATACCCTTTTAAAATTAAAATACAGACACCCTTTCAGAAAAAGAAGTATCTTTTGCTAATAGTGCTCACTTGCACATAGTTCATTTTAGTTGCCATTTTACACATATATTCACATTGGTTTCAATCTTCCCGTCATGCTGCCCCTGTAAAACAGACCAGATACACATAAATAAAACGATAATAAATAACAAGTTAATTTTAGAATATTTATATTTATATTCATATAACACACATGTTTGAACATGTGATATTTTTATTCAACCTAAAAGTTAATTCATATTTCTAAAAATCTATTTTTCCATTTGGCTAAAGATATTCATATCATTAATAATATCAACTTCATCAATTTCTTTTTCTGCAATAAACATTAAGATTTGAAATTAGTCTGTTTCAATCATTTTTTTAAATTATATATCTCTGCCACATATTGCTAAAATATTAGAACACAGTACTCTCCCTTTCTATGTGTAATATTATTTATATTTGTATTAACAAATATATATTTTTAGTATCTAATTTATAATCAAATCAATAAAAAATGTGAAGTGGCCTTTATGCGATACATGTGACCACACGATAACCTTCATAGATATGAATGTACATACTTGTCACATTGTGGAGCTGAACTCGGCGAAATAATCACCGCTAGCGAGGTTATTGTGCCGCCGTTCGAAAGTGAAGTGTACTGTGTCACACATTTATTTATTTACGAATGCATCCAGGACTATCATTCGGCATAACAAAGTAAGTAAATCAAAATTGATCAACGGCTCGTCGTGTACTGTTATTAGCGTCGCGTAAAATAACGAACGTATGAGATAATTATATGTACGTAACTCCGATGCGTAATGAAACGGGCATATGGCTTTATTGATCTATTCTATATCAGTTAATTTATTCATTTAATATCGCATTTAGTACTTCAATCTCAATCAAATATCGTTATTGGTGAAGCATTTTTCCAACTTTATCGTTGCCGAAATTGAGAAACTGACGAAACACCACTTTTAGGTTATGTCTATTATGCATCTATGTCAGCAATAGCTTTTGACGCAAAAGGCATATAAAAGTTTCTTATAAATACATATCTTGCGTAATCATTATTTATTATAAGATTTTATTATATCAGTCACGCTATGAGAATATCTATATTTTGACATATTGAACTTGAAATATCGTAAAATTCTTCGACTATTGCGATTGCTTTCGTCGACTATTTTCCTAGAATAAGAGAGATATCGCAAATTTTTATGAAGATATTTATCTCCTTTGCTCGATTGAAAATCCCAATATTCATGTCACATAAATGTTTATTCTATATGAACATAAAACACTGGCTCGACCGAAAGATTTATGTTTGTTCCTCTTTTCCATAGCATAAGATTCCTATAGAGATATTCTCACAGTTGAGAAAAAGAAAGATGAATGAGTATTTTTTTTTATCAACCTAACAGCGGTTGCGTCAATAACGCAATCGGAATGTAGAAAGCCCCCTACGTGTTCCAGTAAAATATGACTCAGTAGGGTCAGCGATACCTGGAACTCGATATTTCTTTCGGGAAGAAAAAGGGAAGAAAGAAGAAAGAGTGTAGGGGCATGGGGATGAAAGAGGTACAAACGAGAGAAAAAGGAGAGAAAAAGAGAAAAAGCATGAGAGGCTTTTGATGCCGCGAGCCTCGCGCGATAAGGTAGGGCTCTGTACGCCCCGTTGCCCGAAATAAAAAGCGGGCATCGCAAATATCGATCCCAGTGCGGACGCCGTCGACAGCGATATCCATTTTGGCATGTGCGTGCGTGCGTGCGTACATGCGTACGTACGTTGCGTGCATGTGAACGAACGAACAAAATGTCGCCCTCGGCCGATATATCCACCATAATTAGTGCCACGATGCCGGAGGGAGCGGAAAAAGGGGGAATTGAAGGGGAACAGGCAGAGAGGGAATAGGGATCGGATCGAGAGCGGGAAATGCGGGATTAAAAGGCGGGTTGGCAAGAAGCAGAGGGGGCTACAAGAGGGGAGAGGGGAGAAAAATAGAGAGAGAAGGGAGACAACTGTGCCAGGGGGGCGTCTGACATGGATCTCTCGCCATAATGGTAATATAAACGACGGCTACGGCGGATGGTATAATAAGAATAATAACAACACGACGACACGCAAGAGCACGCGGTGCATCGCGCGAAAAAGGGACGCTCCTCGAGAACGAGAAATGTCGTGCAAGAAACGCTCGTCGTCGTGCTCGCAATAAAATGCTTGTGCATGCTTGTGCTTACGGACGGACACACATGCACACATGTACGCGCGCACGCATACATACACGACATCAAGAGGCAGTACAGTCCAGTCAGTACCTCGTGCGAATCGGGAGCAACGGCGGCGCGTCTCGCAGTGCCGACATATTGGATTACAAAATAAAGCACGTTCGGAGAAACGGCGGGACTTGCGTGCGAGGGAGGGGGAGAGAGAGAGAGAGAGAGGGAGGAAAAGAGAAGTCGTGGTACGAAACAGGAGAGAAAAAGAAACAGACAGTGAAACTACGAGCGAGAGAGAGAGAGAGAGAGAGAGAGAGAGAGAGAGAGAGAGAGAGAATGAAATAGAGTCAGGACACACGTACAGTGTATCGAGCAACGCGTCGCGTCACGCCGACGGACCGTCGCGTTCAGTGTGGATCGTCAGTGCCGTAACCTGCAGTGCGAGCGCTCGATTTGGGCGAAATTCTCACGGGTGCGTACAGTACACAGCACCGAGGAACAAGATACACTCTCACGACGGCCCATGACACGACGTCAACGGTGACGACAACGGCGACACCGCTACGAATCGAGGAAGCCTTCTACACGAACATCTCGCCCTGTTCAGGTACTCACATGGCGACTGCGCAGTCACGTCTATATGATGCACGTTTTCAAGCACTCCCCGTGTGTGCGTGATGTGTATGTGTGTGTGTGAGTGAGTATATGTGTGCGTATGCACGAGTATACGTATACGTAGTGGTCGAACGACCCGCACTGTGCACGATGAGAACACGATTCCACCGTTTGTCGTGTTACCACTTTTTTCACTCTTGTCGTGAACTCGCGCGATAACGTTTATTCGTGAAAACTACGACGACGTCTCGTCCGTTCGTTCGTAGTACTTGGTAGTAGTTTGCTTATACCGCTGCCGTATCTACTGCTGTTCCTGGTTGCTGCTGCTGGCTGCTCCCACACTGTATAACACGGCTGCCCCCGTCGTGCCCGCACATCCCTAACGCCGCCATCCCTTCCAGCTGTTCCCCCGTTCCCGCGTGCCCCGCTCGCCGTACGTTGTGCGCCGCACCGCGTCGATCGTGCTCGCTGATTGGTTCGGCGGGGACAAATCCCAAAGGCATCGTTCGCACCGAGAAAGGCGGGGCCATCGGATATGATGGCTATAGGCGCATGCTCACTAACGGTACTTCAGGCTGGCTCTCCCCCCGCGTCTTCCACCGCGCCTCTAGCGGCCGTCGTCGCGCGCGCTCACGCACACATTCGTAGGACGGGCGTATACGTACACGACGGTATAGTCCCCCGTTGTTCTCCACGATATAACGTCCCTCGCGTAGGGACGTGTCGAGTTTTCCGAATGCCCCGGAACTTTTTATCTTATCTCAGAGTCTTCAACTATCTCTATGGGGAAGAATGTACTGTGACGACACAACAATATCGTCTGTCGTCAGATTTTTCTGTTATATTTTTTATCCAAGAGAAGATTGAACGATGTATTAGTTATGCAGTTTACATAAATCTTTCCTTTATCTTGCAATTCGTCTGATTATTGAACAATTGTTACTTAACATACGCGTACCTGATATCCATTTAACGAATATGTATTTATTTTATGTTGCGTATCATAAATTGTAAAATTGAGAATTTTATAAGTTGCAAATAACATAAAGGATTAAAATTATTCATATTTAAGAAAATTGTCGAGAACCATCTCGCATATTTGCAATGAAAAATATAAACGGAGTACAGCTTGTAGCATGTCATTGTTATTAATATCATCGTGTCACAAGTTATTTAAGATCGAAATAATTTAAATTTATATCAAATGTTATCGTATATTTATTTGCAGTGCTTAATGATTTATATTATTCTGCAAAGCATACAATCATATGAGACTATGATTAATTCAACTGAGTATTATTTGCAGATAGATAAGTACGAGTACAGTCATAGCCAAAATATACAATTACGTGAAAAATACTTTTTTATAAATTAAATCTAAAAATTAAGTGTCAAAATAAAACAAAATATTTGAGCATATATATCCGGATATATTTCATAAATCTATTGTAGAGCATTGTGGAAAATTTCTGTGGAATTTTAAACCTTTTTTTCAATCCACCACGTTTTCTGGGTCCAGCTGCCTGCGGAGAGAAAGAGAGAACGTTATTTATTCGGCATGTTGGGAAACAATCCTCCTTTTCAAGAAGATGGTACAGATATAAAAGAAAGTTTCGAAATACTAAATGGATATTAGTTCGTACAAATATTTCGAAGATCGTTTATCGTTTACAATAATGAACATTTATTTATCGCAATATTTCTGTATGAATGAAATTTTCGTAAAATAATCTTTATTTCTTGCAATGAATTCATATCTAGTGCAGTTAACTCATTTACAAAATTTTATTATTTGCATCGTGAAATATTCTGAAAATATTGGGTCAGTTGCAATACACATATAAACTATATTACTCATATTGTAACCGTAACTTCTTCATGTCCAGGTTCTAAATTGTAAATTGTTAATTTCTGTTACATTCATCAACGTGACATACAAATGTTCTGGGTAATATCATTGTAATATCATCCAACCATTTCAGTTACTATAAAATAAAATGCATATCATAGTCATTACCACGTTCACAAAAGAATTGTAACATAATATTGATATATCGCGTGAGCTCGCATGGTGAGTGTTCTGGGGTTCCACGCGTGCATGATACGGCCCTGGCACAACTGTCTCTAAGCCGAGTTTATGTTCCCCGGCTCGAAACTCTGAACTCACGAGCTATATGCGATTGGTTCGACGCATTCTCGTAGAAATTTTCCGTCCAATCGGTATGTGCGAGGAATACTCCTTGAAATACTTTTCCGTGCGTGAGCGAATTTTGAAAAGAAAAACAATATTTAAACATCTCTCGTCCTTGGAATGTACACATGTGTTGCTTCCATCGATATCGAAGAAAGTTCTAATTTTGATACGAAATCTCCATACATAATGCATCCCGTCCCGCCCGAGGCAGAGAGGATCCATTCTCACGTGGATCAAGGACGCAGGATCTCTCGTGATTTCGACGATCGAAGCTCGGGGCCCTTGAAATTCTCCCCCCGTCTATCTTAACGGGAACGAAATAATATAGAACGTACTGCGAACGAGCCTGCATCGCGCGGCGCACCGACGAGCGTTTTATTTTCAGCGTCCGTCGCTACACGATTTACCTTTCTACGCACGCTCTAGTCATTGATGGAAATGTCGATTAAAAATCCCCTTGCGCATAATCTGCCCACTCGGGACGGAGATTCCGCCTCGGCGAAATTTTCCGTATATGTGTGGAACGGGAAAAAAAAAAAGGATGGAAAGGAGAGAGAAAGGGGAGCCGCGCCAACGCATGAAACACAACCGATTTATCGTTCATCTCCCAATACCGGTCTCGGATTTCGACGCGAGGCGCGGACGATAGGAAGAGTCGTATCGCGCGTAGGGTAGGAAGAAACCCGGCTGCACCAATCCCAGTAACCAGGTCCCTGCATGAACGCGCGCGCGTCTCCCCTTCTAAAATGTGTGCGTGCACTCAGCAGGGGTCGTACCAGCTAAAAGGGGCGAAGGGTAACGGGGGAAGATGCTATAGTCCCTCGGCTATGCTGTGTAAAGTTATACGAGCATGGCCACAACGATACCGTGGCCTGCGTCTGTGTAGTTAGTTGTTCGACCGGCGGAGCGTGGGGGCGCGCGGGTGGGGGAAACGGCGCAGCCAATGGTGTGGGTCGCGCGAGGTTGCTAGGGAAACAAGTTAATGATTCGGGCCGCCACTGAGGAATTGGCCTGGCTTGTGCGGTCGGCGTACGGCGCGTAGCGTCGGTCTGTAACGGCGCATGCGTCCTGCAATCCCCGGAGACTCTTTTTCTCTCGCTCCCTCGCGTCGCATACTTTCTCATCTCTCGATATAGCCGTCGCGTTGCCGTCGCCGCCACACACGGCGATACGCGGTCGATGTCCGTGAATTGGAGGCGCGCGCGCGCGTGCGCTTTGCACGCGCGCGTGTGTGTGACGCGTATATGTGTACACTTGACGTCATGTGCGGTCGCTCGCATCGTGTTGGTCCATTGACGTGTGTGCGCGCCATACATATACACACACACCCACACTGCGCGCGCGCGCACGGCGTTTAAGTCGTCGCGACGATTGGTTCCCTTCCCACTCCGCGTATCCTCACGATCTCTGTTCCTCTCTCTCTTTCTCTTTCTTTCTTCCTCTCCCCCCGGCATTTTCCCTTTTCCCACCTTGAACCGCTCTTTCTTCTTCTCTCCGAAGTGTCCATCGCGCTGCCCTCTCTCCCGCGGTTTCTCTACCATCTCCTCCTTCTCATGCCCGCCCGCCCCCTCTCCGCTGACCTCTTTTTCCCCACACTGTCCTCCGCCCGGTAATATACCGGCGCGTATCGTTCGGTGATACATAAGGGGAGGGGGCAGGAGTAGGAGGGCTCCCTATCGAAAGATTCGCTGTAGATTATAATATATTCGATGTCCGTCCGATCGGTCCTCGAATTAACGTCGAGAAAATGGAAGCGGCCGCGAGGGGGGAGGGGACGAGTAATTGCCGCGGTGCGACGCATAAATGCCGTGACGGGGGGCCCCGTTGGGTCAGAGCGTGTTCGAGGCCACCGGGGCGTCTACATGGCCGTAAAAAATCGGGATTTGTTACGTCGTATCGAAAGCAACGCAAGACCGCCCTCTCATATCTCGCGCAGTACGTTAACCTTTGATTCACTAGTAATTAGTCGTACATATTCATGTTACACTGCCAAATGGCATCTCCCAGTCGCTAAATCGGAAATTGATGATCTCCATATGTTCCCACACACTCCAGGCTCGAGATATACCGAATCGATTGGCAGCGAGGCTTCATCCGGAGCACGAAAAGCGCTCTGAAACGATACATCGAAATCGCGAAGATTCTGCAATGTTCGAGCGGTATAGCGTGTCTTCTCGTTTACGTACGGTACTTAATTGTACGGTGGTCGCTACTTCGTGCGAGAGACGATAAAAATCGGCGAGTCGCCCGTACGCATCTATACGTACACCTTGATGCGCGATAATTTCGGTCTTGGCGCATACTGGCTCTTCTGACGCCACCAACTGACCCCTCGTCGAGGTTAGACTTATATTCAATTACATCCATTACATATTATTGTTGCGTCATAAATATATGTCCTTAGATCGTCCGTTAGGCATCTTTCGATCGCGTCGTCCTTTTTCTTCCCGTCGACCTAATGGCATTTTAACGATCTTGCGGGTAACGTCCACGCACGCCATGAGTAGCAACTTTCGACGGCTGATGCTTTCTTCCTTTGTCAACGCATTCCTCGGTTTCGGGGAACCTCGAGTTACCACGCTCACCAATCGTCGCTTAAGTGACGACGCGACGAGCTTATTGATTAGATACTTAAGATTTCACCGAGACCGGATAAGCTTCATCGATCCTTCGTTTCTATTTTCCACCTGCGGTGCTACCGCGGGCCGGTCGCGCTAAAATTAAATTCTTAATGAATCGTGTGGTTTTTCCACGAATTCGACGACAACTGTACCGCCTTCTAATTGCTGGTGTTCGAGTTATCGCTGCAATGAGAGAGAGAGAGAGAGAGAGCGACGGTTTATCGCAACTGATTAATTACGACGATTGCAACGGATTACGTTCGAAATCGAGAGCCGATTAATATTTGCGACGAGAGACTTGCTTATGAGGCGTGCCCGAGCGAGAGATAACGGCTGATTATTAATATTGAAATATCTGGCCGATTTGTGGCGTCTTGTTTATTCCGAATCTGGAAGCGATTTGTTCCACGACGATTCACGCGACTAACGCGTTGGCATTGACCTCGTATACGCGATTGTCGCGGATAGAAGGCGTGAAATTTTCGCGACTGCAGTTCGATAAATCGCGCGCTCGCGACTTTGGCAAGAATGGCTCGTTGAGGTTACAACGCGGGGAGAAAATACGGCTCGTTGGGAGATACTGATCTCGTAAGAATCGCGTGATATCATCTCTAGAATGTAATTATGAGTTAAGTTACGTTTGTTCGAGTGTCCCTTTCGATATTCACACGGCTACGCCGATGAGGACGCACGCGCTCGCATGATCGCACATTCATGCTGAATTTCACTGAATCGACGAAAAATCGACATTTGGTCGACCGTACGTTCAAAGTCGATTTCATGGGTTTTCGAGCGAAATACGGTGGAAAACCCGTGTGATAACGAGAAAGCGGTAACAATGAGAGTCAATAAAAAGATTACATTGAGTAGCGATTAGATAATGATTAGATAAAAGATGCTCGATCGGTTTATCGTGTTTCGTTATTTTTAACGTCTCTCCAACCATCTCCAACGATAGTTGGAGAAAAAATAAATTTCTCACGATTACATCCCGATTGCATGGCGGATTGTTGCATTTTTATCCAACATTAAATTCGGCATAAAATTAAATTCGAAGCATTCGGCAATCGGCACTTGTGATCGGCACTCTTCTAACAGCAAATTAGAATTTGCTGTCGTGTTGCTCTTCTACGGTCTCGATTCGGATTTAAAATCTTCGAATTATTCCTCTTTTATTCCATTTTGCTTGCGATTCATCGTTATGAGATCGCGCACAAGTTAAGTTGAACAATAGAATTTCTTAACTGCAGGCGATTCTTTGTTTTCTCGAGGATTTTAATTTTGTGAACAGTTAATGCTAAACCTTGAAAAATTTCAAGCTGTAATAAAATTTCCTGTGACATATCTCCCTAGAGAACTATCCCTTGTGTCCTTATATTCTTAGTATCCCGCGTAGAAAGGTCATCCATTCGACCGAAGGTTGGAATTTCTGCAACAGCTTACGAGGAATGCAAACATACCTGTTATCTAATGGGCGGTGCTTCGACATGAATAATGCATTCAACTTTGATTATTTTTTACAATGTATATCGGTGACTAAAATGCGATCTATTCGATACTATACAGACTCGAAATCCTTTTCACATGCAAGATTAAAAAATGATTTTATTATGTAGGTAGAATCTTTCGAAGCGACGAGCCCTGCTTAAAGTCCCAAATGATTTCTATTGAAATTATATTGAAATTCTATTGGAATAGGAAATCCATATCCCTGAAATTCGAATTCGCCCAAGACGATTTATATTTTGCAATATAATTCAGGACGCAGAATCCGATTTGCAAGGAACATTTAAAGCGTCGGAATTGCATTTGCGATGTGTTTGGCGTACAGTTATAGGTATATGTGGTTATAAATATTTATAAACATTTTTTTACGATATTATATGACAATGTTGCAAAATAAAATTCTCTGCAACGAATTTACGAAAAATTGTGCAAGTCGGTTGAAGCAGACTACAGATCGTACCGCTCCGAGGACGCCATTGTGTCAGTCGCGGGGTGAAAAATTGGCGGGCGATCTTTTATTAATTTATCAAACGATGAATTACATTTTCTGCATGATCGCGCGCGTGAAAGGCGCGTTGTCGTATGCACATCCAGCTATAAATAGGTCCTCCAAGATAGTCACGCCTTAATCACCGCGACGTCGGTGTGGATACGGATATTAACGGCCAATTCTTCTGACATTATTGCGACAGGCAGTTGTTTTGCAATCGGCGTTGAAGTATTTATACTCCATCGCATTTTATCCGTCATATCACGGCAACTTACTATGCGACGATACTATATATAACGAATTGCTAGCTAAACTCGAAGAGGAACAAATCGAGGAATCTGGAGGGTCCTAATGTTCACAAAATAAGCGAAAACTGTTCAGTCGATTAAAAATCTACCACATCGGTAAAAAAGACGAACAGCTGTTCAACGGTTTGTCGAGTAGACCTGAAGATGGCGGTAGCTTCAGTCTGTCGCGAATTGCGCGTCTCGTCGAATTGATAAATCATTCTCTGCGCGAACAGCGTAATCAGAAATATTGCGTTCGGAAATTTATGAAAATTATATATTATGCAAGTAATCTCTACGGACAATCAACGAGATAATACTTTATAACTGAATTGTTGATCGATGGAGAATACCCAGGTTTCTGTCTGCGAGTCTATTTAATGTACGGAAAATCAAATGTAACGTTCATGTGAAGACAGACATTACATAAAGACATCGACGAAAATATTGACAATAACAAAACCAGAGGTTTATGAAATCGAGTACATGAAAATCAGGCAGCCAGTGTTGATTTATATAAGACCAAAATCAGGAAGGACACATAAAATGATTTTGAAAATTAGTATAATCGAAAGTTTGCGGGTAAGCAAAACGCGATTGTAGTTGATTTTAATTTAATTTAATTTAATTTACTTAACTTAAATTAATTAACTTAATTAACTTAATTTCAACGTTCTTTGCGATATGTCTAACAAAAGTCAGCGTGTCTATTTTAAGACTTACCGTATAAACTCGATAATATTTGTGTTGGATGACATTTTATTTTGTGCAGTCGAATTTCTCAAGTTCATCGAGCGGCAAAGAGAAATTCGACGTTAAAGAATAATCTTTCTCCAGCGAAACTTTAGTGTTTTTTGATTTCGATACGGCACATCGAAAGATATTTTTTATTGCAAAGTATTGAATATATTACGTATCCTCTTATATATACAGATAAGAAATCCTGTCACGAGTCACAAGATCGTGTAAAGTTGCGGCAAAACCATGCTAAGAATATCTTTTTTTCTTCGCAGATTAAGTTCACCGTGACAACATTTAAGTATGCGAACCACGCCGGTAAGCGTTCTCCTTCGACGATGCAACGACGCCGTCCGACAACCGACGGTGAAGATCGCGAGTTTATCTCGTCGTTGTTACTCGGCTAACCCAAAACCGGAATTAACGTCGATCCGGTACAAAGTACATCGCGGTCCTTACGCCTCCATCTCAACCGCCGACGTTCGCTTCTTCGATGGCTTGCTTGGTTCTAGTCGGATCATCACGGACCCAGAAGAATGTGAAATGTACAACATCGATTTTCCCAAGACGGTGAGAGGTAATACTGAAGAGTCAATCACTGAGAGAGAATGAGACTTACTGTATTACTGACTTACTGGTTTCTTTTCATTACAGAAAAAATACGGACTTTTTTATGTCATACAGCGATTTGATTGTAATTTCAGGTAACAGTCAGTTAATACTGAAACCGAAATCTACTGAAGAGGTGTCGGCCATATTGAAATATTGCAATGAAAAACGGTTAGCGGTCTGTCCACAAAGCGGTAATACCGGCCTCGTGGGAGGCAGCACACCTGTGTTCGACGAAATCGTCGTCTCCATGAAGCTTATGAATAAAATTTTGGAAACAAATCATTTGGCAGGTATGTGGAAGAAAAACAGTTGGAATGTGTCCCTGCAAAAAGTGTTTTAAGATAATTTTTGTAAGTTTTGTCGAACAAACACAATTAAAATCATTTAGATCGCGATTATTTTTCATTATTATAAATAACATAATAACAAATATAAGAAATAAAAACAAAAGCGAAGACAAATCGGCAATGAAAATGGAGGAAAAGCTAAGAGAAGGGAGCGAAAGAACAAATGACTGGACACGAAAATGCTGAGGAAGGGAGGTCCCTACGGAAAGAAGTCGGTAAAGAGAGGTCAACTTCAGAGAGCACAAAGAAAATAGCTGAAAGGGAAAGACCCAAGAAGGACAATGAATGGCTGTCACTGAGATGGTAAAATGAAGGAAGAATGGAGAACAGATGAGAGAGTTGCTAGAGATGAAACGGAACAATATAGGACCATAAAAGGAAAAGTGGGATAAGAGAACCCGAGAATGGAACGTACAAAGAAGTAGCGACCATGATGTTTGGTCGAGATATATGGAGGAAAAGAAAAGCGAAAGAGAAAGAAAAATAAAAAAAGAGTAGCAAAAGAGATGGCGGCGGGACTCATCTATATTATTTATATGTGTAATGATGCAAAAGACACTAAAATAACAATTTGAATTTCTCGTTGCTTTTGATAATTACAAAACTGTGGGAAAAAATTTTGTTTATGCACGTACACATATGCATTTTCGATAATAGGTGTACTGACATGCGAGGCTGGCTGCGTTTTACAGGATCTGGATGATCATTTGACTACAGTCGGGCTGATGATGCCGTTGGATCTGGGTGCTAAAGGCAGTTGTTTGATCGGTGGTTGCGTCTCTACTAATGCGGGTGGCCTGCGACTTCTGCGTTACGGCAATCTTCACGGGAACGTTTTGGGTGTCGAAGCTGTGAGTCCAAACGTGACAAACGTGGCAAGAATTTTCGTTACATAACTCAATGTCGAAGTTAACAATATAAATATTTCGGATATTGAATCTGTCACACAATATTGACATTGTTTAAATCTCATTAAAATACTTAACCCTTTTGGTGCCGAACAACGATATATCGTTGTTAGCAACACTTGCGAAAAGTGTCAACGACGATATATTGCGCATGCGATGGCGCCTTGCTATTCGCATCGCGAGAGAACTGTCTCAAAATAAATTTATAAAACATTATAGATTATAGGTTGAATTCCTCTTAAGAAGTCCTATGTGAGATGTTCCATGAATTGAAAAAATTGTTTATGGGTTTAATTTTCTGTTATATTCCGCGGTGATTGATACCGAAACTGTGTGTACGTTAGAGCGATAAGGTAGAAATTCGACGCGGAGGTTTTGCTTGAGACCGTAATGACAAGTAACAGATAACACTGTTTAGGACAGAATAAGATATCTCCTTACGTTTCATAAAATAACGACGATTTTTCTTATTTGCAAATACTATTTATAAAAAATAACTGATTTTTCTATTTTTTCTAATGATTTTGAATAAATATTATTAGTACGATTTTCAACAAATACATTAAAATACAATTAAAATACATTTGACATTAATTTATTCTCCTTTTATTTCGTAATATGTTCCTTTTGAATTTGGTAAATATCATTCTTATTTTTATGTTTATACTTTTTTTCTCAAACCTTACTAAATTACATCAACTTAGTTCGGTATTCTTCGCTTAGGTACAATTCTTTTGATCTAAAAGGGTTAAAATTAGAAAAAAAAATATTTGAAGTTGGAAAAAAAGATATCATTAATTTATATTTAAGTTAGATCAAATTAGATTCCGAGACTTTGCATTTTACTTCTTTTTATTTTTATATTTCTTTCTAGTACTTAAAGTACTTCTAGTACTTATAATACTTCTAGAAAAGAAATTTTAATACTTGAAAATACTATTAAACTAATGTTATCTTTTTCTTTTTTTTTTTTACTTTTTTTATTATTTAGGTGAAGGCAAACGGCGACGTCGTAGACGCGATGAACACGCTGAAGAAGAACAACACTGGTTATCACGTCAAACACTTGTTCATCGGATCAGAAGGTACATTGGGAATCGTCACAAAAGTTGTTATACAGTGTCCACCATTGCCTAAAGCTGTGAACGTTGCGTTCTTGGGTACGTAAATCTAATACAAGTGTATAGAATAAATAAAAGAGAAAAAAAATTATGAAATTACCAGCACAAAACAGATCTCTGTATGTTTGATCACAAATACAGCTCAGCAAATACAATGTAACATATAATATACCTGTTAATTGTAATTTCTACTCAACAATGTAACTGTTATATAACGTGTGTCTTACATTGTTACATTGTGTTTGCTGGTTTTCTCCTCAATAGATTATATATTAATTATATGATTCTTACAGGACTTACGAATTTCAATAAAGTGTTGGAAACTTATCATCTGGCAAAAAAAGAATTAGGCGAGATTCTGTCTTCCTGCGAGATGATGGACCGATTATCTTTGGATGTTTCTATCAATCACTTGGGCTTGAAAAATCCATTAACAATGCACGAAAATGGTCACGACTTCTACATGGTTATAGAAACTTCCGGCAGTCATTCGGCGCATGACGAAGAAAAACTTTCCTTGTTTGTAGAGAAGGCATTGAATCAGGGCATTATCGAAGATGGTACTTTGGCTAACGAAACGACGAAGGTCAATGTACGTAACTGAAAGATCATACAGACATTCATGTTATTTTCAGATTCTTTGAAAAGAAAATTCTCAGTGAAATCGTTAGACGACATTATGTTACTCCTAAATTTTCATTACTCAAATAGTTGTTTAATTTGTAGCATATATGGGCCATGAGAGAGAGGATCAGCGAAGGCGTCCTGCGTGATGGCTACGTCTTCAAGTATGACATTTCCCTGCCTCTTTCATCTTATTACGAGATCGTCGAGGTATTACGAGAACGAATACGCGATCCTCGAGTTGTCCGGATAAGCGGTTACGGTCATATAGGTAATAGCGTCTTTAAAAAATAACGACACATGTTAAAATGCGTTGAAAATTTCTGAAATTTTCTTCCTGTTTTCAGGCGACGGCAATATTCACGTACAAGTCTCCATACCTGAATATTACGAGGACATAGCCGCGCAACTGGAGCCGTTCATTTTCGAATACATCTCTCAGCATAAAGGTAGCATTAGCGCCGAGCACGGCATCGGCTTCAAGAAACCAAAGTACCTTCACTTGAGCAGAAACTCCTCTGAGATCGAGATGATGCACGATTTGAAGAAACTGATGGATCCGAACGGCATTCTGAACCCGTATAAAGTTTTACAGCCGGTCACGACAGCTTGATTATCACGATCAAGGCGTGATGAATTTTTAATGTGATATGAGATATATAATGTAAATATTCGATAAGCAATCAGTTCGAGCTGAAACATAGGTTCAATGGGAACTTGGCACTGATTAATCTTTCTTATTCGTCACGATTATACAACGTCCTTAAACCGTGTAAGAAAAATAAGTAGGAGACGAATGCGTTGAAGCTGTGTCATTACTTACAGTTACTTCAATTAACCATTTGAAAAAATGCTGACGTATCATTGTAGGCTATTAATATAATAGTATTTGGCGTTATATTGCGCTGATGTCACACGCAATGTTTGGTAAGGAATTTCTTGGCTGCTTTTCATTTGCCAACAAAAGCAAGTGAAGTGTGACTAATACCTCAAAATAGATATGCTACATAAATGGCAGCAATTGCGAGAATAGTGAGACATATATTTTCAAGTGAAATACTCTGTTGTTACGCTCAATTTGATATTTAATATATAATTTAAATATATGATATTCGCGTATGTACTCCATTTAAAACTTGGAAGCAACATGTAACAAATGAGAACTCAGAGCAATATCTAAATTTATACAAATATATAATACATTTATAATAATAAAATAAGATCGACGTTTTTTTTTTTTAAATTAATGATGTATGGCATTTATTTTACAAGGATATATATATATATATGTGTGTGTGTGTGTATATATGAATAGGTAAAATTTTACAAGGATAGATGTATGTCCTGTCGTTTTGTAGATCTAATTTTGACTTTTTGCAAGATCGTTTTGCACGTGTATCGAATTACGCATGGAGTCTCATTCCAAAATTTACGTCATACTAATTATACGAATCGTTCGAAATAGATCCTGATTTACGCGAACGAAATTGCTAGAAGTAACCAGAGAATTATCGCACGCTATCGAACAGGCGAACATGACTCCTCCGCGATAAACGCGCGCATGCGCTCTCGCAGTAACGGAATGATCTCGAAAAAGGCGGTAAACCAAATATAAATTGCTGCGCCGACGATGTCGCGCAGTTAGTCACAAGGTGTAATTCGAATCGGTTCGAGTCTGTTACATCTTCACGCTGTACGGTGCGACTATTGCGCAGTTTACAAGTAACTTCGAAACGTCAATTGACATTGCATTCGACATTATCGTTTCGTATCGGCGTTTGATATCGGTTCTTTGTAGCGCGAGGAACTACTTGAATATAGAAAAGTACGCATGACGTTCTGCTCCATTGCACGCGAATTATCGATTATTCAACTGCACGAAGTTACTAATTGTACTCGTCGCGTTTCTAACAAATCCCGGGTTGTCAATGAACGAAGGATCTTTACATTGGAATAAGTGCTTCAAAATTAACTGTTACTTATCACACATCTACGCGAAGACCGTCCAAAATTCGAATTTACACTGAATTCTCACTCGCGTGTCATGGAATTGTGAAATGTTACTCGAGGATGATTTAATCGATCCGATTCTTCCGCAGAATAGCATGGCGTTGGTACCGAGGAGCACGTATCGCGACTGGTGGAACGAAATGGATCGTTACCACAAGGACATAGAGAGGCACTTTGAACGCTTGACTTTGTACCATGATAATGTGTGGCGGATGCCGCCGTTCCCGTCGTTCCGCAGCTTCCGGCCGTGGCGCAGTGTATTCGACGACCTGGATCGCCAGATGGTCGGCGAGGCCACGATCGAGCGGGACGACGACAAGTACCGAATGATCGTAGACGTACATCAATTCGCGCCGGAGGAGATCACGGTGCGCACCGACAACGAGTACATCACCATCGAGGCCAAACACGCGGACAAGCCGGATAAGCATGGCTATATATCCAGAGAGTTTATGCGTCGCTACTTGCTGCCCAAGGGCTACGACATTGGCCATGTGCAACCGAGCCTGTCGTCCGACGGTATCCTCACCATCACGGCACCCAGATTGGCACTGCCGGCGCCGGGCGAGCGAATCTTGCCCATCAAGCGAAGCCTCTGGCCGGCCATTCGAGGTCGCAACAAAATTTAAAAGACGACTTATACAATGTACAAATGTAGTTTGTAGTAGACATCCGAGAGATCGCCTAGGTATTCCAGCTGTTTGCCTCAACTCCATCTGTGCGTCAAAAGTCCACAAAGAGATCCACGCAAGAGATTATGCATGAATTCTGGCATTATGCGAAAATCGATCGATTTTGAGCCTTATGAACAATTGTTCGGCTTTATTAGACGTCTTCGCTGAAAGGTGTCCAAAAATGAGCAGAAGAAACGGCGTTTCTCTGGCAGCCTTTGCGACGTTTTTCAGACACGTTTAGGTCATTTCGCGGATGTCTATTATGATGTACAACTGATCGATATAATGTACCGATAACGTAAATTTTTACCGAGATATATATATATATATATGTATACACATACATATATATGTATGTGTGTATATATATATATATATACATGCGTTCCGTGTATATATGTACAAGGACAAATCGCAGTTGTTACTCAACGACTGTCTGATTTATATAATTCAAGATTGATTGGCGATGCGGTCGATCCTAATGAACTTGATTTACATTTATATGAGACTTTAAAAAATAAAAAAAAATAAAAGCTAATGCACACCTATTCGCTAAAGTCGATAATAGTAGTTGGGCGTCCTTCGAGACCTTTCAACTACCTGGTTAGTTATGTCATACAACGCAGTTGGTCGTAATTGCGGCCAATTACGAATACATACATATATATATATATATACACACATTGGCAATTATCTGCAGTTATTATCGATTATTTTGTCGTAATTATTTAACGAATATCGATATCGATTATGAGCAACAGGTTGGTCGCAAAAACGGCGGCTTCGTTGCGAAATCCGCACGACGCTTTGTTAAATGTTACATCATTCGAGCTGTTTAGAGAGACTGCCAGTCTCAGATACGTTTAAATCATCGCACCGCTGCAAAAATGTAACAACTGCTTTTGCGGATAGTTTCGCGGAGCTTGTCTCTCTTACGTAATAATCTGTTTAATTTATTAATTATTACGTAATTGTTTTGTATTCTTATAATTGTTAGCTGTATAGTTCGATCGAATGTGGCATCCATATTTGTATGATTTTTTTTATGTAACACTTGTTCTTAGCGAAGGAATGCGAAGTGGACAGTATCGTTTGAACGATATAGGTAATAATCCGATACTGATTATCATTTATTATTAGCTGCGAAGTCACTCTTGCTTTTACGTTGTTTTTAAGATTAATCCCGAGTTCACAGTCTTGCTGTAAGCAGCAACAAATTGACAATCACAGTTGTCTGTGGACTGTAAGAAGAATAATCAACTATAGTTGGTTAATTTACTTATTGCTTACGTCTGAAAGCAAGGTTGTGGATTAGAGATAAGTGTTACATAATAATTCATACGAAACAATTACAATTGTGTTCATCGTTGGTAAATCAAATGCCTGTTCCGCGACTGGTGTTAGGATAAAGACATTTCACTCTTTCGCGACATTCTCGCAGAATCTCCCGTAGTTTTATTCACTTTTTACAAATTCGTAATTGTTACTCGGAGAGCTTATATAATTTAACATAATTGATACCATATATTTCGCTAATGATATTTCTTTCTCAATAAAAAAATGATTTAATCTCAAATGTTGGTCCTTTTTTTATGTGACTTTTATAAACCCACAATCTCTCATTACTCACAAATAATTAATACGAGGAACATAATATTTGCGTTGCGATTGTCATTACTTACCTTAAAATCAATCCTTAAAATCCAACCTTAAAATCAAATAATATATCGCTAATAACGCGCGCTTCTTTCTTCGTGAAAATTATTTAAGTTAAAAAAAGTTCAATATGCGCGTATTCTATTTCTTACGATAGTCCCCGATTCTCTTCGCTTTCGGAGAACGGCACTTGACTGTCTTCATCTGGTGACGGAGTCGGTGTCTCCAAGATCGTCTCTTCCGCAGGCTTGAAACCGTGCATCCACCTAGCTTGCTCCTCAATTTCCGGTATTTTATCGTCGATCAATTTCTCTACATCCATTTTGTTCAGTTCCTCCTGTATGCGTCTCTTCAAAGGCCCCTCGATGGCATCCATAATCTGATACCTACAAACGTAAATGAGAAATGAAGCTAAAAACTAGAAAAGTAAATTCGAGCAGTTTTGTGCACACGATTGCTTCTCCATAGAGCCGTAGAGCATAGTTATTGCGAAATATACGATGAATGATGGAAGAAGTTTCTAAAGATTGAAAAGTGCCAGAAATATTTCAATTCAAACTCCGCCTTAATCTCTCCGGCTCACACATCGACTCATCTTCCTCAATTTCACCTTACCTTAATTTCGAACTTAGAAAATTCTCGAATGTCAAATTGAATCTACCGACGCCGTGACAAAGCGAAATTAACACGTGTTCGCACACAATCGTTTCTGATCGGCGGTCTAATTGATCGGCTTGGAATGAAAATCGCCAATTACGGGAATAGCCTTGAGATCGACGCGAGACGCATATTACGGAGAGGCCACGGGCACGGCCATTACAGACCTTAAAAGGTTTGGCAATATATTAACGCTGGCTTCCATGAGATAGTCCAACGTGCCAGCTCCGTGGATTCTTGTCTGGATGTTGCCCAACTCGAGCTCCAGTTCCTCCAGGGAGGCGCGCTTTCGCGTGTCCAACGGCTGGCCCAGCTTTATCTGCATCCGGAAGTATTGGACGGTGAAGGACATTGTGCCGGCCCGCGACAAGAACCCGCCGATCACGCTCACCTCCCAGTGCGTCTTGCCTGTGAGCTCCTGAGTGCCGATGTCCAGTAGCAGGTAGACCTGCGTATAAGGCGCGCAATGCCTTAATAGTAAACATAAGTCGCCCACATGCGAAACCCCAAAACCGTCGGGGTTCGCCACGTTCTTGCTCGTCCACGTTCGGATCGTATCGTTGCATCGACGATCGCACGGCCGAGATTACGTAACGTTACGCAACTGTGATCGTCGCAATTATGATAATGTCACTGCTTTGCGTATTGCTAACACGACGCGTGTTTACAACTATCTAACTGACTGTTTCTAGGTCTAACGTTCTACGCTTCGTCGACGTTCGTATGCCGGAAGAGCGTTCTTGTCTCGGAAGAACTATCATCAAAACTCACGTTTCCTTTCTCCATGGTTATAGTGATGTTTCCCATGCGATAGAAACTGGCCAGACCGGTAATCCAGGTGTGTGACGAGGTTACAGTAAACACCCCGGCACTCTGGGTATAATCCTGCACTCTATAAGGATCGTAGCCCATCAAGCGGACTTGCTTGCGAGCTTCCGCGACCGCCATGTCAAAAGGTGAGATCGAGTTCGGGAAATATTGTGGCAATTGAGATATTTGCTTGTTCACCTCGCCCCTGAAAGATATATTCCACGTCGCTTAGACATATTAAAATATACGATTATATAATTAAAATTTATATTTAAAACCGAACGTTTTATATACAACTTTTATATTTAACGCTTGTGTATTAAAATGTTTCTTTCTGCCCAAAATATTTACGATTGAGAATCGCAGTCCTTCGTACCTCACGTTCATATTGACCTCCTTCAATATGAACGGCTTGATGCTGTCAAACATGAAGGTGCCGATCGAATTGATGACCCCCTGGAAAACCGAACCCAGGAATCCCAAATTCTTGAAGTCCAAGTCGATTTTGTCAAACGTCAGGTCCATGTCAATGTCTTGGGCCTGTAGTTTCCCGTCAGTCCCGACCTCCAGCCTAGCGATACCTTGGACGTTCACACCAGTCAGCTTCACCGAGAAATCACCGGCCGACTTCGAAAGCCATGACGCCAGCGTGTACAATCCACGAATATCCAAAATGTCGATTTTCACTGCGACGGAGACCTCAAAAATACGCATGCTTTTACATTTGCGAGGAAAGCACACAAGCGGAGAATCAAATGTCGCAGACATACATGCGTAGACACAAAAAAAGAAAGGAAACACACACACACACACACACATATATATATATATATATATCTGTCGAATTTAACTCAACATATTAATTTAATTCAGCGAACAAAGCTAATTTAATTAATTCAATTCAGCTAAACAAAGAGGCAAGAATAGTACGAAAATAATAAAAAATAATATTCAATGACAATTATGACATCAAATAATAATGATAAAATATTAATAACGTTAAGTATTAATAATAATTGTTTGATAAATTCGATAAATTCTCTTAAGCTAGACCACACCGTAAATCTTGCTTAGCCATTCAACTTTGCGGCGTCGTCATTTATCGTCTTTCTCTTACGTCCGCATGAAATGCGATGCGACTGTTAGCGTGTTCGTGGCGACGATCTCTAAATGTCTTTCGAAGTGACGTATTCTTAAAAGATGTTTAACTATTTGCATATTCAATTATCCATCTCATTTACCTGCATACGAGCCAGTTCCGATTCCACATGTTCGATGCGGAACTTGGCCAAGCCGTAGACATTTATCTGTTTGAAGTGCATCGTGTACATGGAAAAGGAGTGTTTCATGTCTGGAACCGGCATCGGATCAGGTATCGGCGCACCCGGCAGCCCGACCGGATCATCTTGCTGATAATGTTTCAGAATCGCTCGAATTTGATCCCCGAGCCGTTGTTCGCCCGCAGCCATGCCTGCCTGGTCCGCCTTGCTCTTGCCTAGAAGACATTAGTCGACTAATTAGCAGGCCAAACGAAGGATCGTTGAATAATTATAACTTCGAGAAATTCCAAATAGCGATTTTCTATCGCCACACCTTTTCTTGGCAACCACGCTCGCAATTTCGAGATTATCGTTTTGTTTGTCGCAAAAACGACGTAAAGACGATTCGAAGAATTAATTATTAGAATCTTGCGTAATATTTACATACGTAAGCGCGATAAATCTATCTTAGAGCGATCTACGATTGCACTCTGAACTGTAAATTATATTGCGCGATGGAAATATATCGTTCATTACGGAGAGATAATAACGTAACGGACAGTTTGACGTATTAATATGAAATAGCGCGACAATCATATCCTTTTCTAATTTCCTCTATTTTTTTTTTGCTGTCGCTTATCTTTTGACAATTCGTTTTTGAGATTGGATTTTTACATCGCAGCTAAGAAATGAACAGGAGAGTTCTAATCCGTCGCTTATGCGGCGTGCAATCCGACCAGGTAACATGTTTAAATGATTTACCGGAAGTGCAGAGTTAGGAAAGTCCAGTTAGGAAAGTGTGTTGCTGCTTGCACACAGCATTTAATCCAATTAAATTCTATTTGAGCAATTTACGAAGAAAATAGAGACAGCCTTCACCCAATTGCCCGTATCACAACGATTAATCGTACTTATCGAAGACGACGAGGCATCGTCCAGTTTTAGATCGTCGCCCGCACACAAGGGACACAGGAAGCAGCACACCACTACCAAGAAGGCCGCGTATATTTGCATTTCCGATCCGGAACACAATTCACACTCGTACACGTTGTTCCAGCCCTTCCTTCCAGGCACACCGATATAACCAAACGTATTGTTTAATAGTTTTATGCTTGTTGCTGCAACAATTAGCAAATTCAATTTCGCTATTTCACAAACACTGTCGATATGTAAATTTTAACAACTCGTCAATAAAACCAGAAAGGACATTTTGAGATGTATCATCATAAAAAAAAGAACATTTCATTTCAACCAATAATGGTGAAACGCTAGGTATTATTGCATGATAAATATGTAAAAATGTTCATAATTGATTAAAATATTTATGTTGATATTCTTTAATTCTCCGTTTTTTTTTTATTTTTTTTGTTTATCAATAATATCTAATGTTTGGTTCTTATTGGCTCGGTTGAAATATTGCTATTTTGATTAAATTCAGAAATTCCTTTTTTTTAGATATTTTCCAAACAACTTCTTTCCTTTTCCGGAAATTATTCGTAGCACTGTTTACCTTCGACGGAATAACTGCGAATTTTACGTTTAATTGTACGGCTGATTTATCAGAACTGGATTTCCTCGCGGTGCAAAAGTGCCGCACCACGTTTCTCGTTGTGAAACTTGAATCAATGTCTTTCTCTATCCGTTCGTCGATGGTTCAACAATGAACGAGAGGCATGGACACAGCCGTGCAGGCTATAGGCGTTCGACTGCGAGGACGTCAGTAGATTTAGTGTAACGATATCTCGACAGGTCATTGAGGAGAGCGAGGGTCAAGCGCTTTATCGGCTGTCCACGCCCCTCGCCCCTCTAGCGTATATGTTTTCTCCTCATCCACCTCTTTCTCCCTTATTACAGTCATCCGACGTCGCTTCGGTGGCGTTAGCGCACATCGCGCGTGTGTCAATTATGAGGAAAAAAGTGGAACGGTCCTGACTTGACAGGTAGAGAAGTGAAATGGATTTTTGTTCTCTCGGTCAACGCACTCTCTAATTTCAGTCTCATTCCCAATTCTCGAGAATTTTGTTCCCCGGGAGTTTTAACTTTACGAAGACAGGAGCAAATTCGTCTCCATCAGTCAGCGATACCTGTGACCGACCATGAAGCACTGTTACTGCAATTTTTATGCGTACAAGTTGTTACGTTGCATCTTTTCAGGAGAGAGAATTGATTTACCATAGAAACACGTACATGGTGCATAAAATTACCGAATTACTTTGTATTTATATACAGAGAAGTTACACGAATGTCATAGACTGCGAATGGTAATGGAGATGTCATTTTATTTATGGGGTAGGTGTGAACGAGAGATTCATCGGTGATAGTTGACTGCCGGATATCGCGTCCGTACGCGCTGCTTGCTCGATCACAGGATCCGTTTCGTTCATGTCCTCCACCTAGAATAGAGTCACGAGATCGATTCGCGATCTACCCGAAGAAACCGCCGCAGCAGAGGACACTCCTACTCACCACCATGGAAGTTTCCTCCACTTTCGCTCTCTTCTCGGCGATTGTTCTTAACAGAACCTTGGCCTCCTCCTTCGTCTCATCAAACTGAAGACACTTCTGTGCGTAATGATTCGCTTGATCCAATTGCTCTCTCTTCAAATGATATTGTGTTAGGTATATGTATGCATGACTCAACTCTTTCCTATCGACGTTCCGGTATTCATCAACTACGAAGTCCGTGTAGGCTGTAGCCGCGTGATCGTGTTCCCCCAATTTCTCATACAGTCTAAAATGAACAGAAATCACGGTAGAAATGAAGCAACGTCATTTGATGGTGTATTTGATGGGCCAGTGGGATCGAATGCTCTTGAATATAAAAAGTGTAGAAATTTATATTGTTACATACGTTGCTAATTTCAACAGTGCCATGCCTTCTATATCGCCCACATTGCATGCCTTGTAGTAACATTTGAGTGCATCTTGTATCTTATCCTGTTTCTCATATGCTTCACCCAAGGCTAAAACCATTCTACTATCGTGTGGTCTTAAGAGCTGAGCTTGTTTATAATAATAAAGTCCATAAAATGGCATTTTCAAGATTTCGTATGTCTGCCCTAAGCCATACCATGCTCTATAATCTCGTCTGTTCACCTCTATCACATTACGCGAAATATAAATTGAGAATGTATTATGATATTAACGGTGCAAATAATAAATCCTCAAAGATCTTACCGATTGCCTGTCTATAGCTGTGGATAGCGCCATTAGTGTTTTTCATTTCCATAAATTCGTGACCTAATAATGTCCAGGCCGATAGATATTGTGGATTCATTTTCAGTGCTCTGTGGAAATACATCACTGCTTTTTGATGATCAGCTCTCAAACTGTAATAATTTCCTGAAAGGAAAAAAAGAGATGCATATATTGGTCCATCTTATAATATATATTCCTCCTATTTTCCTAAAGAGACTTGGTTAGCTTACCTACTATACAACAGGTCTCCAACCTGTACTTATCTATCTCAGTAGCTCTATGCGCCAAATATGCCAATTCAACTTTCATCTCTTTGACGTAAAGTAAATTTGAATATGTATCCATGTTGTCAAGACAATAAGGATCTTCTTCTATTATTCTTTTAAAAGTTTCTATCGCAGTATCAACATCTGAAATATAGAGAATATTTTTGTCATGCATAATATTCACAATTAAATAATTTGTATATCTGTAATGTTGCAAAATGCTAAAGAGGTTGATTAACAATTTTTTTTAATAAAAATGATAAGCAAGAGCATATTCATTCTAAATATCAAATATATATGAAACTTACCTCTCCTATAATGTACTGCTATTGCAGTTTGAGCCAGTACATAACAATTCTTTTGAAAACCCATCGATTGCAATTCACAATACAACGCTAAACCTTCATCTATAAGTTGTAGTTCTAAATACATATGCGCCATAAAAAAGTACTTCATCCAATGGCTTGGCAGGCATAAGTTCTCCAGCTTCTCTCTGTCTGTGATCAAAGCAGCCAGCTCTAACCATGTACCCCAGTGCATAGGCTCCTTGTGTATAGATTCCACTAAGACATCAGTTGCCTCTTTGGCGAGTTGTAGTTTCTTTAAGGTTACACCAAAGAGATATAAACCATAGCCATCTAGCTTGGAGGCCAAATGATCCTTTCTCAGATCGGCACAAAGCAATTTAAGACTGTCATTTTTCATAGGATCCGGTGGCACATCTGTCATGTCATCAATCTTTTTCTTCTCTCCAGACAAATAACGTGAATACAAATGTAGAAATCTAACTTTTGGGGTTGTACAATCCTTTGTAAAGTATGCAGCTCTATCATATTCCTTCAAATCAAAATATGTTTTAGCTAATGTATAGGTATCCTCCTCTTCATTTATCTCCAGTGACTTGATATCCGTAGTCAGGTCGTGCAAGTTCAACTTTACATTTTTCAAGGAGTAATTCAATTCCGCTAACCTACGATAAATACAAACACAAAGGTTGAAGTATGTAAAAACTTGCGCGAAAGAAATATCAATACATTTTTATAAATTTCAGCAGAATTTCACATACCATTTAGTGGTATATCGTAAACCACGTTGGGAGCACTCATTTATCGCGTGCAAAAGATCAGTTTTAACCACTTTAATATCGAACTTTACTGATTCTTCCATTTTTTAGCGCTTCCTCAAGCTTTTCTATGTCATATCATTTATGAGATCAATTGTATGTTTATAACGATATTACACATATCCAGAAGTAAATCTACGTTTACTTATTGCTTCTTCATATAAATAATTCGTAGTGCCGGCGTCCGTTATTTACAATCAATTGAACTTTTCGGTTGCACTTTCTGCACTTTATTTTAATTTCCTTTTCCTTCTTTTTCCTTGTAACACTTTAAGATATATTTGCTTCACGTTTAAGTGTAAAAAGTGCAATATATCGTAAATGAAAGGAAAATACCTCAAATCATACATCACGCACCTCAGTCACGAAACAAAGTTAGATTCCTTCGGGTTAGGTTAGGTATTATTATCGAACGCCATCTGCATAAGGTGAAGGGCGGGTTATGAATACAGAAGAATCTCCGTTCTGAATTGCACAAGCGAAGACACACGATTGTATCATTCAACAATGACTACGTATAAGCTGATCTCATGGGTAAGGCGATCATTTATGAGATAAATTCGTGTAGTTTTTATAAAAATCAACTCTATCGCGGCACGTCACATGTAAGAAACTTGATCGCACATGTTCACCATATATCACGAGACGAAAAGATCGTGAGTCATGCGGCGATTCAGTTGCCCATCTGACTCCTTATTGGCGGACATCGCGGCTTTTCTAGGCTGATTTGCATAGCGTAAAGTCTGAATGGTTGTGGCACCTCTCGAAATCTTAACTTCAATGGCGGATCCTTCCTGAGATGAATTTGAAGCAGATTGTTCGTTAACGGAAATGAAACTGTAAATTATTTTCTATTATTTCTATTTGTAAAAATAACTTGTTCTCTCATAGGTCTCATCAAAGTGCTTGAAGAAGAGAAAAAGGATATTTGTCCTTCGATCTATAAAGTACCAATTTTCTTGAGAGTAATGTTCCTTGCGAGAAATACTTATTCCACGCTTTTGATTAATATTTTTATATTTTACCCCACTGAATGACCTCACTAGAGCATATACCCCAAGATAATTTATTTAATAATCCGGCAAAATGAATAAAATCACACGTATATATCACATATCTTTCATTTCGGCGCGTTTAGAAAACTCCACCAAAGATGGTGGCAAATTTGTGAAATTTAAATGTTCAAAATACGAACCTTCGAGAATCTAACGGAGATCTTTTGCAGGGTGCAAACTCGCATGGTCAATTGGGACAAGGTGTGTTATCCGAACAATGCGTGTTACCTAAAGAAATCGATTTATCCGGATGCGACCTTAGACCGGAATCCGTGAAGAAAATTGTCGGTGGTGGCGGGCACACGTTGATCCTGGACACGGAAGGTCGCGTTTACTCCTGCGGACGAAACGACAAAGGACAAGCCGGAGTCTCGAATACGGAGCGAACAAACGTTCTAACATTTCAGAGACTTTCCCTCGACGGTAAAACGATGATTGACGTATGTTGCGGATGGGACACGTCCGCGGCGTTGACGAAGGACGGTGACTTGTATCTTTGGGGTTCCAATCGTTACGGACAGCTGGGCGACGATCCATCGATTCATTCGTCGACTTCATCGCCCATATGTACCATACAATCAGGCAAAGTTAAACGGATTTCTATGGGTTTACGACATACTGTTGTGGTGACGGACAACGGCACTGTTCTGGTTTGCGGAGCAAATAGCAAAGGACAATTAGGTCTAACTAATATGGAGAGCAAACAGTCCCGAGACGTTCGACATTGTTTCACCGCAGGTATAACAGACTGTCGTACCGTTTCTGTTCTGTAGAAAAGAAAATAAGTGACATGAAGAAATCTGATGCATCGTTATTATCAAAATTTTCACATTATATTCCAATAGAAAAGATAACTTTAAAAAGAAAGAGAGATCTGATATATTTTGTTTTGACAAATTTTGTTATGAAATTGTTTGTCACATTTTTTTGATTGTGAAGAAATACGAAACATGAAAAGATTGAGCGAATCGTTGTTACCAGATCCTGCATGTTATATTTTTTATTGAAACACGGTCGAACAGTTTCAGGATTGACGGACGTAGACCATGTCGCATGCGGCGAGCACCATACTGTGGTCGCGACGTTGAACAAGGGCACGTTCACCACGTATTTCTTCGGCGACAACAAGCACGGCCAGGCGGGAATTGATCCTCGAGAGTGCACGCGAATCTGCCCCGCATACCGTTTCGTACGTTGCGACTCGCGATTCAGTGTGTCGATTCAAATCCATGCAGGTTGGAGCCACACAAATATCTTGAGCGGTATACTTCGATTAATCACGAGTAGATATTGTTTATGTTCAGCAGAAAAAGCTGCTTTACAACTGTTGTAAAATTCGTGAATCTAATTGGCGTATGTTCTTAAATTTAACTGAATCCAAGAGTATGCACCACAATCAGATTCATGAGTTTTACAACAGTTGCGAAGCATCTTTCTCTGCTGAACATAGCCGTTGCTTTACCTTCCTGAAATTGGGATTTGGAACTTGGTTATATAAACAGATCTTGAATGTACTGTTCCGGGTTGATTGAATATCGTCTTTTCAAACGTATCGTAGACGGTGCCGTTTATTCGTGGGGAAGAAACAGTTACGGGCAGTTAGGCCGTGGACAATCAGAGGAGGAGGGATGCGAATCTTGGAGAATGCAACGCGTCGAAAATTTACCGAAGATCGTTCAGCTCTCAGTTGGATCGGAACATAATGTTGCCTTAGCCGGTAAATTATCGAGCACAATGGACACGTGCGCGTACATTTGCAATTCATTGCGTCGGAAAACATGGGAGATAATGAGATACGTCAAATTTAATGCCGCAGAAACTGGAACGATATTTTGTTGGGGCTGGAACGAACATGGCAACTGCGGTAACGGGAACACGAAGGACGTTCTGTTACCGGAACGCTTGCCGCTTCCACACAACTCTATTGGCGTCCTTGTTGGTTCCGGCGCAGGACATTCATTCGCTGTAATAAAAAATATAAATTGACCGCGATAGTACAGTGTAAATATGTTCTAGATAACGTTCTTAATTAATTTTTCTTTATGCAAAAAGATCCTGTATATAGAAAATAATTTCATAAATCTTCTACATATAAGTGTAAATATTATATCGCAATAATGAAAGTCAGAAAGTGTCTCCTGAAAATCTGCCTGTGAGAGGAAGATGAGGAAAATATATATAGAAATACATGCAAAAGTATCTAACATTTCAAACGATTGAACGAAAGTCGTACGCTCGACCCTCTACCCTGTTAGTCTGAAGGGACTATAGAAAGCGCGACACAACTTCACCTCAAGCAGCAGTTCACTACCACCTGTCAGTAGACAGGCGACTGTCACCGTCCGCGTGCGGAAGAATAGACGAATACTGAAATTGTCCCCAGCTTTGCAGGAGATATCACGCTTTGTCGGGCGTCTCGCAGAATACCTGGGCGAAGAGCAAGGAAAAGGAGAAGAGAAAAAAGAAATGCTTCGAATACGTTCGCAAAGTAGCGTGTGGTAAGTCGAACCTACACAAATATCCGGCTTGTGTTTCGCTAGCGGCTACATTTGACAACACAGTTGCAAAGGAGATCGCTTCTTTTTAACAAAATCTCTTTTGTTTCTGCCAGCGAGCAGGAAGCTAAGTTCGTGCAGGATCGCATCACGGCCGTGGAGAAACACTTCGCCGAGCTGTGCACGATATTCGCGGCGTTCGTCAGGAAAACGGCCAGGTGCGACGACGACGAAATGCACGCACTACCGCTCACACGCACCTTCCCATTCGGAATTTTAAACGGACGAGTCGCGATTTTATTTTCTTGAAAATCCCATTTTCAAATTTTCTCGTGTCTGCTCGTGTTTCCAACATCTGTTCCCAACATCTGTACTTCCTTCAAAATCGTTATCTCCTCTTAGGACGAACAAATACGAGGGAATATAGGCAGGCCAGTACTTACGAGCGGAAGTGTATATTGATTATTTTCGTCAGCACGACACGCACGAAACTTTCGTTATCTCGGTCACTCCTACAACGACAGCGGGTTCCATTTCGCTCGCTAGATACTCATCCCGCCTGATATTTCCTTTCCTCAGGTTACGCGATAAAGGTGATGAGCTGGCCAAAATCATACATACATACGCCGACTTGGAGACTGTGAATCGATCCTTGAGCACCGGACTCGCCAGTTTCTCCGCGACGTTATCGGTCATCGGTGATTACAGGTGAGGAAGCCACCTGTGTTGCTTTCTTACACGTTGCATTGTACTTTGCCCGGGCATTGTTTCAACGCGTCTATTATGAACACCGTCACACTACAGAGATGCGGAAGTGCAAAGGTTGGACGCTAAAGTGGTCGCTCCTCTTTCGCAATACGCGACAATTTGCAAACATGCCCGCGACGAGGTGAAGAGCACCTTCTCGGCGCGTGACAGGGAACTCGCGAGACGGAGACATCTGGATAAAGTCCGGGAGAGGAACCCCAGGAATCGTCAGATGATAGTATCCTTATGGTCGAAAATCATCAAGTCAATGAGGCTCAATTTCAATCGTAAAACGTAACTCATTCATTTCCATAGCCGGTCTCTTCGTACGTATAAATGAAAGAAGAAAAGCCTTAACTGCAAAAGAATACTAGTCGCAAGCCGAATCGGAGCTGATGAAGGCATCCGTCGAGGTGTCTCGAGTAGTGAAGGGACTGGAGGAACAGATCGACTCGTTCGAGCAACGAAAGCTGCATGATCTGAAATCTATATTGCTGGACTTCGTCACCGTGGAGTTGAGCTTTCACACTAAGGCGCTCGAACTCTTGACCAAAGCGTACCAAGACGTCATGGCCATCGACGAGGTCAAAGACCTCGAGGTAAAACGAGAGATACCTACGAGCAGTTTTAGCAGACCCCAAAAATTATGCGCTGTTTTAATCTTTCGCGCAATTGTCTTCGAGATAAGTGATATCTATATAACTGTATTTTGTGCAAAAGTGTAGTCAATATTGTTTATTCTTTGACGTGCAGGACTTTCGAAACACGAGAGGAAACATGAACGGGGTAAATCCACTTCAGATTGATACCTTATCACGCGATTCAATGTTTCTATAAATAGCTTATCTATCATCTAACAACATTATGCGAAAATACCTCAGTTGTCTATCCTAAATAACAAGGGAAATTGTTTTGATTGTATCGTTATCCAGGAATTCAGGGAGACGATGCGCGTTTCCGACTCCGTCGCGAGATTGAACACAGTGGGTAGAACCTCGTTCCGACAAGCCTATTCGTTAACGAACCTGGCTAGTCGATTCGCATCTTCTCCTATGACTTCGCAAAAATTGGTTAATCAAGGAGCCGAGTCCGCTGTAAGTAATCACAAACACTTGGAATCTTGAACATTTTTTTAATTTAACTCCACGAGACTTGGCGAACATATTTATTTTCACTTTTATTTTTACTATGATAAATGACTTTTTAGGATTCCATACGAACGGGATTCACAAATTCATCCGAGTCCGTCCAAGTGGAAGAATACGCCGATAGTACAGAGGAAACGGAATCAGAGTCAATTCGAGACAAGCCTGTGAGAACTAGGCATAAATCTATGTAACCTTAATCACTCCTTTAACTTCTTGCCTTCCTGTCCTTCTAGAGAACAGTATCAGGACGTCTGGGCCATAAAGTAAAGAAGCGTTTCATAATCAAACCTGTTCCAGCGATTCCCACATATAAGAAGTCCTTAATATCGTCAATTATTTATGGCGTGCCTCCTAAACTCAATCAAACAAAGTGAATTTTGTACACTATACCGTATATTTCTCTTTTATTTGAAGAATATTTCAATACTTTCTGTTTGTGTGTCATATATACCAATTTAGATACTTATAAATGCATAAAACTATTCTGCACATATAAGATTACAGGCAGTGAGATATTTTATTAGAAGATATTAGAACTGCTTTTATGTCAAAGGCAGTATCAAGAAACAGTATGATTACACTCTATTGAAACTACGCAATCACTGATACACACACAATCACTATTACTTTACTTGATACTTTAATTAGCACTGTGATAAAAATTATATTTGAAATAATATCAAAATACATATATAGAAAAGTGTAAGTTTATTTATATGTAATAAAAAGACTTGCTTATGTCTCTCTCTTTCTCTCTCTCTCTCTCTCTCTCTTTCACACTGTGTCTGTATAAATATCCATCTGATGAGATGATATGATGTATGGATATCTCAAATACTTCAGATGAGTGGTCACTTATTTGTATTTAACATTTCGAAAGAAGGATGAGCTTATTTATCACCGCCCTCAACACCCGCTTGTGTCATTAAGTCTGCGATATTCTTTTCCAGATCATCTATTCTGCTTCCCATTTCATCTAGTATTTCTTATTAAGGATCTAATCATATCTTGAAGATACATCAGACTTGTGTGTGTGGTTATATCAGTGAATCACCATTTAAATCGACATACTTCAATGCACATGTGGTAAGCACACAATCAGTTACACGATTATCTAAAATTACTAAGAAGTATCTACGCGGATATTCCTCGACTTGTCATTCTACAATTGATATCATTATCATACGTGCTCTTATAGGTTATACTAAATACCAAAAAGGATATTTCTCCCTATGATCTGGTCGGACATCGTTTGAAACTTGTCCTGCATATTCTGCAGCAGCGTTTGCACCTGCAAACCGAGAAGGTCAGTCACACCGGAGAACCATCGTCGGCATTTGACAGCTCGCGCTTGGTCGAGAAGAGGAAAAGAGAGAAAACTGCAGACTCACGTATTGCGTCAACTCCTGCATGTTCTTCGGATCGGTGCTATTGCCCATCCCGTAACTGTCCACGTCCTCGCCCTTGTGTTCCTGCTTGATGTCGGCCATTCTCACGACAGTGTCCTGCAACAGGGGGGGGGCCCTCGTCAAACTGCTTCGATTTCTACGTCGCAATGAAACTCGCGAGCGGGCGTATGCGACGCGACGTCTCCGTCCACTGATGCTCCCGTAATTTCGCAACGGACGGAGCTAAGCACCGTCGATTGATCAAACAACCCCGTTTTCAACTGCCGAACCCCTCTCGTCCATGAAAGGCGAGTGTGCTTTTAACCCTGACACTACCTGACACAGCTCCGGCACTTTAAGGCGACACAGCGCGTCCCTTGTTCTTTTCTCGATTAAAAAAAAAAAAAGAAAAATAAAAATGCATAGGGAGAAATCACATACAGAAGATGACTCAGACTTTTAGAAAACAATTTTATTGAAACGTTTCAAACTGGAAAAAAATATTAAGAAAAACGCTAGAGGAAGATGCAAATGGCTGTTGGTTTCCTTTTAATCGGCAATTTTCGGTCGAGGAGCATTTCTCCCAGACATGCGAGTTGAAGAAATCATTGGTGCTAATACACTTCCAAATCGAGGCTTACTGTCAGCTCCTTGATTGAAATGCGCACGATGCAGTGCGGGATGACGAAGGAAGTCTTTTGTTCGCCTTCGTGACGGTCGGATGTGGTTCCTGTAACTACGCATATTTTTGATCTTGGGGACTGCGTGCGCGTTGTCCCTGTTCCTCTTTTATTTCCAAAATCGTTGTGATTGGCGTAGGAGAAGGAGTGTAATAACTCTGCTCAGAGCCATATATTGAATGCATGAATGAATGAATGAAGGGATGACGAAGCTCGTGTTTGCACCGCGTTCCCCCGCACTCGAGCGTTTATTTCGATTAAGTGGACGAAAGAAAACAACGCGTGCACTTATCGGCGATACAATTTGGCTCGTCAAGCAGATAACATGTTTATCAGCGTAAAAACAATGAAACGCAACATAGCTTGCGAAAGCGCGCCAATGAACGTGGTGATATTTTTTCTAACCTCAAATTCATCATTTCGATTGGTCATTGTCAATGGCGTGGTCGCCTCTCCTCTGTTATGAATGCGCAGTCGACGCGTGTATACGCAATCAGCTGATTACATCAAACGTGTATATTTGATACCGTCGATGTTGGTCTGAAGTTAAACGCTTTTTGAGTCGAGAACGATACACGAGTGCTTTCACTAAAAATGAATTTAGTCGCAAAGGACTATTGACTCAATCGTGCGGTGAACCATATCGTGAAATAATTTTATTTTGCCACACACAGGAATATACACGTGAATCATTCGTTTCTTTTTCGACACGAGCAGAGGCATATTTAACGCCGAGCGTCAATCGACGAACCTTCGACTCGGAACTAACTTCAGACGTGAAACGTACGTGACGTCAATGGTATAAAAACAGTGAAGTGTCTGCAGTGTGAGTTATCAGACGGTGTTTTCGTCCTCGCTGCTGCAAACGCGAGTATAAAATCATCGTTCGGGAAGTCGTCATTCGAGAGTCTTATTTGCGAAGAATTGTTATTGCACCACGTGAATTATTTCTCGCTTACGGGCTTAATTCTAATACCGTGGTCGCGACAAACAATGCGCCTGGTAGTGCTTTTAAACGCAACAATCGTTCTCTCGCTGTTTGTGCAAGTCGCAAGATCCTGGCAGTCGCAGACCAAACAGAGATCGCCTGTTATTTTCAGTGAGTTATTTAGGTCTCGGCGAAGATATCGTTTAATGTACATCTCGTTATTTTGAGTATGTTCAAAGGATCGCAAGTAATTCAGTGGTTATATGTAATAGTATTTAATAGTTTCATATGTTTTCTTCTTTTTTTAATTATGCGAATATAAAACTGTAAACATAAAATTTGCAAATATTGTTAAGAGATGCGATCGAAAAAAAGTTTTTGTTTACAAAAAATATAATACAGTTCCAGGTGATGGCGGCAGCCAAGTTGAGGCAAAGATTAACAAACCTTCAGTGGTACATTATATCTGTGAAAAAATATCCTCCGATTATTTTAGCCTCTGGTTGAACATGGAACTACTTGTACCTGTTGTGATAGATTGTTTTGTATGATCATTAATCTGTCTTCCATAAAATTTATTTTTGGCTTCTTTCTCTCAGCAGCCTAATATTTAAATCCTAATATTTACCTAATCTAATAGCTATCTAATCTAATCTAATTAAGTCTGACTTATTGCAGATTGATAATTTAAAGTTAAATTATGATAATGTAACAAGAACTACCAGTAATCAGCCTGGAGTGGACATAAAGATATCAGGATGGGGTGATCCTTTTGTAGTTGAATATATAGATCCAAGTAAAGCTTCACCAGGTTCATACTTCAAATATATCGGAAATATGTTGGTAAATGAATTAGGATATGTCAGAAATCTGTCACTACGTGGCGCACCTTATGATTTTAGAAAAGGACCTAGTATGTACAAAGAATAGGAATTAATAATTATCTCAGATAGACATGTTCAATGCTTGGCAATATATATTTTATAGGATTATATTACAAATTTACCAAAATAAAGGCTGAATTTCAGGTGAAAATGAGAAATTTTTTGCTAATCTGAAAACTCTAGTCGAAGAAACATACATAATGAATAATAATGTACCAATAACACTAGTGGCCCATAGTATGGGTGGACCTATGACTCTCATAATGTTGCAACGTCAAAGTCAGAAATGGAAAGATAAATATATCAATAGCTTTATCACTCTTAGTGCAGTATGGGCAGGATCCATTAAAGCTATCAAAGTCTTTGCCATTGGTAGGTATCTTAAATTATTTAAAATTATTACTTATTAATAAGCATAGCAATGTTATCTACTTTATTTACTTTAGATTACAGATATTTGATAAGGAATGTCAGATATCTGAAGTAGTACAGTATGAAAGAAAATTTAATGAGCAAATGTTTTTAATTATAAAATATATTGTTTCATATATTTTACAAACTTATTATATTCAATATAGGAGACAATTTAGGTGCATACTTTCTGAGTGAAAGCATATTAAAGAATGAACAGATAACAAGTCCAAGTTTAGGGTGGTTGTTACCCTCAAAATTATTTTGGAAAGATACTGAGATTCTGGTGCAATCGGAATATAAAAATTACACTCTGAATAATTTACAGCAATATTTCATGTATGGTATACTATTTAGATGTTTGTTATATCTACTGTATTTTATTTTTTTCTCCTAGTAGCAAATATGTTTGTTTTTACAGAGACATAGGTGTACCTAATGCTTGGGAATTCAGGAAAGATAACGAAAAGTATCAATTGGACTTTACAGCACCAGGTGTCGAAGTACATTGTTTATATGGCAGTAAAGTGGATACTGTGGAAAAGTTTGTATATTATCTTTTAAGTAATATAGAAGTCTTTAAATAGACTTCTACATTACTTTAAACTTAAATAGACATATTAACATTATAGCAAGAATCTTTAAAAATGTATTATTTCTGTACAGATTGTACTATAAACCAGGTGTAGCAGTAGATGGCTATCCACAGTTAATTTTTGGAGATGGAGACGGAACTGTAAATATAAGGAGTTTAGAAGCATGTACACAATGGCAGAAAACACAAAAACAAAAAATTTATACTAAAGGTTTTCCTAAAGTAGATCATATTAATATCTTAAGGGATCATGATATCTTGACATATATCAAGACAGTTTTAAAAGTTTGACATAGTTTTTAATGAATTGTTTTTTTATAGTAAAATACAAAATGACTATTATGTATTTTAGATAATGTTATAAGTTACTCTATAATTCATTTTGCAGTTTTGGGATGAATTAACATGAACAAAACAAAAGTAATACATTATAAAAAAATAAAAATCGAGTATATCAATTTGAGGTATATAGATATATAGATTTACTTAATTGAAAGAATAATTTCATGTAAATTCCAATAGCTCGATTGAGAAATATACTTATTGTAATTAAAAATATATTTTTATTAACTATATTGTTCATTAAAATATATCACATCACACAATACATACACCGGCGAATATCAATCGGATTATAAAGTGGTGCAGTTGCAAAAAAATTTTATAAATGTAAATATTATTGACTGGCCATATTTATTCATAATATATTATTTTCTCCTTATATATATATATATATATAATAATGTTGTCCTAATTGTAATGCATTAACCATTATAAATATTATTGTACAGCATAAAAGTACTTTCTATAGAATATTATTATTCTAAACTTTACTAGAAGAGAGAGAAAGAGAGTCATGTTTGAATGTTATCTTTGTTTTATATGAAATCAGAAGATTAATATAATATAAAAATTAGTGATGTTATATATATATATATATAACATCACTAATTTCACTGATTTCATATAAAACAAAGATAACATTCAAACATGACTCTCTTTCTCTCTCTTCTAGTAAAGTTTAGAATAATAATATTCTATAGAAAGTACTTTTATGCTGTACAATAATATTTATAATGGTTCATGCATTACAATTAGGACAACATTAAAATCTCAGTTTCACAAGTTAAATTTGTTGTAAATATATATATATATGTGTGTGTGTGTGTGTGTGTGTGTGTATTCCATATTCTTACAATGGCTTCTAATCTGTGATGAATAGTTTCAATAATATAGAATAATATTTAAAAATAAAGAAACAAAAACTTTCATTATTTCGTTCTATCTTGATGTTGTTTAAATATATAATTATACATCTTTTCTTTGTATAAACCCAAGAATATGGAATCATAAAGTTTGTCAGAACATATACTAAACAATGTTCATATAGAATATTCATGTATAAAATGACGAACTACAAATACTTATGTGCAAAATTTACAAACATTAGTATTAATATTGGTAATTGATACTAATACTAGTAATCACTGTTCAATCAACCAACAATATATAATTAGATATGTATTTTTAAAATGAAATCATGTATATCCTTATGAAGAAAAAGAAATTATACAAAAGGTAATAATAAATAAAAGTTGTTAAAAAAAACAATTCACTTTTATTAACAATGACAGTAATTAAATGTTCTAATTTTCTTTTTTAAATTTAGCTAAATACATAAGTCCTTTCCTCACAGGAATTGTAACAATAGAATTTTAACTTATATACACACATTACATGTATGAAATTTTTTCACATATTATAACATATAATGTTATTCAAAGTTATTAGACACGTTAATTTTATATTTGAACTTTTAATATTTTTTGAATATATTTCAAATTGCTGCTTTTCTACAAACTCACATATATTTGTGATTCTCATTATTTTTTAACCCTTCCACTGCTATCGGCATCTATAAGCGTTTAAAAAAATCGTTTATAGATACACTTATATGTTTATGGACACTCTACAAGTATCATTCGCAATACATATTCGACACTTACAGATGTTTGATTTTATTTTTGTAATAATAAAAGCATATTTATACAGTCTCAGCTATATATCAGATGTTCGCCATACAAACTGCATTTTGTGTCCGAATTGTTCGCAGTGTAAAGGTTAACATAAATATATGCACAGAAAGTTCAAGACCTTTTCAAAGAACACAGCATAAAGGCAGCATAGGAATGCAAAGTTCTGATTCACCTCTTCTGGAAAAGATTTCCTCAAACATCGATAACCAAATTCTTCGGTTATTCCTAGTAAACATATATTTCTTGCGCGTTCATTACTTTGGTAAAGTTTGCAAATGACTTAACATCTTTAAACTTTCACTCAGTGACATACCAAAGATGTACCAAAGTCTTCGTTTTACAAAAGATGTTAAAAAATTCTACTTTCACAGTAAGTGAAAGATTTCTTTTAATGTCAGTTAATTCCTGAGGTTTTTATGAAGGCATATAATCCCAAAGCTAAAATGGTCACAACAGTAATGGTTTTGTAACTTTTGATACGATAAGATATTCTTGGTTTTGATAGAGCAACTTTTAACTTTCGTTGTCTCTCTCTGTCTTGACGACTTGCTTCTGCCAATGCCTTCCATTCTTGTTCTTTAATTTTCCTTTTTTGATCATAATCCTTAACATCATTACTGATAGATTCGGGAGGATATTGTCGATATAAGTTATATGCTTCCATTAAAAGTGTCTCAAATGGCAAGTCATCTGGTAACTGAAGAGAAACGTAAAATTCAGAATAATTTTATTAAATCTTTCTATTTTCACAGGTAAAAATGTTTACATAATTGTACTTACCGTGCATAATACTTTATGTGTATGTCCCATATCTGGTGTAGTATTGAAAATTTCAGTAGCTCTATGTGCAACAATAACTGTACTTAAATAGAGAGGCATAAGGGGAGGACTACCAAGAAAGTAATCAAATAATCTATGTAACAATTTCCTGTTTTCTGCATATTTATGTGCATACCATGTTGTATATTCAGCCAGAGCAAAATGTGGAAATAGTTCAACACTAGAATGAATAGAAATGTTGCCATTACACTTATCAAAATATTCATACATATAAGATAAAGTAAAAATATAACTTATTTTTCATAATATTTATAGATAATATTCTGTATGAATAATGTAGGAAAATTGTGTGAAATCTATTGTATTGGAATATATAATAGCACTAACTTCTCTAAATGGTCTAACAAAGTTGGATGTACTCGTTCCAACAATGCAAATATATAGAATAATTCCTGATTGACTTTCTCCATAGTTTCTTCCATGAATCTCTCCAGAAACGTTAGTGATATTCTTTCAAGCACATACAAACCTGCTTGCAATCCCATCACAAGCAATACAGTTGCTGCCACATCATTGTATCCCTGGTAGTAACTAAGTATGCGTTATTTTATTTTGTATTATAATAAGATAAGGACATGAAAATAAATGTTTGGAAATACTTACATCAGAAACTGCTTTCTTTTCTATAGTCTTTTCTAGTAATAAATCCTATTTATTATTATGCTATTACATATGAGTTTGTAAATTTTTATGCAAACCAAAGTTCAATCCCCAACTGACTTAATCTAACCAAACCGAACTTAATAGTAACTTAGAAGTTGCTTTCATAGAATTAATCTTGAAAATTTTTATTATATATGACATTTTTGAATTTCTTCCTATCTTCTTAAATCTCACACAAAGTTCACTAAAAACTTACTTAAGGCTGTCTTTAAAAATTTACATATATATATTTTTATAGCTTGTCTTGCTGATTATTACAAAAAAGACCTGGTTCTTTTGGTCTTTTGCAGTAGTATTTCCAAACATTTGCCAATATAATATACTATCACCTGTATTCACAGTCAGGCATTATGTTTTAAGACTTCCTTAAATTTATCTTCAGATGGTCTGTAGCCAATAAAATAATCCGTGCAGCATCTAAAGATGGATGTAAGGAGGCCTCAAATATAAAGCCTGACTATGAATACGGATATATATATCATATATGATGAATAAAACATGTTATTTTTTTAGTTAGTACTTGAAAATACTAACTTTAATCGGGAATGCCTGTGAAGTACCCAACACATAAGTTGTGTCAGTTGTTCTTGAAAACTCTCAGTTTCTTCTTCCGTTGCGTTATGTGAAATATGACTGCCGCTACGTGCCACATCCTTTAATATCTGTTGGTAAACCTCGTTTGGTATGCAAGTATGTATAGTTTCTAATCCATTAACTGGTATAGATTCCTTTTGCACTAGTCTCAAGAGTTTTGGCCACAGAACCCTTCGTATATCATCTACAGATCATCTTTATGATTTCAAAACTTGGTTATACAAAACAAAATTATTTTCAAGAAGGAACCAGTTTATTAGATATAAGCAATATCATAAGACATTACTTTTTATTGATTTTAATGTAACTTAACTATATCATGTATTAAATTATTGCTTTTAATTGTAAAAAGAGTAATGAGATTTCAGAAATCATACTTTGTAAAGTCGAAAAATCTATCATCTATCCAAGACGACAGATATCCTAGATATGCGAAAATCATCATGAGGTTCCTTATTGATCATAACGTATTGTCATTTTCACGAAAATACCAGTAACGAAGCCTTCGCTGCTGCAGCCAAGTCGTTTCAGCTCGCCCAAGGTGAGATTTGGATTGGCGACACTACCACGAATAACGCTTATCTTTGTCTTTTCGCGACTCGTCAACGGATCGTCAACCATCTCGGTGACAGTTCCATTACTGCCGTTCGAGTCGTGGTCATTCCCATCGCGAGTCAGCACTTTGTTTTGTTTACTGGACACAACCACGTCAGCGATGTCTGATATTCGCGGCAAGTCATCGTCGTACCACGCTTTCGTAGAATCGGACAAAGTCATCAATGGTATACTGTCGCGCGACTCGAGTGCACCATTGTCCTCTTTGGTTACGAGGTTCGCCGTCGCCGCGGACTCCTCGTCTACGGTTACGAACCTTTTGCGAATCCTGCTGTTGTTGTTACAATGAGTCACGGCCGTTGACGTTTGCGCCGACTTGGCATCCGCATCGGGCTGCACCAGAGGTTGCACCTCGTCGTTCGTGGCCTCCATCTCTTCGAGTCTCTCGTGAATTCACATCAAGTGCTCTGCGACGTGTGCCATAACACCGACAATTTGGTTAAACGACAACTTTAGAAGTGTGACAGATTGTCACAATTGGCTTTGTCGAGAGTGACGCGCGAATGACACATACACCTGCGCATTGCCCACTACGAATTGGAGGTGGCATTTCTCACCGATCGTTGAGTTATACCACTTGGAAATCAAACAAAGATATATCTTATCATATTGTAGAATCACATTACCTTTTTATTAATTAAAAATAATACATACCGTATTATAATTGTGACATAATATATAATTAGCCACTAGGCCGGAGCCATTTTGGCAAAATAAGTAGCATACTTGTGACATCTGTACTCGAAATTTTACTTAAACAACTTAAGTGATGCAGTCCTGTCGGTAAGTGAGACTACATCCGTCGGCAACGAGAACTAACCCAGTGACGTTTCGTTGGACACGTCGTCATATGCGTCTCCACGTTTCTTCTTACGCAGGCGCGACACTCGCGCTCGCCATTGAATCTTGAGTGATCTTGAGTCTCGTAACAGCAGGACATATCGAGTGGTTGGCTGCTGAGTTTGTCGTTATTTGAAAAATTGCGGAGAATGTCAGGCAAATCTAAAGCATTTACGAAGGAGGAAGAGCTGCTGCTACAGGACTTCTCCAGGAATGTCTCGACGAAATCCTCGGCGCTGTTCTATGGGAATGCGTTTATTGTTTCGGCGATACCCATCTGTAAGTACAAACACAATTTATTAATCGAGGGCATACGTCTGTTGTACATTTGTCGCATTAATTTGCGTGGCCATCATATTACTTTTTAATTTTATGTTAGTTTTATGTTATTATTGTATATTACTGTAAACAAATTGGTCGTTTAACAATGTTCTATATAAAATGTTTTAATGGGTACATGGTATATTTTTCCACTGATTTTACTGAAATTTCGACTATGTGTATGTTTTAAGTAAGAATTTTTAAGAATACTTTTTACATTCACAATCAAGGACATAATATATATTTTACTACAATACTGCTAGCAACTTTTGTAATTATCATAAGATCTGCTGATCAGCATTGATAGTTTATATATTTATTAAGCAGTTTAATATATTAAACAAATATATATCATCATAAATTATATTAATAAATCATTATGTATGTTTCAGGGTTATTTTGGAGAATACATTTGATTGATCTGTATGCTAACTTAATCTCTTTCATAGGGATTACATTATTAAGCACATACGCTCTTGCATTAGCATATAAAAATACAAAATTTATCCTCAAACATAAGGTATGTATATATATACTTTGAGAAATAATTTTTTTTCTGTAAAATTATAGAAAATTGCTTATCATATGCTTGACTATATAATATAAACAAGTTCCATTATAATTTCTGCAAACTGATATTGTTACTTCAATTTTTTGAGTAACTAATTTAAAGAATATAATTTTAACAATTAACATAGTGACAATAAAAGTATTCTATATAAATATGTACATGTTACACAGATTGCTGTGAAAAGAGAAGATGCTGTAACGAAGGAAATAAGTCGTAAACTTGCAGAAGACAAGAAAATGAGTAAGAAGGAAAAGGACGAAAGGTAATATGCTTTACATTATTTTCAAATTGAAATGATCAGTAAGAAGTTATAACATGTTTAATGTTACAGGATTTATATATAGGTCAATTTTGAAAATAGAGATTGCGAAAAAACTACTATCATTTCAAACTTATTTTTATAAAATTTTCATAAAATTTATATTAATATATGTTATGTATCTTTTAGGATTTTGTGGAAGAAGAATGAGGTAGCAGATTATGAAGCAACAACATTCTCTATTTTCTACAACAATGCCCTTTTCTTGGCACTCGTCATTGTATCTTCATTTTACATTCTAAAAACTTTCTCGCCTGCGGTAAATTACATACTTTCCGTAGGAGCTACTAGTGCACTCTTAGCGTTATTATCAACAGGATCTTAATAATATATATGTCATGGTATATTTTGTTATCTAATTTCATAAGAAATCTTCAACAATGATTCATCTTTTTCATATGAACAATTATAAATTATGATATATGGTATAAATTATGATAATAAACATATTTCTATTTGCAAAACAATATATAGTTCAACAAACCAAAATGAGATACCTCAAAAGAAATTCTCTAATTTGTAACATTACCTTACATTTGATAATATCCATTTATCATTTTATATCTTTCTTGATTCATAAATTCCTGGCAGTTACTCATTCCACATTTATTCAACTTTATCACAGTTATTCAATTCCATAATTTCATAACAAATTCCTGAAACTGAAATTTATTATGAAAAAAAATATAGAAAGTATAAATAAAAATAATCATATAGAATCATTATATAAATATGATGATAATGTTAATTTAATGACATATAAATTGAATTGAATAGCGTTTCTGAGTCATTTATTTGAGTGATTATTCTGAGCTATTACTATTAATTGGAAAAATGTCATATGCCGATATAGATTTGTTCAAGAATTTATTTTTAATGTTATAATTTTATATATAGTAGCATTATATTTATATATACGTAGGCAGTCTGAAAAGTTCTCGACCTGACACATACATGGCAGAAACTGTCAAACTATAATTGTATTGGAAAGTGGCATCCCTGATGTAAACCCATGTAAAATTTTATTCGATCTGTCAAGTCATTCGAGTAGTAGCACCAGTTGAAAAAGTTTTGTGCAAGATGTGTACCGCATTTGCTAACAATTGAGCAAAAACGCATTCGAATGCGTGTTTGGCACGTTTTAATCGTTTTAAGCAAAATAAAATGGATTTCAAGCGTCGTTTCGTAACTGTTGATGAAACTTGAATCCACCATTATACACCAGAGCGAAAAGAACCTTCCGGAATCACACTTTAATGATGGTATCGAATTATTGGAAAAACGTTGGAATAAATGTATTGAAGTTTCAGGAGATTATATTGAAAAATAAAACATATTTCACGGCAAAAAGAATTTTCTTTCATTGTTAGGCCGAGAACTTTTCAGACTGCCCTCGTGTGTGTGTATGTATGTATCTATATATATATATATACATACACACGATAATATATATATATATATATATGTGTATGTAATTACATATAAAGCATAATGTATATATATTGTCTAAAATATATTTTTCACTTTACAATCTTCATAATTATGGAATATATTTTCATAGAATGTATAACATACGATAGTGTAAACGACAATATTGACATTGGGTCTACAGGCACTGTAATTGAATATTTTGACTCAAACCTAAATGTATTTCTTTCAGGTAGTCTCTCAAATCAGTTTTTGTAATTTATTTTCATTATTTTCTTGCATTTTCTTTTTTTTCGTTTTTATTTCTAGTGTATACTTTTCGAGCGCACTTTTTATTATTATTTCTTTTTTATACATTATTTATATATTTATTAGTAATTTTTATTAACTTTCCAACTCTTTTAATAAATGCGCCATAATCACATAAAAATTGTTTAGCCCAACATATCATTTGGAAATGAACGAATGAGTTCAATACACTGCATATATTAAAGATTTTTTAAGTATTCTATTAAACCTGTTAAATCTGTTAAACCAGATCTTGAAGGAGATAAATTATCTTTCACATTTACGAGTCTCGCAGAAAAATCCGAAGAATGTACACGAAGTTCTTTATTACTTACATTGACTATAGGATATAGTATAGGATATTAACTAGTATAGTATAGTATAGGGTATAGTCTAGGGTAGTTCTACGAAGAAACGCACAATAAATTAATAAAGCAGTCGTATTTTTATATCTGTACTTCGACCTGAGATATATAGTCAGGACATATATAGTCAAAACATTAAAATTTCAACGTTGAAATTAGAAAAAAATCTAACTTTTTGATGCTTCTAAATATATATCTCCCCTTAACATGATGTTATAAACCAAGTACCCTTTTTAACGAAAAGCTGAAGTAAATAAATATTACTATCATATATTTTTTCCCGACAGAGAAATATAGATGTATGACGTCGGTTAAAAACCAACAAATAAGGAAGAAGTGCAGCTATTAAGAAGCGACTTAAGAAGCGCATTATATGAAAGATAAAGAAGTTTTCCTGTTTTATTCACAAACATAAAACTACTGAATTATTAAAATTTGTCATTAGTTGCTTTAAGAGCATTCAGATAATGATGTAAAATTTGCATTGATATAATGTTGTTCCTTTTCCAGGATACGATAAATCTTAATGTACACATGGTGCGACGACTAAATGCGAACGTATGAAAGTGAAGCATTTACATACACGCAGTCGATATAAATCGCCAGTAGCTCAACGGCCTTCGTGTTGTTCGGAGTAATACGAGAACGCAGCGATATTTTACTATTATATGTGATTTTGGGGCACGAGGTACTATTTACCAAGTGATTGAGAAATTTATCCGAACGATTGGGTAAGTGAAAAACATGGAATGTCAGATGAAAGAACGAATAATGTCAAAGAGACGCGAATTAAAATGCAACTTGACGAGTGACTCTTAATTGTTTTACGCTTGTAAATTGTACGACTCCTCAACTCTTTTTGATCTAATGCTCTCCTTATATAAATGTCGATCGCGTTATATTTTTCAGTGATCGTTTTGCCCACTTTTTATTTTTTGCTGTTGATCATATCTCTGAAATTTAAATTTTGTGTGTTAAATCTCAGCTTCCTTTAGCTCTCTTTTAATGTCATACTGCTTGTCAGTATAAAAAGAAGAAAATTGAACGTCGTTGTATCTTATGTTAATCAAGTTTCCATTGATTATTTTATCTTGTCTTATCTTTCCGGGAGAAAATTACTCATATATATTTATATACCGGGTGTTTCAGACCACCCGGGTCACCCGATTTTTCTGTAAACGCGACATTTTAGAGAAAAATGTTTCAGACAAAAGTTATAGAGCTTCAAAGAATCTATTTACTGATGCTATAAATTTTACCTTGGGATGACCTTGAAAAGCCCAGTCAAGATCAACATAAAAATCTTAAATGGAAACTCCAATTTTTTATTACACCGTCTTTTTCCATGAATTAATTTGAATAACTTTTGTCTGAAATATTTTTTTATTTGCCTAATATTTTTTGAGATTTTAAGGATAACTTGGTAACTTTTCAACATTTAACTTACGATATCTCGCTAACTATCCGTCGAAAGAAAAAATAGTATTAGACTTATTTACTTTATTTACTATCAAGAATATATTACTATAATAGTGCCCTAACTTTTGTTAACTTATCGACCTTTGAAAATTTCAAAATTATTAAAATACGGCTTTTCAAGGTCATCCCAAGGTCAAATTTATAGCATCAGTAAATAGATTCTTTGAAGCCCTATAACTTTTGTCTGAAACATTTTTCTCTAAAATGTCGCGTTTACGAAAAAGTACAATGACCCGGGTGGTCTGAAACACCCGATATAATCACATATACATGCATCTCATATATGTATTTGGTCTCTATATCTGAATATACATAATCATATATGTTCAGATGAAAAATGCTGTTGAAGAAAAAGAGAAAATAATATAACTTAATTAAACATTATGATTTATTACGAGTATAAATATTTATTTACTTCAATACTAACCTAGTTAGAACCACAACATCGATTCGACGCCGATAAGGGTTGAATTAACGTTGATTCAACGTTTCATCGACCATTATAAAGTCAAATCAATATCGAGTCAACGTTATAGTTCTGACTGGGTAAATATTATCTTCATATACGAACGTTGTAGCATGTAATATGCCTAACGATTACATGAGCGTTTTAATCATGATTCTTAACGTTACGAAAGCTAAATGTCACTGAAATGGAAGTATATAAATTATAAGTTTGAGTAATTTAATAAACTTCACAGTTTTGTACGTTCCAAGGTTGTAGAGAACGAAAGATAAAAATCGCGAGATCTTATTCCACTTTATTTATTAATCGATTTATAGGCTTATATCACATATTTATTTATTCATATATTCATTTACATGGATTTATTGGTCGAGTTCGTTCGAGTATTCTGGCGGAATACCACCAGACATTGACAGCACTAATATTCATTGCAGCATGTTAGAAATGTTTGGAGTTGTTTCATTGCCAATATGTAGAGATTGATCGTAACTCTATATTTAGGAACTATATTGTTTAAGAACTTTAAGTTAATAGCGACATGAATTACAGCGGTATAGTATTCTGTAATATTAATGTAATACGCTTCGCTACAACGGGCAATCTGATATACAATTTCCGAGCACTGTAAATGCGAAATATCTCATAATGATTCTATTGGTCTACAATGGCTGTATTGACATGTACAATTGAAGAAGAATCGAATGACGCGGAAAAAAGAAAAGAAAATAACAATAAGACAAAACAATAAGATAAAAGATTGCTCAGTGACGTTAAAAAGAAAAGTGTGTACTCTTCATGTATGCGTATTGGCATAGCGGGAATTCGACACTGTGAATTCGTGCGCTGAGTTTGATTCGCTTGCGATTCATTACGAATATTCAAAAGTCATGCCAGGCGTACTATTGAATATTTCATGCCGGTCTTATGCAATTATGCAGATACGTAATATTTTCATTTTGTTGAATCTAATCTAATCATCTAATAATAATGTAATGCTGATCTAAGAATAAGAAATCGACGATTCTATACTTATATACTATACTTATATACTTATATACTATACTTATATACTTATATACTATACTTATATTCTATACTAATAGCACGCTGTTATATAATAGCACATATTAACAGCGTAAAGTAGAAAAAACGAAAAGAAACAGGAAATATTAACAGCATATATTAACAGCGTAAAGTAGAAAAAACGAAAAAAAACAGGAATATTAATCACGAGAATGCGAGAGATAATTTTACGTTTCGCTACAATCTTTGCTGGTGTTTTTCCATCGTGGCTGACCCGTCGTCGACCAAGACTGAAAGAATATGAGAGCGAACGAAACAGCAACTGCATTATTTTCACGTTAGCACATTAGATAGAATATTGTATTAAATTAAAATCGTCTGTACTAAACTAAAGTCGTTGTACTAGTCGGAAGGTTCAATGCGAGGGTAGATAACGTTTTATATAATATTCTCGCATTATCATTCGGTAACAAACGTTTCACATACACACACACACACACGATTTGCTCGTCAAACGTGTAAAAATGGGGAAAACATGCGATTCTGTTAATGACACAATATTTATTCTAAAGTGGAAGGCAAAGTCCGAAGATTTTATACACTTCGTTGCATACGCTTTCAACAGCAATGACTTGAAACATTTAATCTCACCGCAAATGGAAATTTGTATATATTGGATTGCAAATTTCGCATGATTTGTATACTTTTTTCAAATGCCGTTCAGTACGCAGCCGATATTTAATGAGGGAATTTAACTTATGGAAATTTGTCAGGGATAAATTCTCTCATTGAAGCATCAGCCATGTTCCGGAAACTGCATCCAAGAAGAGTGTTCAAATCATTTTGAAATCCGATATATGATGATTTGCTTTTCAATTAGTTCCTTTTTTATTTTTTCACATGATACACATATCGACTAACGAAGAAACGTCATGTGCACCTTGAGCGAGTTGTAGCGATTGCTTCGATGTGCTTGCACTCTATAAATTTTAATGCTTTTATTTTATAATATCTGTTTGACGCCATGCGATGATAAGAGAATGTCACGTGATTATTATTTATGTAGAAAAATTAAAAAGAGGTATAATCTGTTGTCTTTTGGTATATCTGAGAAAAAGCCATATTCAGCGCTACAAACTGCTTGTATGTAGGTAGTTTCTAGCTAGCTATTTGAAGTTAAATGATAATGTTATCGCGATATTAACGGTAATATTCTATGTCATACCTGTAGTACTGCCAACGCAATGATAGCGTAACGTTTGTAAGTTCTGTGAATGCTCAAAACGCTATGAACTGCACATCTGTTATAATACGCGATTGTCAAACGATATCGGTATATCATATTTATTATTTTATTATTATTCGTGTACGTAATGGACAAGTAAACAAATCTTTGGAATGTTAAAACTGAAGAGATTTAAATTGCAAAAATAACATTATAATGCAGTAATGCAGTAATAATATTATGTTACTGTTATTCATGAAGCTTGCCATCATTATCGTGTTGTGAGTTCCTTAAGCAGTTTGGTAGCATTTGTATTGAGAGTACTAATAATTTCTCCAGATAGTTTTTTTGCGTGAATTATCGTTCTAGATATGCCTAAAATACGACGATATATATTTGTATATGTATATTTGACGATATATATCGTGTGTGTGTGTATGTGTGTGTGTGTGTGTGTGTATGTCGTAATAACACTGACTTCTTGAACTTATCGGAATAATGTTCTGTCGGAATTTAAGTCGAAATTAAATTCCGATATTTAAATGAAATATCGTAAGAGTATTGGGTTGCACGCGGTACGGATTTTTTTATAAAGAAAAGCAATATTGTATATGTTGGTTTTCTATTTAGTATAAAGTGCTGAGTTCATCCTGGATATACTGGAGAAGTCTTGAGGCATTCCTTAGGCATTTTAAAAAGTTGTTAAGGGAATTTTTCTGCAGGATGTACAGAAGAGAAGTTCTATTGGCATTGCATTGCATTTTTTACTAATGAAAAAACATGTGAAAAATATTACTTGCATTATTTAATAAGAAATTATAACAACGGGGACTAGCTTGATACCAGGTCTGAGGTCTATGAAACCAGAATTTGCCCATAGATGGCCGTAGCTGTCAATGTTACCGTCACTGTCGTAGTTACCGTCAAACCGCGTCATTAGCGCCATTTTCATTTGTTGACACTGACAAAGATTTTCAACTCACAACAATACAAGTTTCATACAACAGCATAGCTTGTAATAGCGTTGAACATGTCGAATTTTGTGCCTGGAAGCTACGATTTGTGGACAGCATTGATTTTCTGTTACCATCTGAAGAAAACTGTTGCAGAATCGCATCGAATGCTTGTCGAAGCTTATGGTGAGCATGCTCTTGGTAAATCACAGTGCTTTGAGTGGTTTAAAAAATTCAGGCGTGGCGATTTTTACGTGAGAAACGAAGAACGTGAAAGACCACTGAAAAAGTTTGAAGACAGCGAATTGCAAGCATTGTTGGATGAGGATGACGCTCAAACGCAACAACAACTCGCGGGTCAATTAAATGTGACACGAGGAGCCATCTCCATACGTTTGAAAGCCATAGGAAAGATGCAGAAGATGGGAAAATGGGTTCCACATGAACTGAATGAAAGACAGCAGGAAAACCGAAAAACCACTTGCGAAATGCTGCTCGCCAGATACAAAAGAAAGTCACTTCTCCATCGAATTGTGACTGGCGATGAAAAATGGATATATTTTGAGAATCCTAAATGTAAAAGATCATGGGTAACTCTAGGCGAACCATCGACATCGACTGCAAGGCCAAATCGCTATGGACGGAAGATAATGCTCTGTGTTTGGTGGGATCAGAAAGGTGTAATCTATTATAAGCTGCTAAAACCTGGCGAAACCGTTCATACTGAACGCTACCGACAACAAATGATCGATTTGAATTAAGCTTTGCGTGAAAAACGATCAGAATATCAAAAAAGGCAACACAAAGTGATTTTGCTTCATGATAATGCACCATCACACACAGCAAAACTGGTGAAGGAAACGATTGAGGCGTTTAGTTGGGAAATATAATACTTTCGCATGCGGCTTACTCACCAGACTTGGCTCCATCCAATTACTACTTATTTGCATCGATGGGATACGCACTTGCTGAGCAGCGCTTCACTTCTTACGAAAATGTACGAAAATGGCTCGATGACTGGTTTGCCTCAAAAGAGCAACAGTTTTTTTAGCGTGGCATCCACAAATTGTCAGACAGGTGGGAAAAATATATAGCTAGCGATGGGTAATACTTCGAATAAAATATTTTTTATCATTTTCATACAATAAACGTGTATACAAAAATTCCGGTTTCATATTTACATACCTGGTACGTTCAGTATTATGTTGTCTCGTGAGTGTTTAATACGACGACATTTACATAATATATGTTAATAATAGAACGTTGTGAATAAAAAGAAATAGACTAATATCTAGAAGTTAGTAAAAAAAAAGGAAGAGAGGAAAATAAATGCAAATTAATGCAGTCAGTTCAGCAATAAAAAACAAAGCTAAACAGCTTGTATGCCGCCTCTATCGTACGTCTCTATCAAAGTTATACATAAGGTTGTCAGGTGACAAGAGGGCAAAATACATTACATTATCATTTATCGAAAATATATTACGTAAAATATCCGTATACATATACCAGGTGTGTCGGAATTCCTTTCTGGTTTTTTCGCTAAAGAAAACACGTTATTTACAATGGATAGTTAAAATATATTTATTCAAAGTATTGGCCATTTGATTCTATACATTTTGCCCATCTCTCAGGCAATTTATGGATGCCATTCCAAAAGAACTGTTTCTCCTTTCTAAACCATTCATCGAGCCATTTTTTAACTTCTTCGAAATCGGCGAAGTACTGCTCTGTAAGCGCGTGCCCCATTGATGCGAAAAGGTGGCAGTCGGATGGAGCCAGGTCTGGAGAGTACGGCGGGTGCGATAAAACTTCCCATCCAAGTGATTTCAACACTTCTTTGACTGGTTTTGCTATATGATGTGAGACGGCGCGTCATGCTGCAAAATCACCTTATCATGTCTTTGAGCGTATTGTGGACGTTTTTCGATCAATGCACAGTTCAAATTGATCATTTGTTGTTCGTAGCGATCAGTATTAACTGTTTCTCCAGGTTTCAACAGTTCATAATATACGACACCAACCTGGTCTCACCAGACACAGAGCATGGTCTTGCGACCAAAGCGATTTGGCCTTGCAGTCGATGGGCCATCTTCGTCAGGTGATAACCATGATTTTTTTCGTTTGGGATTTTCGAAATAAATCCATTTTTCATCACCCGTTACTATTCGATGCAGAAATGACTTCCTTTCATACCTTTGAAGCAGCATTTCACTGATGATTTTTCGATTTTTCAATTGCCTGTCATTCAATTCATGTGGCACCCATCTTCCCATCTTTTGGATCTTTCCCATCGCTTGTAATCGTTCACAAATTGCTACTCGGCTCACATTCAACTTTTCTGCCAATTGTTTTTGAGTTTGTGTTGGGTCTTCATCCAATAACTCCTGCAATTCCGCATCTTCAAACGTTTTCGGCCTACCAGGACGTTTTTTGTCTTGAACGTTGAAATCACCACATTTGAATTGTCGAAACCACGTTTCACATGTTCTTATGGTTGGAGCATGCTCACCGTAAGTCTCTACCAGCAAACGATGACTTTCAGCGGCTTTTTTCTTTTGATTAAACAAGAATGGTATACATGTGTATGTGCGTGCGTGCGTGCGTGCGTGCATGCGCGTGTGTGTGTGTATGTAAATCGCTATATTAATAATTGAAAATCTAATTATAAATATATATATATATATATGAATCAATATAACAGCAATAATAAATGATTTTAATATTATTTTGTTATAAATAAACAAAAAATGTAAAGAAATAAATTTGAATTTTGTTAAATATCGGTATTAGGCAATAGATATGATTATATTAAACTTTGAACCTTGAACTTGTCGCTAAGCACAATAGTCGTTATACTAATATAATTGTAGATTAAGACATTCTGAACAAAGTTATTTACTATTTTGCAAATAAATACGCAAATTTTCAAGTTATCAATTAAAATAGCCTCTAGATGTGGTCATTTTTCAATCATTAATAACTTAATAACTATTACGATTTTTGCAAAATGGTACTTTTCTTCTCGGTTTGATATGTACATAACAATTATATATATATATATATATATACATATATATATATATTAGAGATATACGAATCAAGAATTTTTATGTCGAATCGAATCGAATCTCATTTTTTAAATTCGAATCGAATCAAATGAAATCGAATTGAATCATTAAAAAATTTAACATGACTATTAAACATGCAAATAATGATCGAAGATTTTAATATGAAAGGGAATATTGATATTGTAATATCATCTTAAAGTAAAATATATATTTAAATATTTAAAGTAAGTTATAATTAAGTTATTAATTATAAGTTAAATTAATTAGAAGTTAAGGGTTCAAACATACAGGCCCAGATGGCCCATTTCGTAACTAATGCACGCAAACATAATTATAATGTATTTGATAATGTATTTGATTCCTATTCGCATTATTCGGATTCGAATCATAGGAATTTGGATTCGAATCGAACCGAATTACATTAGATTAGATTTGATTCGATTCGAATTCGAATAATTCGCACATCTCTAATATATATATATATATATATATATATATATATATCTTTTTTCAAGTTATGTTAAATTTTAGTAAACTATATAACTGTTACAACAATAACAATTTTTCGATAACTAATTATACCGGTATCGATAACGGAGAAATAACATATTACATTTATGTTATACAATTTCATATGAATAAGAAATTATATCGAACATATACGTTGCATGCAACTTACATATTATATTATCTGTTATATTTCGTTATATTACGACAATGTAACTGTTATACATCTGTGTTAGTGGAACGTGTGCATTCTTACTGTATTATCAATCTTTCATTATTTATAAATAATATTATTCTTTTAGAAAAAATGTCTGCGTCTCAGCCTGTACAGTATAGACTCATGAATGAATACACGAAAGATAATAAGGTATGTTGTCATATAGATATGTTATCCGTAAAAAGATATGCAAACGGTTGATCATGTTGCAGAAATATTTGGATCAAAGATGCATGATATGTTTTATCTCAACTATGAAATAATGCCGAAAAATAAAGAACCAAGAGTATGCAAAAGTGTAGTTACATTTATTATTATAATTGAATATCTTCTGGTAATTAAAATTCAAAATTCAATAACAATTCGTTACTCATGTTCGCATATTATGCGCGGTAATGCCCGTTTAAATAATTCGCGGAGTGCTCACTTCTAATTCGAAAATGTTGAAGAATTTAAATATTTTTTGTACAATGCAGTATAGTATGAGTTTATTTTGAAGTATCAATAGACATGCAAAATGTATATAATTTGTTTGCTATTTGTTGTAGAATATGCTTCAAGCAGTCAAATACGCAATACCTAGTGAGACTGGACTCGATGGTAATTTTATTCAATCTGACATCACTTATATGATTCCATACACAATCCATACATAATCATGATTCCATATCTATTATATAAGTCTATGTATCATAAGCGTCCCAAATTTATTCAAAATTCTAGATCCTAATAAATCTAGTACTTCCATCAAGAAAATTAAATTGAAACAGAAATATTAAATTAAAACAAAAACTCTCAGTTTGCGCTTTCTATAAATTTTATAACATTCTGGAAAAGAGAATAAATTCTTATTTTTTTGAACATATGATAATGAGCTTTAAAACTTGTGATAAACATATCTTAAAACCAAATGATTAGATAGATATTCTTTATAGAAACTAGACATTATTTTAAAAAGGAAAGCAGAACAATTGCCTTTCTTATCAGAAAAACAGACATTTTTCTTTGTGCACTTCACTTCTATCCATTTTTTTCCAAAAGGAATGAACTCTCCGAGTTCTCTTGAATTATTTCTTGGCATAATTCGATTGTTTGCAGGACCAGATCAGGTATTGCCTGCAGATGTGGATACAACGTGCGAAGCGAACGGTAAAGTTCGAATCAAGTTGGACAGCAACAAACACGATTCGTTTGTGCCTGTATCGATACCTAGCGTTTTAATGAAAACAGCGCAATATTATCCGGATCATATTGCGCTGGTATCTTGTCCAGGACCCGATGGGAAAAGAACTATGTACACCTATCGGTAAGTGTTGCATCAGCTAAAATAATCGGTATTCAATAGAAAAAAAAAGACATCTTTCATATATATTCTTCACATTATTCGGATGATGAACCGCAATGAACGAATAAGATGCCCAACGCTTATCATGCGACTGCTGCGAGGGCCCCTTAAAATTTCTCCTGTGTGTTCTGTATCAGCGGAATTGCTCGAGATTAAATTGGAGCAGACATAACGATGTGTTATATTACACTTAATGATAAACAATTCTGTTCCTTAAATATGCACACAATGTATTGCTTTACAGAAAAAGTTCGTATTATATAAAAATATATTTCAAGAAAATTTTAATTTTCTTCGATTTCTTAACTTAAATTATTAAATTACCTCATCTTTATTTTGTGCGATGAATACCTTTCTTGGAATACCTTTCCAAAGCTGTAGTTAGATTTTACTATCTTTTGCTAAACGTGTACATTCGAGAGATTAATTATACTATATTAATTATATAACTATGTAAAAACACAATTTAATTTAATATACAAATCGCATGTAGTCTGTTTACCTTGAAAGTGAGTGATGCTTTGAGTGATTCATTGCGTACGACAAATACAGCTATATCGTGACGATATATAATTAATAATATAATACTAATTTTATTTTTGTTACAGGGAATACGAACAGGCTGTGAGAACTGTTGCTAAGGCGTTCTTGAAATTAGGCTTAAAACGATACCACAGCGTCTGTATATTGGGATTTAATTGTCCACAATGGTTTATTGCTGATCTCGCGACTATATATGCTGGGTAAGAGAAATCATGATTGTTTGTTGGGTAGCGTCTCTTGATAAATAATTAATTCTAATTCATTTTATTTTCGTTGCAAGCTCAACTTTTTTTTTTAAGAACTATGAAACACATTTATCCAGTAAATGTCATAGATCGTGTACATACACATATCTTGATGAACTTCTTCGGCTCACACACTCCCGGCACAAGTAGCAATTATGTAAACCGTTAGGCACTTGTGTACATACGTTCTTTTACATACTTGAATATAATTTATAATAATAATAATATGAATATAATGTAGGGTAGTAAATAAGACTTCGTTTGTTCGGTATTCATTGCTTTCGATTTTTCAAGAAGTCCTTTCATTAATTGACCTGCGACAGTCTAAAATATTCGTCCTCATTCGCCGAAATGTCCTGAAGTGTTCCGCACTCAAAGGATTAATTCAGCACTGGTTTCGCCATTCATATATATTCGTACGATTTATGTAGAGGAAAAACAATATTGTTATTAGTTATATTATTTTATGTTTAAACACACAGCTTATCGATATTATTTTTCTTTTGATTTTGTTTTAGTGGATTTGCTACAGGAATTTATACTACAAATTCTCCGGAGATATGCCAATATTGTGCAGAAAATAGTCGAGCAAATATCATAGTCGTCGAAGATGAGAAACAGTTGGCAAAAATCTTGAAAGTAAAAAGCAGTTTGCCGAATTTGAAGGCGATTATTCAATACGAAGGCATACCTACGGAGAAAGATGTTTTAAGCGTGCGTAAATTATATAATTTATGTCATTTTTGCTAGAGAAAAGAAAATGTTTATTAAGGAAAAAAGAATATGTGCCCTAACTTTTTTATTTTCTTCCTAGTGGGACGATCTATTGGAGATAGGGAAGAAGGAATCAGACGATAAATTATTATCCACTTTGAAGTTGATCGGTATAAACGAATGTTGCACTCTAGTGTACACGGTATGTTGAGTTCATTTTTATTCCTTGTGCTTTGTCTAACGCATCGCAATTGTTCACTTAATTTACAATTGTTTTTTAGTCAGGAACATGTGGGTATCCAAAAGCGGTGATGTTAAGCCATGACAATATTTTGCATTGTGTAAAAGGTGTGTGTAAGTTCTTAGAAATGACTAACAAAACCGAAGTTGTAGTCAGCTATTTGCCGTTATCTCATGTTGCAGCTCAGGTGAGTTGTCATCGAGTGGAATAACATTTCATTTGGTCGTGACTGGATTTTTTTCATCAATTTCAGGTATGTGACCTTATGTTAGGTATCTATATAGCGAGCACAATATACTTCGCAGATAAAAATGCGTTGAAAGGTTCATTGCTGGAGACATTGGCCGTAGCGCAACCGACCCTCTTCTTAGGAGTGCCCCGAGTGTGGGAGAAGTTTCATGAAAAAATGATGGAGAAGGCACGCAGTAACGGCGCTATAAAAACCTGGATCGCTAAATGGGCGAAAGCTCAAGGGCTTTATTATCACACGAATAAGATGAACAACGTGGATGATAAGCACTGGGGCTATATCTTCGCGAAGTGGCTTGTGTTCGACAAAATAAAGGCGGCATTGGGTCTGAATAGATGCCGCATCTTCGCTAGCGCGGCAGCACCCATTAATATAGACATCAAAAAATTCTTCTTGAGTTTGGATATGCCGTTGATAGAAGCATACGGAATGTCTGAGAGTGGTGGGCCCCACACATTAATCGATCTTAAGAATTTCACGTAAGTTGCACCTGCTTGTTCAACTTGTTATATCTATTGTCACTTGTGGCAAAAATGTAATTTTTGTTAAAGGTCTTAAAATTTATTATTTATGATAAGATGTCGTTATTCTCGATCCTAGCCTGCAGGGTGTTGGAATAGCTTTACCTGAAATGTACACAAAATTGGACAATATAAACGAGCATAGCGAAGGAGAGATCTGCATGGCTGGGCGACACATATTTATGGGTTATTTAAATGCACCGGACAAAACTGCGGAAACCAAAGACAAAGACGGATGGTTGCATAGCGGTGATTTTGGTAAATTAGATTCGAAGGGAAATTTGTTTATCACCGGTAAGCGCTTGTCCTCCTCCATCTATCGCGTTTGCATACGTCGCTACATTAATTCTTATTAAATATAAGCCAATACTTACACCTTCATATTTTACTACATACATAAAAATAATATATAGTAATGTCTTTTTATGTGTATTTTCTTGTAGGTAGAATAAAAGAGCTTATTATCACAAGTGGAGGGGAAAACATAGCATCAACTAACATAGAACAAGCAATATTAACCGAATTGCCGGCATTAAGTAATGCTTTATTAATCGGAGATCAAAGGAAATACTTAACAGTGCTCGTTACACTTAAGGTATAACGAATGAGATACTCAGTAATATCCAAATGTAAAAAATTAGTGCTTGGATGTAAACATGGAAATAAGGTCTAAATGACCTTATTTCCTTTAATATCCTATCGGATGTATGTTCCAGAGTGATATGAATAATGATACTGGGGAGCCTTTAGATACACTAAATCCAGATGTGTTGAAATGGGCGAAATCCATTGGTAGTAAAGCCAAGACAGTGACGGATGTTATAAATTCTCGTGATTCACTGGTAAGCAAGATATTTCGATGAAAATTAAAAAATAGTTATATTTAATAATGTAGTTCAATATGAAGTATATATGAATATATATGGATCATATAGTTCAAAAACTAAAGCAAGTAATTAAGTGTTTAATATAAACAATGTATAAGATAAACCCAACAAGAAGATAGGAATGTTTGACAGTGTTGCAATTCATTTTTTCTTTAATTCATATAAATCATTATTTTTTTTATCATAGAAATTCTTTTCGAATCATTTAGTTAGAAAAAATGATATATTCTCATATATTAGATTATATCTTAGAAAGTGCTTAATTTTCTTTTTTCAGATATACGAGGAGATTGACAAGGCAATCAAGAGAGCTAATATGCATGCTATAAGTAATGCTCAAAAAGTACAAAAATTCGAAATTCTTCCTCATGACTTTTCAATATCAACTGGAGAATTAGGACCTACATTAAAGCTTAAGAAATATGTTATTATAAAAATGTACAAGGATTTAATAGAGAAAATGTACCAATGAAACGAATTGATAAAGTACATATCAACATAATGATTAGACAGCTATACATATAGATTAAAAAAATATAAAATTCTAAATGTATATATTAACCTTAAAAAGAGGAAAATTTCTGATTAAAAATATGTTAGTATTTTATCAATTTTTAAAAAGAAAAGAATTTATAAAAAGAAATTTAATATAAGTTTTACATCATTTTTATAATTCTACATGATTTTTATAGCTTTTACAGATTTATATGTATCATAACAAGAGAATGGGATTATACATCTTGTTCTATAAAGGTTATAAAGGCAACTAATAATACGTGTATATTAAACTTTATAGTGTACAAATATTTAATGTTAATATTAATCATACCATTTTTTTTTATTAAATATGTTAGAAGCATGTACAAATATGAAAAAGATGACAAAAATTATAAGAAATAAAGACAGATATGCTTATGATATTGTTTAAATAAATAGGGAAAATATTTGTACACATATTGTATAATGTATCAACTTATGTATCAAATGGGAGAAAATAGAAATATAAAAATAGAAAAAATATTTAAATTGTAATATATTACTAAGTATACTTTACATAATAATCAAAACTGCAGTTATGTTTAAAATCATTGTTCATTCATTCTTCCTACATACAGATTTTCACAGTAAATGTGACTTTTCATAAGAAAATAGTCTTATTAAGCGCATCACAGCAGATTTCGAGAGAGAAATGCAGATCTATATATCATTTTGTGCTCAATCTTATTACACGCATTGTGTCAAACTACACATTCAGATTATTATGCTTATCAGTTAATCAGTGACACATTTCTGCATCATTAGATAATTATTCTTATTATACTAACTTACTTTCTCACTTTCCAAAAAATTGATAATTTTCCAAATATTAATTTTTACATGTGTACATTTAAGATGCGTATTTAAGATGCGTTTATTGCTAACTAATAATACAATCTGGATACATTATTTAAAAAATTTTTTAATTGTTTTTTGCAAATTAGAAGATATTGATATATGTCCAAAATAAAAAATTTTTGATTTTGATAATTATAATAAAAGAATGTAATATGTAAAAATTATAAATTCTTAAGCCAATATTGACTCACATTCACTTGAATAAATTACAAAATTTAAAGGTCACTGTCGCATATACACACAAATTACTATTTTTAACAATATTACAAATGTTTTCCTCAAGCAGCTAGAAAATAATTAGTTTACTAAAGATACAAGGTTTCCATAGTATTATAACATGTCTTTTACATAAGATTTTTATAAAAAAATGACCAGACATAGAGTCATTCAAACTTCTGATTATATATGACTATACCATATTATTTCAACATCTAAACATAACACTAATTAACAAAGTGTAATTTAAAAGGATGAGAGAAGCATCTTATGAAGCAGTTGATGTATTAAATTTTTGTTGGATTATGGATGTTTTTCGCTGTGGTACTGTTTCGGGTGTTGGTATAGCATCTCCTGTTGGCAAAACACCAGCTGGCTTTGGCTTGGCCGTAGATTTTTGTTTTGCCATTTGATAATCCCCAGAATCAAAGTATTTTTGCTGAAAGTATTTGAGATCTATTATTTCCACAAATTTCAATTTTAGAAAAGAATACAAATGCTTTCTTTGATACCACCAATATATATTAAGTTTTATATAATAAATATAATAAAAATAATATATTTACCCCCTTAGCCAATCTTTTCTGCAAAAACACGGAATGACCACCAAACGGCCGGCCAGCTGTATTTGGAAATTTTGCCCTTAACTTTGCTTCCTCTATCTTTTCTATATCATTCGATGACAACTATAATACAAAATCAAGTGAAGATAATATATAACAAACATAGTACATAAACAAACAATTCTGTACAAGCAAAACTTTTATGAAGGACTCTTTTTACTTATTTATCACTTTTAATATAGACTTAAAATCTGCTTTATTGTCATATTTTACATGAGCTTAACTCTTAACTCATATAATATAGTACAAATGTTTCTTAGAAAGCATTATAGACTGTTATAGAAGTAAAATAATTAAAGTCTCAATATACTTTTCTCATTAATTTAAATCATATTCGTTAATATATGTATTTATATACAATTTTTACAGTAAAATGTTTTTCAGGAGAGGAGAGGGGGAGCAAATTACATGATGTCTCGAAACTCCGGTGAGTATATATTCTTGACATTTTGACATCTACCATATCAGTGAAGGATTAAACGATTATCGGTCAATTATTCAGAATGGATTATTCAGAACGGATTGTTTACCTCCGTGGTCGGGCTTTGCTCACTCGTTTGTTCGTCACTCATCGTTGCGGCTTTTGAAACGCACTACTTGTCACTGACCGCTTCTTCTCACAAACGCGCCACTTAGTACTTTCCGAATACTAATTTCGACGCTAACGTATGTAATGTACATAAGCTAAACGAATGGCGCAATAATGTCGAAGCTGATATACGCGCAGTTTTTTCTCGATTTAGATTCCCGTGGCCAGAGGAAATTGACTTCTCGTTGGGTTTTAGCGCGACGCCGCGAAAAGATCAGCCACATCGAAATTATTGTCAACGCAGGGTGCGTTCCGTTTCACTCATATGCGCGCATTTTTTATAGTATACGTGACATAAACTATAGATAAATGCGCGCATATGCGTGAAACGGAACGCATCCGCAAATGCTTTCGAATGCGCACTCGAAACAGGCAAGCGCGTCACATGCGAAGTCATAAGGCCCATCTACAATGGCTGCAAGAACCAGTTCAGTTCAGTTCGGTATATGGCTTTATGTAGAAGGGTGCACCCATACGCCATTCTCCAGCTGCATTAAGGGGAAGGGGCTGCAAGAATAAGGTTCTAAGCATAAGCAGTAAAGGCCCATCTACAATGTCTGCAAGAATAAGGTCCTAAGCGTAAGCAGTAAGAAATAGACCAACCACAATCGATTATTATAAGAATAATCGACTATGGTTGGTCCATTTCTTAAGCCCCTTGCACAATGCCAGGCAACAGGCAACAAGAATAAAAATAGACCAATCACAATAGATTATTCTTGTAATAGTCGATTGTGATTGATCTATTTTTATTCTTATTGCTTAGCATATTATTGCTTATTGCTTGTTGCCTAGCATTGTGCAAGGGGCCTTATTCTTGCAGCCATTATACATGGGTCTATATGTTTCCAGATGACCGTTATTGAATTCGCCCGATGTTTCCATTGCATTCATTTACATTGCACCATTCTGCACGTTCTGTTCTCGGTGTAAAATAATTACGAAATCAATGGCCGCGTTCAGTAGAACAAAGTGATCAGAGAGCGCTTAGTGATTATTGTCTATGATTGGAGCATTCTTTTAGATTCTTCATAGACCCAGAAGTATTTACCAATCAGGAGCGAGATTCAGTGGAAAATCTAGTAATGTTGTCCAACTGTTGAGTCTGCTGAATGCAGCCAATGGCTGCGTTCAGTAGAACAAAATGATCAGTGAGCGCTTAGTGATTATTGTCTGTGATTGGAGCATTCTTTTAGATTCTTCATAGACCCAAAAGTATTTACCAATCAGGAGCGAGACTCACTAAGCACTTTCTGATCACTTTGTTCTACTGAACGCGGCCATTGTAATCAAGGGAGAATAGCGTATGAATACACCTTTCTACCCAAAGCCATATACCGAACCTGAACCGAACTGAACTGAGAATGTAATCAAGTTTTCCATCTAGCTATTAGATCCGTGACGATGACGACACCAGCTGGTCTTTGATTGTGGCTGCTATATTCAAAGTGATCGGTGGCGTGTGATGGGCAATAAGTTATCGCGTGTGTGCAACGAGACGAACGAGACAACACAAATCCGAAAGAATTCAAGTAACTGCGAAAGAAGCGTGTAATACTGACATGAACTCCTTGATTCTCACGAAAATGATGACCAGCCGCGGTGGAGTTGTTCGACGTGCGTATCACAGAATATTACTTCATATCCTATTATAGATTAGCACGATTTTGTAATAACTTGTAACCTGCGTTATAGATAAAGGCCTTAGCTTAACGTTACATTTACATAACACATATATGTGTCACGGTAAAATAAACGATGCGTCAATGCTTTCGAGTGTTGACAGACATTTTTCTTAATTTTTCTAATTTTTTCATCGATATGTTATTAAAATCGCGTCGCATTGTAAAAGGTACGATATAATCGTAGGTTATGTCACATTAGATTGGCCTGAAATTTTCCATCGACATCGATCGTAGACATTGACATAGTCGATGTTGATCAAAAGATTATCATTATGCTGTTTTATGCTTTCATGTCAGATCAATTATTCAGGAATATGTAATAATTATCTTTCAATCATTATATTAGTTATCAATAATAAACCTGCCTTTATCATTAATTTTTCATTAACTTATTATTACTACATCATTACTGTATCATTAAATTACACATTATTCATACCGATATTACACTAATTTTTAATTTGTAACATTCTACATTTGTATAATTATTTTTTGATGTGTAACATTCTACATTTGTATTATTTTTTGTTAATTGATTATAATCTTAAATTGATATTGATCTTTGATATTGATCTCATGATATTAATCTTAAACTTATTTATTTATTATTTCTTAATATATTATATTATTTTTGTCAAATGATATTCTATCTATATTTATTGATCAAAAATTTCTGTTTCAGGATACTCCTCATTAAAATTATGGTACAATATAAATCATACAATAAATGGTACACCTCTAGTTTATACAGGTTTACACAATCCAAATAAACTATTGATGGAGCCTATATCATCATCGATATGTATTAATAACACAACATGTCTTCCAATTCGTACATTCTATTTAACTCCAAATTGGAAAGGCCAGGAGTCATCGTCTAAAGTTGAAGAAACAGTGAAGAATATCAAGGAAGAGAAGGAACTGAAGCAGAAAATAGTGGGTGGTCTTATAAAAGATGAACCGTCAAAGAAAGCTGTTACTAAAGTCACAATGTGGCAAAAAATTAAAAGCGAAATATTGCATTATTATCATGGTTTTCGATTATTGGGACTTGACATGAAAGTTTCAGCAAAGTTAATATGGAGAATTTTGCATGGCAAGGAGCTTAGCAGAAGGGAACATAACCTGGTAAGTTATATATAGCAATTGTTATTAAAATCTGAGCTACTGTACTACTGCATTAGCAGATTAAGATTTGCTAATTAAATATTTATTTTGACAGCTGATAAAGACAACTGGAGATATGTTCAGGTTGATTCCTTTCTCTGTTTTTATCATTGTTCCATTTATGGAATTTTTACTTCCTGTAGCAATTAAATTATTCCCTGGTATGTTACCTTCTACTTTTCAAACAGCAACTGAAAAGGAAGATAAACTTAAACAGGCCCTAAAGGTAAATCAATTTCCTTTGAAACACCATACAAACAGTATATTTTAGTAAAAATTTAGCAAAATATTAGTTTGTAAGTAAATGTTTTATTTATAGGTCAAAATAGAAATGGCCAAGTTTTTGCAAAAAACATTGGATGAAATGGCTGTACAATCATCAGACCACAGATCTGAGAAGGCTAAGGAATTTGCAGAATTTTTCTACAAAGTACGCACAAGTGGTACCGTTGCAACTAACGAAGAAATCATGAAGTTTAGCAAACTTTTTGAGGATGAAATAACTTTGGATTCTCTATCACGACCACAGTTAATCGCTCTATGTCGTGTACTGGATGTACAGACACTTGGCACTACTAATTTCTTAAGATTTTTGCTTAGAATGAGATTGAGAAGTCTTGCTGCAGACGATAAAGTATGTACACCTTCTTTTCTTAATAAGATACCTCGATACTTCGGCTGTTAAATTAAATCTTCCTTTTCCCGTGACAGCTGATCGAGAAGGAAGGAGTCAACACCCTAACTAGAACTGAGTTACAACAAGCTTGCAGAGCACGCGGTATGCGTGCTTATGGATTGCCAGAGAACAGATTAAGAGATCAGTTGTTACAGTGGCTGGATTTGAGTCTAAATAAGAAAGTTTCACCTTCTTTATTGTTATTATCACGAGCGCTTATGATACCAGAAACGGTGCCTATGTCGGACAAGTTGAAGGCGACTATATCAGCTTTGCCTGATGCGGTGGTCGCTCGTACGAAAGGCGCCATCGGGGAGAAAGAGGGTAAACTGGATCACAGAACGAATATTGAGATTATAAAAATGGAGGAACGTAAGATCGAAGAGGAAAGAAAGGAACAGAAAGAAATCGAGCCACAACCGATCATTTCAGAACCTAGCACTAAAGAAGATGAAATTACCACTACAGATATGAAAGTTCTAGAACAGGCTCTGGATTCGATTGGCAAGGTTAGTGAATAATATTTATAATATATAACTTTCTAATATGTAATAATCTCATATTTATTTCTATATTTTAATATGTATATAATCTTATTTTTAGGACAATAAGAATATGGCTGTAGAGAAGGAGGAAATAAAGGAACTTAAAGAAGAAATGGCCGAATATCAAGAGGACATTAAAGAATTAAACCAAATTAAAGCAGAGGCAAAGGGCCAAATAGATATAGATAATATTAAAGTATCAAAAGGCGCTATGAGATTATTCAATAAAGTAAATAAGATGATTTCGAAGATGGACGCTGTTCTGTTGGAACAATCTGAGAAGAAAATGAAACAGAGAATGGAATCGTTGGGTCCTGACGAGGTAAAGGATGCCAAAAACGTTGAAGAGTTGGTCAAGATCGACGAATTAATTGCAGCCATTAAGCAAATTCAAAATGTACCCGATGAACATCGGCTAAAACGCATAGCAGAAATTTTAGGGAAAATTGATGATGATCAGGACGGTGCTATCAAAATAGAAGATGTCTTAAAGGTACTGTTAACTTTCATAGTCAGTATACTTTTAACAATACATAGTATTAACTTTCGCCAATTGTGATAAATATGTGAAAATATGTACAGAAATTCGTATACATTACTGGATGACTTTCTCTCGTTACATTGATAGTGCACTTACGTTTGTGTTAATTATATGTGATGAAATTCTTACAGGTTGTAGAACTAATAGGTCAAGAAGATGTTAAACTAAGCAAAGAGCAAGTAGACGAATTAGTAGATTTAATGGACAAAGAGGAAGTATTATTAATGGAGGAGCAAATGCAGAAGTCATTGCAGAAGAATTCGAACGAAAACCAGGAAGAAAATATGAAAGGCACGCATAAGTCCACGGTGCCTGCTACGCCAGTAACGAGCGAGCCGGGATTTGGAAGAGAGGAATTGCTAGACGATGCTGTTAGGGAGTCCAGTACATCTCACACGGGCTCGTCTATCGAGGAGAGCAAACAGAAATCGGCCGCTATCCTCAAAAGTAATTCCAAATCTGAGGAAGTGAAAAATGCCCCACTTAGACCGAATGTTCCACCGACACCGAAGAAGGCGGAAGGTTCCAAACAACTGTGATTATCGCACAATGAAGCATAAATTAATATATCTAATTATCGGAGCAATATTTTTACCAAAATTTGACACCACAAAGTTTTGGTATGGATCTTCGTCTGTATGTTGTATCCCGCACATGTTCTTATTTTTCGTTTTCTTCTTTCCATCCTTAGCAAATCTTTCCGACATTATTTGCTGCAAGTAGAGAACGCATCGTTATTACGGTGAAAGTTAGTTAAACGTTTTGTACTCGTGCGAAGCACAAAGACAGGTTAAAATAATTGGTCGTCGCTGAGGTAGAGCCGATATAACATTGCGTTGGTACATTATACATAGGATGTATACGTGGATATACGTCTGCTAATGTCTGTCATATGAAATATCGAATTAATAGGTTATCTTCAATTTCGTACCATAAACAGACACACATATACACAACCTCGAAGTTTCCATTCGAAGACTGTGATGCATTTAACAGCATCATTTATTACACTGTATCTTTTTATCAGTAATATATATACTTGTGCTAAATATGTTACTAAATGTTCATTCACCGAAGTTTATCGTCGATGTTACGCGTTAATTCTTCTCAAGAATATTCTGCAACGTTGTTAACAACGATAGATAAACGAGGTATTAAAAAAAGAAGTGTTCGGTCTCTGTTATGATATACAGATTAACTGCAGTGCATCCAGAAAGTAATCATTCCATCTGTCTGAACGCCATTCTTGTACATTTGTGATATATTTGACATACTGATAGTTGTAATTCAGAACAGCAGTCGTAAATTGCACGCGAATTACTTTGCAGTTTCAACAGTTTGGGCTATTTGGCGAAAGAGCGAGATACATCTATACATAAAAAAATGTACAGTAATTTATAATTTATTTTATCACTTGTAAAGCAGAGGGACATGATCCTACGTCATATATATATATATATATATATATATTATATAAAAGTGGATAAAGTGTAAAAATATATTATGTATATGTACAAGTATTACCCGCGCTCATCTTACGTAGAGTGCTACATTTGCAGAAGAAACTTTATTAAAAACTTAGTATTTCTATTTATGACGAAATATTGTATCGGTATTGCAGTGTCACATAAAAAATCGGGAGATATTTATATGTACATTTGCATTATTCTTAACAATGTTAACCGGGCGAAGACCATTTGAAATGTATTATAAAAACATGAATTTTCAACATAAACTTTCAGAAGATTATCTATTTCTTTACTTCTGCGCGCATGAAAATCCAAATACATATAAGTATGTTATTTTTAAAAATTTTTATAGGATACTGTTTTGAAAAAGAAATAAAGTTGAAAAGAAATAAAGTGTAAGATCAAGTGTCCTAAGTAAAGTGAAGAGTTTTTATAAAATTTTATATTATTGCACATTTCTGTTTCATTTGATCTATTTCCTCCGTTCTGTTGCTTTCTTTTGTACATTTGTTGTAGAGTAATTAATCATTAGAAAAAATCTTTTTATATACTATAAACCATAGGAATTGATTTTACAGTATTCTCTAATTCATGTAAAATATGAAACGATGCCGATTCATTGCTCAAAATTACTTGGTTGACAGTGAGTCATCAGATAAATCATAGATGATGTCACTTTTATACTGATATAGATATAGTAAATATACTATTACGTAACAATCGTTGGTCATTTGTACGATCGACTATTGTATAAATCCATTATTAATCAGTACGTATTGATACGCGATATATATATATGTAGTATATTATTTTTGAGTTCTAATCTTCAACATTTTCATAATTTCGAAAATGATGAAAAAATAATAAGCTTCGATAAGATTTACTTCGATATTAATGACGAAACTTATTTTACGTTTTAATACCTTTGTAGCCAGGATCCTTATAAATATAAATAATATAAATTATGCTATTATAAATAAGAAAAAACCTATTAATTCTTGTACCGAAATATATATTTTCTTGATTAATATTAAAATATATAAATGATTTACTTCGCTTTATTTATATGAAACTAAGTAACTTACTTAATAAATATTAATCTATATTTTGTTGAGTGCTAAACAATTTTGTCTGGTAAATTTAACGGAAAACATGACTGATGGATTTATGATGAATTTATTTAACATTTAAAATTAAGTGATCGTCAAATGAGTTGGATATACATAATGAGTGATTATGTGTGTCTAACGATGAATGGATGAACGATGGTCGAATAATTAATCATGTACATAGACATTATATAAAAAGGCTTTTAATTTATGACAAAATAGCAGATTAAACATATAGAATTGCAGAAACCTATATACTGGTGCGGATAATGGTACATCGTACATATAATATGCCTGAATCTAAATGTTGTCATAAAACTCCTCTAAAGAATCTTGATTGTTTGATTGACCTCGTTACATTAACGGTGAACACTGAAAAGGCACAATCAATGTCAACAGTACAAAAGTATCAAAATTAAATACGTATAGATTTCGCTTCTACTGTAAGAAAGCTATTATATTATAAACATATGCATTTTTTGTGAGCTTGAATAATCATTCCTGTAACACCTGTACTTTATTCATTATTCAAAGCTGTATTAATGTATTAAAATCTTGTTACTTTATATAAATGCATAAATGCACCTCATAGAGGTATAAACCTTTTTTAGATGAGCACGACTTAATTATGCAATCAGTCTCTAATTACAGTCTACTATGTTGGACGAAAATTAATTTTATTGTTATGACTCGACACTTCTGATGTGCAACTAATAAGTGCTAGACTTTGCTGTTGCAAAAAAGGCTATTATAATATTTAGCCGCAAAAATATGAGATCGCAATAAATCGAGAGATTTTTTTGTTAAATCTTCCTTTACTCTGCATTTACGTTTAAAAATGAAAATTATATATATACATATATACATATATATGTATATATGTATATACACATGTGTGCAAGACGTGAATATTTTCTCATGTATAATAAAATCTAACAACATAATATAAAAGATTACATTAATAACTATCAATGTGTTACAACTTGAGTTACTACAAAATTCACTCATACAATTTGAGACATCGAACTATTATATACTGTAAAAGGTTGTTTAACGAAAATAATTATATAAAATAAAACTTATTAATATATTAAAACTATATGAAACGCCACATATAAACAAATATTACGTAATAATAATAATAATAATAGTTTTCGTGACTTTACAGTGCGTTACGTCTTTATTTCAACATAATACCAGTCATATGATACTAGTAGAAAATAAAATAGAAGATTAAGAATATTTTGTTGTATGTATCTCTTCTCTCTTTCTCTATAATCTTTTCGATAATTCTGAAATGGAATAAAGAGTGCTGAAATTATTGAAGGTTGCAAATAAGTAGCGCAAGGTCAAAAGCGAAGGCATTGTTTTATTTCAACATGAATGTAATTACATAATTTTTGTAAATAATATATATATTGAAAAAACGAAACAAATAATATTTGCAAAATTCGTAACATTTTAAATTATCTCGAAAACATTAACCATCATCCATATTTCAGCACTCTAAAGACAAGTCTGCAAGCAATCTCGCACTTAATTTTGTATTATTACCCATTTTATTGTTAAATTCGTTTTTTAGCTCAAGATGTACATAACAGGGATGTATTATATAATAATATAGTGTCGCGATAATATCAAGATATTGTTATTGAAATATATTTTAATAATATTATATAGAAAAACATCGTATGTTCTTCAAATTTTTAAGTATATGAAATCAGTGGATTATATTATATACATATATGTATATATAAATATATTAGCATAAATTGCATGTCTTAAGTTTGAATATTCCTTCTGAATGTATCGCAGAAGGTAGGACAAATTAAAAATGTCAACCCACTGTAAAGTGTCAGAAAACTTTCATCTTTAGTATAAATACAATTCTCTTTTCTTACGCTTAGCTTTCGATTATAGGAGTTTAACTTTCTCCTATAACACGAGCTACATATTGTTGTATGTTTGTTATAGCAAGATGCAGCAGTTCGTTTTCTTCTTACGTTCACTCCCATCTCCCTGGTTTTCCTGTGCTTTGCGAGCAGCTATCGCTCGCATCAAATCAAAGAATACCTGCAAGCGTTTTATTTTTATTCATTTCTTGTCTCTTTACGCGCATAGGAACTTTCTTAAACTTATACATTTACAGATAAGAATCAAAATGTATTTTATCTTCTTATTCACAGTGAAAAACATAATTATCGATTGTATACAGAAAATATCTCGGATTGTACTTTAATATTAATACAAGTATTTCATAGGAAGCATTAATTTCATAAAAATATGAAACTGACGCATGTGTGACGTATTCGAAGGAACTTTCGTAACAGAGTCATTGAAAAGAAAGAAAATAGGAAAGCAAGCATGCTTGCATAAACTCTAACAAGCTTTAGAAATGACATGTAACATGTTATATATTGCTTTACACTTATTATGCAAATACTTGTGAATAAATTATTAAAATGTTTAAATATCTCAAATATCAGTGAGCCTGGAGCAATACGAAGAACGAGATATGCAATAAAATATGTATCTTCTAAAAGCAACTCATTTTGTATTTTCTTTCAAATTATCACATAACCGAGTGATCCTTGATTGTACATTTTCATTGCATATCTATAATAGTTATTGATAATTAGAAATTGCATTAGATCGAATAAACTATCGACATTCCACGTGTTTTCTACAGACATGTAAACAAATTTGCCGAAACAAGAAACGCCACAGTTTGACATAAAAAAGCGTAAAGTAAAGAATATAGTGCAAGAAAAAACGGCAAACCTATAGAATAATGCACTTCTTTTTCTTCCTCTTGGCACGGTCTTTACCTCGACCATTGCTCGCCGACTTATCCTCAATCTTGCGTGACCTTATTTCACGCATCAAGTCGAAAAATACCTGCAAATGTGCAATGGATGCTATCTCAAAGCTTTAAGGCATATAAAATGTGCATTATAAAAAAATAAACGATCGTTTTTTTTTCATTTTTAAGTAAGAAGAGAGAATGGTGAGATTGTGCGCATAAGCAACAGCACAACAAATAGGACACAGTGATATATTTAATGACAGATAATATACACAGACTGCAAAATTAAGCTTATTTAAATGCATATTTCATGCAATTGATTCATATGCCATATACATTATATTGAGGACAAAGTGAAAATGGAAGCGACAAAAATATGTGTATGTGCGTGTGTCTGTAAATGCATCTGCTATTTTTAATAGTTTAACTACACTGAATATGTATACTTGTAAATATCTGACACAAACACAATTTGTAATTCTGAATATCTAGTTCCAAATTATAGAATGGTAAAATCTAAATAAAAAAATACTTGATCTCCTACAAGTTTCTTATACTGAATCTTTAATAAGAACAGATTATATCAAGTGATATGCTGGTCTTATTAATGATATGATTAGATGAAAATCATGTTAAATAGCACTTTACCTTGTCTACATTTTCTTTTGTTTTGGCGCTTGTTTCTACATAAGGAACACCCCACTGTTGGGACCTTGCTTGAGCTTCAGCTAGACTAACCTTCCTTTTCTCTTGTAAATCACTCTTATTACCCACTAATAAGAATGGAATGTTTTCATCATTCTTTACCCTGAGAATTTGTTCTCTGTAAAAGAAATATTGTTTCTAATTAATCATTTGAAACAGTCTGATGTTAAACTGCAAATTTGAAAAATGCACATTAATTAACAGTCAATTAAGTTTTCTTCACCTAAATTCTTGTGTAGCCTGGAAGCTATCGTCTTCTGTTATCGAAAATACACATAGGAATCCTTCTCCACTGCGAAAATAATTGTCCCGAATTGCTGCATAGTCTTCTTGTCCTGCAGTATCCAATATATCTATTTGTACCTCTTCACCATCTAATACAACTTTTTTTCTGTAGGAATCTGCTTTTGTAGGTTCGTAATCTTCAACAAACTAGTTTCAACATTGGGATTAAAATCAAAAGAAATAGATTTTATTCATGTATATATGTGTGCATATGTATCTGTGTGTATTAGAATATATATACCTATATATGTGTATGTTTTAAAAATATGATACAAAATTAAAAAAAAAACAGAAACTACATACTTGCAAAAATTTCAATAATAAGTGGATGCTATATTTTATAAAGAAAAAAAAGTATACTTACCTCATCATACATAAACTGCAGTGTGAGAGCTGATTTTCCAACACCACCACTGCCAACCATTATGACTTTATGCATTGCTTGGGTGGCTCCTGGTTTCTTTGACATTTTTGTCTTAATTACCTTCAATTAAGATACAGTAATCATCAAAGTAGTCAACTGTCCTTTATATCATAAAAGTATGGGATAATAACAGGATTTTGTATGAATATTTTATATCTGAATATGTGAATGCAAGATTAAAATGGATATAAATAATAGAATTACTATATATATACATATATATATATATATATAAAACGATTATTATATATATACGTATATATAGTAATCATTTTATTATTTATATCCATTTTAACTTTATATATACAGATATACATATATATACTACATATATAAAATTAAAATGGATATATATATATATATATAATAAGAGAAATAATAAATGTATGAAATCATACATGTACACAAAACCTTCTTTTTTTATTTTAACAAGACTTTCTTTACAATGATTACCTTAATTAAAGTAGAGCAAAGTTTACAATGGCAGGATGTAGGAATTATATTGTCAGTGTGAGAAATCTAAAACTATGCTCAAGCTATATAGTTACATATATATTCTCACTCATTGTGTATCTTACATACTATATGAGAATACATAGTGTATCTTTTACTTTTAGATTGGATAATCCAGAATATCAGGATATCTTTAAAAGTGGGAAACTTTTTAAACACTTGGTCTATCATTGTGTATTTATGAGAATTATATTATCGTATATCTCTTAGTCTTTACTCCACTAATCTAAATCTCACCTTGTTTATCCTATATCTTATGTGTAGGATAAACAACTAGAAATACTATTCAAAGATCATAAGATATCAAAACTGGCACAGATGTAAATGAACAATTTGATAACAAGATTACTTTAATTTATTCTGCGATTAACAATATTACAGTTGATTTCAGTTATATTATCGAACTCTCAACATAGTAGCGTTACCGTTATTTCCCAGTAATGGAAACCATGAAAAAATAACACATTTTCTACAATCGAATTAAATTATATACACTACACCTTGCGATAGATCGTTGTCGATCAGAATTCACTTCGATTCTCGTCCATATAAGTGAAGCACATGATATGATAAAAATAAAAAAGAAAATAGAAAATCGACCGACGAAGAGAACGCAAAACACACTTCGTGGATCACCCGTAAGTGTAAGCAGCGCTTTATAACTCGCGCTCCTTTCTATTTCCATATCTCACCTGCGAGGAAGTCCGATATAACGATTGTTATAAATAATTGCGACGTAACACGCTACCACGATCATACGTATATGATCACCGAGTGAAACGGTCGCGATTATCGAGCGATGCCCCGATCGCAGTACAAAGATAAATTAGAAGCCCTCGGTGGGGTGTAACATGAGTAACGAAAAAGGCGGTGCCGTATTTCCGAACGATGGAGCGGAGATTCCGCGAAAGCCGGATGAATGACTGTTCCGTCTATCGGATGTTAGAAAATATCGAACGCACAGCGGCGGCGGCGGCGGCGGCGTCTCGCCACGTCGCCCGGGTATGCGATGACGGAGGCCATGGCTATCATCGATAAATACCTCGTGAAAAATCGTGTGTCAAAGCGCCTCGGGATCGTTCTCCGTGATCTCTCTCGCAGCCGTCCACACAGCAATCACACACGCGTTGGTTTACACTACTTTCACGCAACTGCTAGTACCGATGGTCAAGTGCGGTGTCGTCTCGATCGTTGAATCATCGTACCATTTCTGTCATACATCACCACTAGTAGGCGCCTCTGATGTTATGGCGGATTCTTATTTCAATTATGCCCGATGAACAAAGCTGTATATTGTCCAATCAGAACACATTGAGCTTCTGGTGACTATGATGAGATTTTCGTCACCAGTACGCAATGCGAATTCTTCATTGGTTGAATTTGGTGGGTGTAAAGCATGATCAATTACTTGTGGCTGACCATTTTCATCGCTTACCGCGAAAATTTTACTCAAATTGCCAGTCGGCAGGTGAGAGTGACATAACCTTTAGGAGGAGGGACATTAATTTTCACATATGTATCGTTGCGATTAAATGATTAAATAACTTGCGATATTCTTCTCGGATTTCTCTCCAAACGTTGACATTGCAATATGAACGCATCATCAAATAAGAATCTCGAAGATGAGATCGAAGATCCTGTTGAGCGGATGCTAAAGAAGACCGGTTGTATAGAATTGCATTATCAAGTTCAAGTATGTCCACTTCGATTATATCGATTCGATTAATTGACTCTTTAATTTTATTTAATTAAATTTATATAGTTCCTGATTTTGTTTATGCAAAAAAAGTTCGATTAGAATTAAGTTTAGTTGAATCTTATAACTTAAAGAGAAAGCAAGTGATATGTTCAAAAGATTAAATAATCAGAAAAAAGCTGTTGAAAGTTGATTGCCTTCTTTCTTTCCTTTCATTATTCGAATATGACTTGTATTTTCTTCAATGCATTTAATTTTATAAATTAAGAACATGAAACTTTTTGATTGACTGAACAACATATAGAATTATTTTTAGGAATGTATAGCTGAACACCAAGACTGGAGGAAATGCCAAGACCAAGTGAAAAAGTTTAGGGAGTGTATGACCGAACATACAAAACAAGAATTGAGATACAAATAATAGATTTATTTCAAAGATGTGGTTATTAGGGAGATATATCAGATCTTTATTTTCTCCGACTTGGAATGGAGAAAATTGTAAAATGGTAATAATAGTTCGATCAGATCTATCTATGGGGAAAGGCAAGGTTGGTGCTCAATGTGCCCATGCTGCGCTAGAGTGCTGCCGTCAGACTTTAAGTAACCAAAAGAGGCAAGAGATGTTTCATTCTTGGTTACAAGTTGGACAGCCTAAAATTGTTCTTAAAGTACAAAATGAAGAAGAATTGTTAAATCTAGCAGATAAGGCTCAGCGTGCTGGTCTAATTACCGCCATAATAAAAGATGCTGGTAGGACTCAGTTGAGGTATGGTACAGTTACAGTTGTTGGTATAGGACCAGGATCCACTGAGGTTATTGATAGCTTTACTTCAAAATTAAGATTATTGTAATGTTCATTTATGCATCACAATTGGAATACTTTATAAATTCAATTCTTCTTTAATATCAAATGTTTGAACCATGGTAAAAGATTACATAATCATTTTGACAATATCTGGAAATATAAAGATTCTCCAGTGAGATAAATTCAAAAATTTCTTCTCTTCATATAAGATTAAATTCTTGTAGTTATTATAAAGATTGCAATATATTTCAGGTGTATTAAATATAATCAATCTAACAGACTGTATATAATGTTGTGTACATATATAGAAATAAAAATCAATTTTGGATTGTAATATAAATTATATATATTTTTCTTATTGAAAATATTAATTGTGAATGTATGAAAAATCTTTTTTAAAATAGATATATAATCATTATAAAGATAATTGAATTTTATGATATTGGTATCATGTATCCTGGCTAGAAGATTAACTAAATAAAATATTTTTTAGTTAACCTAGTGACATGATAATAAGTTTTATACTAAAATAATATCTCTACTGTCATGTTATTCTTTTTCTATTTACTTGTAAATGGCATTTTAAAATCTTAGACACAATTTTTTGAGGTAAATTATATATATGCTGTACTGCCTTCATGTATTGTAAGCAATTTATATAACATGTCTAAGTGTTTTTCAAAGAAATATTGTTAAAAATCTAAATACAATTTTGCGAAACAATGTGTTAAGAGAAAATAGACTATACTAAACTTGCTTTCTCATTCGAAGAGAGAGAGAGAGAGAGAGAGAGAGAGAGTGTGTGTGTGTGTGTGTGTGTAGATATTAGAAATATAAATATATCATAAAGATTTCACCGATCTCACGTTATATATACATGTGCTCAGCATTAAAATATTCCCAAGAGAGTGTATACCGTTATACTATCTAAGTTATTACAAGATTGAGCAATAATAGTGTAACAGTAAAACGCGCGCTCACAGCTTCCTAATCCTGCTAGTGAGTATAATTTTATATATATAACTACCACATACGTAACTCTCAACACACGCGATTGGAATCAAATTGTTACGAAAATTATATAAGTGTTTTATTTTCACCATTCTCATCCAAGCGCACATCGCAGAGTACTCATCATATGAAGTAAATATAGAATAATTACAAGATGTAATGGCAAGTCAACGACGGCACCAAAAAGTGTGTCTTATTTACGAGATTCCGATGATCCTTACATATACACACAGGATGTGCCATGGGATTTTTTTTTTATAGAACCGAAAGACTCGCAGAGTGGCTGGAATACGGGCGAAAATTATTATCTTAAAATTCACGATTTATGAATATGATATGAGTAGAATTGTGTTGCTCGATAAACGAGATGTAAAGTATGTAAATACTTGAGCTTGCGTTATAATATTGTTACTTACAAGTAATATACATAATTCTAGCGTAATTATATAAGTAATTATAAGGAACCAATAAATTGTTTAATATTAGAAACATCGTGCAAGAATATATATATATATATATATATCGATATTGAAAAAAGATACACATAATGGTACATTATTCTCTATAGTAGAATGAATACTAATTGCACATTTTGACTCCACATATGAAGAATAAAACCGACGGCTCACGATTCCCGCGCGTCAAATCGAAAATTACGTTTGTCTGTAGCGAATACTCATATCATACTCACGTAATTAATTACCTCTGATCACGTCAACTTATCAAATCGATATCACACGGTTGAATTTAAACGATTGATGTATATATGTACCTCTAATCATAGGACGCGCATGGTATTTCATGCAGCACATACACGTTAGAGTATTTACTCATGCTATTAGACTGACCATTTGGCAAATGTACATCACATTGTTCGTAATGAAAAATGCCGTTCATCAGTTTCTCAACGTTACACCTCTCCGATGCGGACGAGTATTAAGTGATTATCTTAACAAGTTCTGGCGGCTCTACATAATTGTTCAATACATGCGGCGCTTCGTTAAATTCGTCGAGTTCGTCACCATTATCCGCGCCTTGCGCAAGTAAAAAGTATTGTTCGCTTCTGGTGGGCCATAATAGATGAGCCATTACGCAATAAGCGAAACAGTCTACCGAGTACGTTATACCTACAAATTGGTGAATGAGACCATGTTTAATAATAAATTACATTTTACGAGATCTTACTCACCTAGCAACAGCTTAAACCTCCACAGTGCGCTTACTTGAAGAGCTATGAGTGCTATAATGGGCAGATATATGAACCAAACTAACGACGACGCACCAAAATGTAAAAGAAAGTGTAGCTTTTGAGTATTATGCTCATATGTCATAGTGTTGCGGAGCTCACACAGAAACCACACCATTATTGCACTTCGAAATAACAATATGAACCATCCTGGCCATGTTTGATATTCGTCTATGTCCTCGATAATATCGACTTCTGTCTGTAGAGCAGATTTCTTGTTAGACGAATTTATGTTGGTGCATATGCAGCTATGAAGTATTTACCATGTTCCACACGTAAAGCAAGATGTGGACAACTCCGTAACAAAACCATATGGCAAATACTAGTGGTTTCCATGTTAATTCCATTCTCGTCACTGCCCATCCTTTGGCAAGCAAGAGCAATAATAACATAAACGACGTCTAAAAGTACAAGAAAAAATGGTTTAGTATAAAAAAATTGGAATACAAGTCGGTCAGGAATCACTAAAATCTAAAATCAAAGTTATCCTAACTTTTTATACGAATGATATTCGAGCGAATTCTCTCGTGAGATACATATCAGTGTTACAAAATTATATTGTGAGGAATAACTATGTCAATATATTTACACAAGAAACATATACAATTTATATGTAATTTCACATTTGGTTTTACTTACCCGCGATAGAATATCAAAAATATCACCTGCAACTTCTAATTGTTCATAGCCCACTCCATCTAGTGCAAATTTCAACACGTGTATCAGGATCAAACATACCGCTACAAATTCTAATAATAAACTAGCAGTGAACAATCTTGTTACTGGATGCTTTTGCAATCTCACTGCGTACAGCTGCAGCGGCACCAATATGATGTAACACATAAAAAATAATAAGTACAGCTCGATAGTATTCTGTTTATCGTACGAGAATTGGTAAGTCAGACTGTTTAGGCCACTGGTGTTTGGATTGCCGTTTACTAGCCAGATATCGTACTCCAGTTCATCGTGCTTGTCGTAATGCTCCCATTGACAGGTAGTCTCGTTTCTGTAGCACGCAACCAGACTCATGTACCAGAATCGTGGCTGCCAAAAGTCCTGTATGACATAGGTGAATTGGTGGCCCTTCACAATGTTCCACACCGAATCCTCGTCCGGACACAGTTTGTCACGGGGACACGGTACTCGCCTTCAAGCACAAGAAAGGAAATCACAATTTGTCACAACTGAAATATACATATGTGTGGTGCCATCAGATATAACAGTATATAATCTTACACACATACATATGCAAGAAAAAAAAGAAAAAAAAAACACCATACTCTACCTTAGGAAGTCCTGACCCTCCTCGTTGCAATGCGGATCATAGGAACTCTGTTTCAGCGTGCTGAACATGTAGGCGCACGCGGTGCTCTTGTTCGCGAGCGTGCGATTGCCATAATACTCGAGGAAGTGGCCACGATCCAATATCGCCAGGGTGATTGGCGCGTCGAAGTCGGAGCGCGCGGTCACGTTGCCGAATATGTAGCCGTACGAATCTTTCTGTCGATGGCGATCGGTCTTCTGGAAGCCGAACTTGATGAGGAAACGGAAGAACTCCCTCGTGTTGAACGTGCCGGTGATGTGTGTGGCGTGCACGTAGTCCGGCCGCAAGGACAGCCACAGCAACACGCACAGAACGCGCACCAGCCACCGACGGCCGATCATCGTTCCTCGTCAGAGGTCACGGTCGCAAGTCACGCAGACCACCTCTTCTCCTCGACCACGCTCCCGTCAAGAACCGACGGATGTCCTCGGCATTTTTCTCGCGCGATTTCGCGCACCAGCTGTTACCGTCCGCACACAAGACCGCTTTCTCGCGCTCTTCCTCTCCCCCTCTGGACGCGACACGGTGCGACAGGTAACCCTGTTTTCTCAGCAGTAGCAGCAGCCCATGGTGGTGACGGCTTTCCACCTCATCGCCTCTTCCTCATAGAGACGCGACGACACCTTCGCGACCACCATTCCGACATCGTTCGTTGTCCGTTGCCGCGTAGTCGTCGCCACCGCTGCCGGGGATCCACGACCGGACATGCGAATATTAATTGTCACTGGTCTTCCGAGAGCGCGCCCCGAGAGCGTTTAATGACCGAACGACGATGTGTGTATAACTCTGTCTCTTTGTCTTTTCGCCTTGGCGCTTTGAACTCACCTTTTCCTATCGATTTTCCCCACCCGTCGAACGGACGAGACTGTCTCGTCCGGTTCCGGGGAGAGACGCTCGTGCTTGTCGATCGGACCGCTGTTTTGTTTTTCTCTTATCGCGATACCTTGTGTATCGAATTCGGTGAGATGGTCGTGACCGTGCATGGAGAAACCGTGAACCGCGCAGAAAAAACGTGATCTCTGAAGCTGGAAGATGCGAGTGAGGAGGCCGCAGGAACGGAGCAGATTCCGCCTGTAGACTCGCGTCGCTCTGCGCGTTTCTTTCGACCGACGGCTGTCTTTCGTCAGCTCGTTGCCAAAAAAATGCGACGTTATAGCACGACGAACAGATGATGCAAAGCCGGCGACGATGTTGAACATTCGTCACTCGACCGCATGACGAACGCGCGCCGGACGAATTGTGCGTCGTATATTAGTCGTTAATAATATAATGGAATTTATCGAATGGATAACCGTGTGTTATTGACTTCACGTCCTTGTTTCGTTTGTAAGAGATAAATTGAGATAACGATAACGTCGTATGGATGACTAGTGTCTACTGTCGTTTAAATTATGGGAATTCTCAGCAACATATGCTGAAGATAATATGTAGATCTTATCTTTGAGGAAAGAATGCGTTTTGTTTGAGGTTATGCGGCAGCACGACCGTTGGCTGTATTTGCCTCTGCGCACTTGTATATACGGAATGTTTGAGCTATTTTTTTACCTGTGGTGGCTCGGAAATAAACGTTGTAACTATATATTCTGAGCTCTGCAGAATGTCTCTCAAGAGTGCGTCTCATTTTCAGAAAGTGTGTCTAGTACGATCACTAGTTAAATGAACAGTTAAAACGAACAAACGTTCAAATTCATGTGGTATGATCGTTAGGAATTGTAACGTACTTTTGCTCGGTTTTAGATTTCGAACATTCTACTTAATTCAACCTGAGAATAAACAGTTTGATATTTATCTATATGTTATCTACATATTTATCTGTAAACACCTGAAGATACGTATCAATCATGTTCTCGACTCAGTGTTAGGTTAGGTTGAGCGACGAATATAATACTTGACGCGAAGTACTACCGTGCTTCTTGATGCTATCAAGTTATTTGTTACTTGGTAGAATTTTTTGCAAATAGGACTAGGATTTTCGGGATTTGATTTTGATATCAACGCTACGACAAATGTTCCTCGTAAGAATAATTTTGGCCCTGAAAAGGGCCGTTTGAAAATTCGAGGCAATTTAAGCACGTTCTCCACGGATTCGACGAGCCAACTGGATGTCCTTGGGCATGATGGTAACCCTCTTGGCATGAATGGCACAAAGATTGGTGTCTTCAAACAATCCTACGAGGTAAGCCTCGCTTGCTTCCTGAAGGGCCATTACGGCAGAACTCTGGAAGCGAAGGTCGGTCTTGAAATCTTGTGCGATCTCACGAACCAATCGCTGGAACGGCAATTTGCGAATCAACAGTTCCGTGCTCTTCTGGTAGCGACGAATTTCGCGAAGAGCCACGGTTCCAGGACGGTAACGATGCGGCTTCTTTACACCACCGGTTGCAGGCGCACTCTTACGAGCGGCCTTTGTCGCCAATTGCTTGCGAGGAGCCTTGCCTCCAGTAGATTTACGAGCGGTCTGCTTGGTTCTCGCCATCGTCAGTAATTAACTAAATCAAAAGTACGTATCACACAGGCTGTCGAGTACGAATGGACCGTCGAGTTCAAGACATCCCCTTATATACACGTCTCACGCGACCAGCGATCGCAAAGTGCTTGTTCATTGGTTAGTCCAGCGGTAGTGGGGATAGCAGCAGCGGTGAGTAGAAATTGGCTGCGCCTGAAGACACAGCAGTTGCACAGTGGTTGAGTAATTCGTCAACGTTATTGGTCTGTATGCAAGGATCTAACAGTAAATCGTCACTAATCGCTCAGTGAGCGTTTTCTGAACTAAACCATTGGTGTAAAAGTGCATATTCATTTGCGGTTCTAACATTTCTTCGATTAGTTTCAAAACGCAGCGAACGGCTGATAAAAGATTTGTCTTTGTATAACTGTTTTTATAACTTAGGTAGATTTTCTCATTACACGTAGAAAGACAGTATTCGTTCTGTGAATAAATATTACATTGCGTGAATACAAAAATTTGTGTCCGACTTCAATATTGTTATCGGTGTTATACAGTGGACATATATTGTTGAATAAAATTTTTATATTATATAGTGGTGACGTGTTTCCTCTCGCTGTTAAACAAACGTGGTAATTGGTTTGCTTTATTCGCATTTGATTTGTGACAAAAATCATCGGATATGAATGAAGAAACAGTTCACTCTCGGCATATTTTGAGTTTAAAAGAGATGAAAAAAAAATTGGAACTGCGCAGTAAGAAAATATTCAGGACATTTATCAGAGCCCAGCGTCAATCCACAATCTAAAGCTCGATGTTTGGATATAATTAAAAATTATTCACCGGAAAGAATCAAGTTGTTTGAGTTTCTGTAATCTTTTTATTGAAAAACCGGCACAAACTTGCACTCACCCAATATTGTTATAGAATAATCAGAAAGGAGGAAAAGGATAAATGGGTATAAATAAATTATATATACAGGGTGTGTATGAATTCGGGCCAATTGTTTCAACTTCCTGGTAAGTTAACTGATAGTTAAATCATATGTCCGTCTTTGTCTAAGTTGAAGGAAAAACAAAAATAAATATATGGTTTAACTATCAGTTAACTTACCAAGAAGTTGGAACAACCGGCCCTTCGTGTAACAACTTTTTATTGCACGATTTAGCATTACCGACGGCATTGTATTTAGCTGAGTCACATGCATGCGATATCTATACGTGACGTAATTAACTACAATGCCGTCGATAAATCGTGTGGTAAACAGTTAATTTATTCATTCATTCAATCAATATATGGCTCTAAGCAGAGTTATTACACTCCTTTCTCTTATCACCAATCACAACGATTTTGGAAATAAAAGAGAAACAGGGACAACACGTACGCAGTCCCCAAGATCTAAAATATGCACAGTCACATCCAATCGCCACGGAGGCGAACAAAAGACTTAGATGGCACTATCACCAAAGATCTGTAAAAAGTTGTTACACGAACTAGATTCTATGGATCTGTTTTTTATAGCTGCACTGTTGAACTAGTGCAATAAGTTAGAGTGAGAAAAAATATAGTTGTTTCATTTTAATTTATTGCACTAATTCAGCAGTGCAGCTATAAAGAACAACAGACCCTACATTTATCTGCGATGTTGCTGAATGGCTGTTGGTCTAGTGGTGGGAGGCACGTCATAGGAAGATTATAAAAGAGCGCCGTCAAGCAATTACCATACAGTTGCTGTTGCACGGTGTATCCCAAAAGTTCCGGAACTTTTTTGTTATTAACGGTACGCATCGCGCCATTTATCATATCGATAATGGACTATGTTCGTAGAAGCCTTGTTTACATGTATCTACAGCGCTAAAATCGTTGATTCCTGTTCGTTGATACCTCGATAAAACTGATTGCGTGTTTTTCAAACTCTCGTGGATAAAATGTCGATCGAGAAAAGAGCGAGCATTAAATTTTGTGTAAAGTTGGGGAAAACGTTTACCCAGACGTTAGAATTATTGCGGGAGGCTTATGGGGACGAAGCCCCATCGAAAACAAATGTGCACGTGTGGTTCAACCGATTTAAAAAGGGACGTACGTCGTTGGAGGATGACAAACGCAGCGGGAGGCCATCAACGAGCCGAATTAACGAAAATGTTGAGCAAATTTGGGAGCTACTCAACGGAGATCGTTATCTATCCATCAGCTTGATAGCGGATGCCATTGGGATCAATAAGTCTCAAGTACATCGCATTGTGTCTAACGATTTGAAAATGCGAAAGGTCTGTGAGCGCTTTGTTCCTCGCACGTTAACAGACGACCAAAAACAGCCTCGCATTCTTCACGCTCGAAATGTCACTTCGACCGCTCGTAAAGACTCAAACTTTTTGAAAACTATCGTCACTGGTAATGAAATCTGGTGTTTTCAATACGAGCCACAAACTAAACGTCAGGAATCAACATCAAAAAAAATGCGCATGCAAAAATCGAGAGTGGAGACAATACTCATCACTTTTTTCGATTACAACGGCCTGATACATCGAGAGTTTGTCCCATCAGGCCAGACAGTCACCGGAGACTATTACCTAGGTGTTATGGAGCGTTTGATGGCAAGAATAAATCGGGTTCGTCCACAATACCAAAAGCAAGGCAGCTGGTCGTTTCTCCATGCCAATGCGTTGATTCACAAGTGCGTCGCTGTGCGCAACTTTTTGACCTCAAAATCGGTCCATGTCATCGCCCATCCACCTTACTCTCCAGATCTGGCACCGTGCGACTATTTCCTGTTCCCAAAACTCAAATTACAGCTGAAAGAACAGTCTTTCGACGATATTTCTATCATTCAGAGAGCTGTAACCAACGTTCTTAATGACATTTCGGCAAAGGAGTATCAGAAATGTTTCTCAAAGCTTTTAGACCGATGCAACGCATGCATTTCATCAAAAGGGATGTATTTTGAGTAATATTTAATAGAAATTTCATTTCCTAGCGAGCAAAGTTTCATTAAAAGTTCCGGAACTTTTGAGACATACCGTGTAGATTCGTGCGTAAGTTGCTGGGGTTATGCTGTAATCTGAATGCGTAAGTCTTTCAACTAGATTATGTTTTAGTGCTGTTGGTTGGCCGGAATTCGAGCTTACATATACGAGGATGAATCAAATATAAACCGGAATTATTTTTTTACGCGCCGTGAGGTGAACGGAGAGGGGCGTAGCTTCTGAACGTTATAGGTAGGGATGCCTGAAGGAGATTCCCCCGTAGGAAACTTCACATTACCGCTTCTTTAATCGAGATCACGATGTCAAAGCAAGAGGTACCTTCATCCGTTGAGCAATGGATTATTATTAAATTTCAGACAGAGGGGATAAAATCGTCTGAAATTTTGAGAAGGCTTAAGACACAGTACGCGGGCAACACTCTTAAGAAAACTCAAGTATATGAATGGTATAAACAATTTATAGAAGGACGAGAAGCAGTTGAAAATAAAGGTCACCGACGTCGCCCGAGGACCAGCGTGACACTGAGGAGAATATTCGCATTATTGGCCGCCTTCTCGAGGATGACCGCTGATTAACGGTTGCTGAAATTGCTTCTAAGGTCGAGTCCCTCGTCTTCTCACTGAAGATGAGAAGCGGTAGCGTCTCGAGGTATGCAAACGGCTGTTGATACGCCACCAGGCTGAAGGAGAGGCTTTTTTGCACCGGATTGTTACCTGCGATGAAACTTAGGTGCACCATTACATCTCGGGATCTAAACAAGCCAGTATCGCTCGGCTCCTAGCTGGAAAGGTTCTTGTAACTGTATTTTTTTATTTCAAAAGAATTTTGCACATTGATTTTCTCCATGAACGTTGTACTATGGACGCCGTGTACTACTGCCAACTTTTGAACGAAATAAAACTTGCGTATATTTTTTACATCGGATCGGTCTGCTTCATGATCGGAAAAGACGTGAATTTCCAATCCGAGACGTTATCCTGTTTCACGACAATACCCGGCCCCACATAGCTGCCCAAACTCGACAAAAAATTGAGGATTTGTTCTGGACTACACTGATATACCCTCGCCATAGTCCGGACTTATCGCCTTACGACTATCATTTGTTTGGACCACTAAAAGAAACACTTGGAGGACAAAGATTTGACGACGATGTTGCTGTCGAAGCGTTCATGCGATTGGCTGGTATCACAACCCCCTTCATTTTATAATAGCAGGATTAAAAAACTACCTATTCGTTGGAAAAAATGTGTTTCTATGTCGGGAGATTATGTAGAAAAATAACTTTGTATGCTTGTATCTTTATGATGCTTCAATAAATTAAAAAAATATAATAATTGCAGTTTATATTTGATTCACCTTTGTATCAAGTTGTTCAGAGTTCCATATGATCAAAACATTGAAAAAAAGAAATCTTTCGCAAAAAGATCAAAAATTATCCTCAAAAATTACTTCTCAACTTCTACATGCATGAAATATAAATTTAGTTTAAAATCATTAAATATTTGTTCTTACAAAATACTTTGAAGTAAAGAAATATATCCAAAATATGTAAAATATGTAAAAATCTAAATATACAAAATTACACTTGTGATATATATTAAGGATACGTTCCAAAAACACATTATCGTTAACGCTTTCTATTTTTATCGCTGATTAGATATACTAATAATGATCGAATAACGTATTAGCATTAATCAATGTCACTCCTCGAATGTAGTCTCCATTAAAAATATCTAAAAAATATTCCGTACACTATTTTAACTACAAGTTACCGTAAAATCGCCGTTAAATCAATTCCTTAATACCGTAAAATCAACATTACACAATCACGAAAAAGGATGTGTCGAAAAAGTGAAATTGCATTGCGTCATATTAATTTATGATAATTTATTGCCAGTGAAAAAAATGGTCAAAGTATTTTATAAGTCTGCTTCATGATAAGCGTTATCTGTTTTTTAGACATACTCCTTTATTTTAATGTACTTTGCTTTGAATATGTATTTTCTCGCTTCTGACGTCATAAATTAAAATAGCTGTGGTGAGTCTTTAAAATGTCTTCGAACAATTTCGGTTTTTCGAGCAAATTAATCTTTTGCGCTCGAGATGTGACTCTCAGCCGCCCTTTTGACTTCGTGCAGCAGTTTGGATAGCGAGTGAAAGGCGACAATGACTTCAAAAAGTTCATGCAATCAACATAAACAGTCATTATCGACTCTCACTCGCTATTCGAGCTGCTGCACTAAACCAAGGCGCTATTGAAAGTCGCTTTTCAAGCGCATAAGGTTAACAAACAAAAATTTTAAACATTTATTTTGTGCAAATATTCGAATACGTTATCCCCTTAATGTTTAATGTTAACACTTTGCCGGCCGCTTACTTCTCGCATCGCCTTTACGTTGCCGCCGGCGAATTTCTACTGCTCGCCGACGGTGATATTAAAGAATGTCAAGAAAAGACAATCGGGATAGTTAAAACAGAAACATAGTGGAAACATTGTTGCCGCGCTGAACCGAAGTCACGCGTACGTGACAGCGGCCGGTAAAGTGTTAAAATTGAAATCATGCTTGTCGCACAGTGAATTGGTCTTGTGCATCAAGATTATAGCAGAGCACGTTCTGGCATTTGCTTTCTTCATGGTCCGCGTGTTCTCTACATACGTTGCATTGAAGGTTGTATTATTCAGTGTTTCGATCAGCCAGTGACGTATAGAGTCGCAAGTTGTAGCTGTGTGATATATACTTAATGTGTTCGTATGTCCGTAGGCAATAACGTTTCTCGCATACGCTCGGTTAGCATCATCGTCTTAGAGGGGGAAATAAGTGTCGATCATGTTTCCATGTGTACGTCAGTTGGTTCTCCGCTCCATGCAACGAAAGTCGACCGCGACGTTCAAATTCCACTCCAGCGCGACTCGACTCCATCAATGTACAGGACCTTTGACTCAATTTACAGACGATGAGCTGATGACGAAGGAAGCAGTCGCCAAGCTGGCTAGAGAGGAGATCGCACCGTTGGTGCGAAAGATGGAGAAGGACGGCAAAATAGACGACGGTCTGCTTGCGAAGTTCTTCGAGAACGGCCTGATGGGCATCGAGATCCCGACCGAATACGGCGGCACAGGAAGCAACTTCATGAGCACAATCTTGACGATCGAAGAGATCTCCAAGGTGGACGCGGCCATGGCGATCTCCATCGACATTCAAAATACCTTAATCAACTCGCTGATCCTCAAGATAGGCTCCGAGGAACAGAAACGGAAGTACCTGTCCGCCTTGGCGCAGAATACAGTTGGCAGTTTCTGCCTGTCGGAATCGCAATCCGGGTCGGACGCCTTCGCGATGAAGACACAAGCGCGGAAAGACGGTAGCGAGTATGTGATCAACGGCTCGAAGATGTGGATCTCCAACTCGGACATCGCAGGAGTGTTTCTGCTGTTTGCCAACGCGAACCCCAGCGCCGGTTACCGCGGCATCACGACCTTCCTCGTGGAGCGAGACACGCCGGGTTTGACTATTGCCAAGCCCGAGGATAAACTGGGTTTGCAGGCGTCAGGCACCTGCATGCTTCACTTTGACAACGTCCGGATACCGGAGGAAAATTTACTGGGCGAGTTTGGTTGCGGATACAAGTACGCAGCTGGATTCCTGAACGAGGGTAGAATCGGCATCGCGGCGCAGATGATCGGTATCGCGCAGGGATGCTTGGACGCGACTATACCATATACGCTGGAGAGGAAACAGTTCGGGCAGGAGATCTTTTCTTTTCAAGCGCTGCAGCATGAAGTCGCGCAGATGGTGACAGACGTGGAGTGCGCTCGACTGATGGTCTACAACGCGGCGAGACTTGTGGAGGCCAAAAAGGATATTATGAAGGAAGCGTCCATGGCAAAATTGGTCGCGTCTGAGACCACGTGCCGTGTTACTGCCAAGTGCATAGATTTGATGGGGGGAGTCGGTTTCACGAAGGACTTACCGCAGGAGAAGTATTTCAGAGACTCGAAAGCCGGCACCATTTATGAGGGCACGAGCAATATACAGTTGTCGACGATCGCGAAGTGCATTCGCAAGGAATATTCTTGATAAACGAGTACTGTGATCGCGAAAATTGGAAATTCATACGCGGTTTTATGCATATGTAATGTTGCTTCTTCTTTTTCTATTATAAGACTGATACGAATATAAAAAGACGGATATTCCGTGAGAATTTATGTATCATATATGTATATTATTTTATGGAATATTGATGATTGTGATTGTATATCGTGATAACGAAATACATTTATTATGTATTGACAGACTGATTTTATGATAGCGGTTTTAATTCATAATAATCTTGTGTACTTTTCGATTTCGGGAAATGCGAAATTCTACTGAATGAATAGAGAATATACAAGTAATTTTAGTGACTCGTGTGCTTTTAAGAAGTGATAAATATAAAATTTCGTATTATTTTTATGAGTACATCGATTAATTTCTAATCCCTGCTTTGTCAATAATTTTCTTGTTTTCGGAAATTAGAAGATTGTGAACAGATCATTGTTATTGTGTATGTGCGCACGTACACACATGCATACATTTTTTGTAAAAAATGTGTAGATTTTGTACGCGATTGACCGATAACCCAAACTCTCATATTCGCTCGTTTATCTGTTGAACGTGTATTTCGTGATCGCATTTATATACTATTGTCCGACGGCATGTGTTGCAAATAATCACTAAATAGTGAATGATAGAATATGGATTTATCTTGTATATCATCAAATTATAAAATAAAGAGATAATGTTTGATGCGTGCGATTATCTAAGAATTTTAAACTCTGTATTTACAGAAGATGACAAACCGATATTATAAGCAAAGTATATATTGCAATATAGCAATATAATATTTCACAAATTTGAATGGATTAGTGAAAAAAACGCGCGAGATTCATTTCAGTGTCATGCATATACACTATTCCTTCTTACAAATTTTTTTTATTATATATTTTATTCCTAAATATTCCTAAAAATATTCCTAAAAATATTTCTTTATTACAGGTTTATTACAAGTCATCGATCAATGCGTGATCATTTTTGCTCTGGAAATATAAAGTATTCGTTTTGTTTTATACCGCCTCACTTTTTCTTCTCTGAATTTTTCTTTTCCTTGTCAGTTATCTTGCACAAACTTCAATAAGCATGCAAATGAAAAAAATGTTTTATTTTGAATTACTGATAAAAATTGTTTAGTTATCGGTATTTCAATTACGCAACTGTTGTGTTAATAAATGTCACAAACATTGATATTTATATTCATAATTAGAATCCCCAAATTTTTTATTAATGGGACTATAAGGATTAAATTTATTTTTTATTAATACAACAGTTATTTATTGTAATTTGTAATTGATAAAACCGATGAATAGACAATTTCTTTTAGTAATTCAAAATAAGACTTAAACATGTTTTAAAATACTGCAACTCAACAAGATAAAAAAAACATCCAGATAAATATTCCCCAATTTTATCAGCACTATTTAAACCGACGTAGATGTGTATGGTGATTATTTGCTTCTTCCTCGCGTGAAGGAAAGGAAAAAAGAAAGACAAGAAATAGAACTTGCACTTGCACAATGGACAACGTACAGGACAAAACCGTACTGATCACCGGTGGAGTCGGCGGTCTGGGCAGCGAATTTGTCAAGATAGTGCTGGAGAACGGCGCAAAAAAGGTCGCCATCGTGGACTTGCCAACATCGCAGAATCGGGCGAAAGTAGCTGAGTTCGAGAGCAAATACGGTAAAAGTCGCGCCGGTTTTTTCCCCTGCGACATAACGAAGGTCAAGGAGTACGAGGAGACGTTCAAGAAGATTGTAGACGCGTTCGGCTACCTCGACATCCTCGTGAACAACGCCGGAATGGTGAACGACAATAAGCTGGAGCAGACGATCGACCTGAATATCACATCGCTGATACGCAGTACACTGTTGGCTATGGATTACATGGGGAAGCATATGGGCGGTAAAGGTGGTTTGATCATCAACATCGCGTCCGTAGCCGGCCTGAGCGCGAGCTACATAATACCAATCTACTCTGCCACGAAGCACGCAGTTGTCAGTTTCAGCCAGGCCGTGGCGTACTTCTATCACAACACTGGAGTACGCATTGTCACGTTATGTCCGGGATTCACGGCAACGTCGATCATCATCGGTTCGTTCGATAATGTAGTTTTAGATTTCGTCAAACCTGAGATCTCCGAAAAGTATGCGCCATTCGGGCTGGCACAGGCGAAGGACAATGTGTCGCGAGCGCTACTGCATCTTATACAGAACGCTGAAAATGGTACGGTCTGGGTAAGCGAAAACAACCAACCGCCGTACTCAGTGAACATGTGTCATTATTCCAAGCGAGCCGAGTAAAATGCCCGAGGAATAATACTTTCGTTATTCGGTGTTGGGCATTGAACAGTTTAAAGTCTTTATTGTCTATGATCGGCAAGTCATTAGTTAAAATTGATCAGCCGTGATATATATAACTGTATAATCGATGAAATCAAAAGATTTGTGGGAATATTATGTTATAATCTATTCGACATTAGTTTTAGTTGATTTAGTCAAACAGCATTTCGACTGGTCAAAGTTCAACACTGTTGTTGTTCACCACGTCGACCAACAACGTCACACATGTGTGATACATTGATTTGACAATCTTTTTCCATTGCATTCTGTAGCTCAGTAGTATATAAAGTCATAAAAAATGCTTTATTACGAAGCAAGAATCAAATCGCGCTCAGCGGGCGTATCTGAAGGTATCAGAAGAATTTTGGATTCTCGAGAATTCTATACTGTGATTGACTAAATCGCTTTTTCTTTTCTAATATCTATAAATGTTGTTGTGATATCATATATATATGAGACGACATGTTTGTCTATGTTTTGGGCAGATAACAAAAACATGTTTTTCTTAACTTAGGACTAATTGACCTAAGTCTATGGACTAATGGACCATCGAGAATTAAACATGAGGAGAAACGAATATTATCTGCAGCAAAGTTTTACGTAATCGGTGTAACATTGCCATATCATGATGGATACGCAACAGATTGTTGAAAATAAAATGATAAAACACAGAAGATCTCTTTTCTTGTGTATTACTATAAGTTAATACAAAATAAAATAATATTAAAGGAATATATTCTTTCACTGTCTTTTCTCTTACTTTCGTATATATTTCGATATGCGTTAAATATAGATATGTAAGTCTGTCCTACGTATTATATTTACATGATCTGAGTCTTACTGAATATACTTATTCTTATATACTAATTACTGAATATACTTTGTTCTATTTTACAGTCTGATTTAATACGAATTTACTCATTTCTCGATTTTTTCGAGAAATGCATTGTGTACTGTTAATACAACACATACATTATCCTTTTCTACAAATATTTTTTTATTTTATCTGTTGCGTAATTGATAGAACTGATGAATAAACAATTTCTTTTAATAATTCAAAATAAGACAGAAACATGTTTTAAAATATTGTAACTCAACAAGATAAGAACATCCAGATAAGTATTCACGAATTTTATCAACAGTATTTAAACCGACGTAGATAAGTATGGTGATTATTCGATTCTTCCTCGCGCGGAGGAAAGAAAGAAAGACAAGAAATAGGACTTGCACTTGCACAATGGACAACGTACAGGACAAAACCGTGATGATCACCGGTGGAGCCGGCGGTCTGGGCAGCGAATTCGTCAAGATAGTACTGAAGAACGGCGCGAAAAAAGTCGCCATCGTGGACTTGCCAACATCGCAGAATCGGGCGAAGGTAGCTGAGTTCGAGAGGAAATACGGTAAAAGTCGCGTCGCCTTTTTCCCCTGCGACATAACGAAGGTCAAGGAGTACGAGGAGACGTTCAAGAAGATCGTAGACGCGTTCGGCTATCTCGACATCCTCGTGAACAACGCCGGAATGGCGAACGACAATAAGCTGGAGCAGACGATCGACCTGAATATCACATCGCTGATACGCAGTACACTGTTGGCTATAGATTACATGGGGAAACACAAAGGCGATAAAGGTGGCTTGGTCGTCAACATCTCGTCCATAGCTGGCCTGACCTCGCAGAACTGCATGTTTCCAGTCTACTCTGCCACGAAGCACGCAATTGTCGGCTTCAGCCAGTCTCTGGCGAACTTCTATCACGACACTGGAGTACGCATCGTCACGTTATGTCCGGGGTTTACGGAAACGCCGATGGCCAACGATTTGCTCGAGAATGTTATCTTGGGCTGTGTCAAACTTGAGACCTGCGAGAAGCTCTTGGCGATAAGCAAACAGCATCAGATGCCTGACAACGTATCGCGCGCGTTATTGCATATCATACAAAACGCTGAAAACGGTACTGTCTGGGTAAGCGAAAATGGCCAACCGCCGTACTCAGTGAAAATGTGTCATTATTCCAAGCATGCCGAGTAAAATGCACAGGGGTTAACCTCGGAAATATTATTACGTGTGTAACGGGGAAATACTTTCGTCATTCGGTGTTGGACATTTCGACGTTGGGTCAAGCAATTTGAAATTTTTATTGTCTATAGTCGGCAAAGCATTAGTGAAAATTGATCAGTTGTCATATATGTGATTGTATAATAAATGAAATCAAAAGAGCTGTGAAAGTTCTGTGGGATTATATTATAATTTATCCGTCGTTAGTTTTAGTTATTTTAGTCAAACAACATTTGTTCGGTGAAAGTTCAGTATTGTTGTTCATCACGTTGGTCGACAGCGTCACATATGTGATACATTGATCTGACGATGTTTTGTCGCTGCATTCTGTAGCTCAGTAGTGTGTAAAACTATATAGAATGCTTTATTATGGGCAGATAACGCATAAATCAAATCGCGCAAGCGGGCAGATCTGAAGGTATAAGAAGAATTTTATATTCCCGAGAATTCTATACTGTGATTCGCTTTTTTATGTTTCTTTTCTTACGTCTATAAATTATTATTAATATATTATTGTCATACCGTTCTAGACGATGTCTTTGGCTATGTGTTGAATAGATAGGAGAAACATGTTTTTCTTAACTTAGAACTAATGGTCTATCGAAAACCTATCGTGAAGAGAAACGAATATAATTTACGGCAAAGTTTTATGTCATCTGTGTAACATTGTCATAGCTTGATGAATATGCAATAGCTTGTTGAAAATAAAATGATAAAACACAGATGTTCTCTTTTCTTATATATTACTATAAGTTAATACAGAATAAAATAATATGAAAGGAATATATTCTTTCCCTTCCTTTCCTCTTACTTTCGTATATATTTCGATATGCGTTAAATATAGATACACAAGCATGTAAGATGCAGTAGCGCACGCGACACATTGTCCTTCGCCTGTGCCGGCCCGAATGGCGCGTACTTTTCGGAGATCTTAGGTTTGACGAAATCTAAGACTACATTATCCAACGAACTGATGACGATCGACGTTGCCGTGAATCCCGGACATAACGTGACAATGCGTACTCCAGTGTTGTGATAGCAGTACGCCACGGTCTGGCTCAAACCGACAACTGCGTGCTTCGTGGCAGAGCAGATTGGTACTATGTAGCTCGCGCTCAGGCCGGCTACGGACGCGATGTTGATGATCAAACCACCTTTACCTCCCTTGTGCTTCCCCATGTACTCTATAGCCAATAGTGAGCTGCGTATCAGCAATGTGGTATTCAGGTCGATCATCTGCTCCAGCTTATTGTCGTTCAGCTTCCCGGCGTTGTTCACGAGGATGTCGAAGTAACCGAACGCGTCTACGATCTTCTTGAACGTCTCCTCGTACTCCTTCACCTTCGTTATGTCGCAGGAAAAAAGACGACGCGACTTTTACCGTATTTGCTCTCGAACTCGGCAATTTTCGCTCGAACCTGCGACGTTGGCAAGTCCACAACGGCGACTTTTTTCGCACTATTCTCCAGTACTATCTTGATGAATTCGCTGCCCAGACCGCCGGCTCCACCGGTGATCATCACGGTTTTGTCCTGTACATTGTCCATTGTGCGAATACAAGTTATACTTCTTGTCTTCCTTTCTTGTGAACTTCGCACGAAAAAAGAACAAATAATCGTGATGCCTTTAACTACGTCGGTTTAAATACTGCTGATAAACGTATCAAGAGATTTTTATCTTGTTCACTTTATGTTGTATTAAATCATGTTTACGTTTTATTTCAAACTCATTGATACTTATAACTATGATTAGAATCGCGTAATATATTTTTTATTAGCACAGTAGTTGCATAATTAATAAAACCGATGAATAAATGAATAATTTCTATTAGAAATTTCAAATAACACATAAACATTTACTGTATTTGCATGCTTATCAAAGCTAGTGCAAGATAACTAAAGATAAAGATAGAAAAGGAAAGTTGAAGGAAGAAAAAGTAGTGTGATGTAAAACAAAAAGAATACTTGGTATTTCCAGAAATAATTTATCATTCATTGATCGGTGAAACATCAGTAAAGAAATATCTGTAGGAATAAAAGATATAATAAAAAAATATTTGTATAGAGAGAACAGTGTATTTGTTGTGTCAACAGTCTACAATGTATTTCTCGAAAAAATTGAAGAACGGGTAAATTTTTATTAAATCACATTATGAAATAGAACCAAGTGTATTCAGTATTAAGATTCGGAGCACGTAAATATAATATGTAGGAAAGACTTACATATCTATATTTACACATATCGGAATATATGCGAAAGTAAAAGAAAAGAAAATGAAAGAATATTATTAAATATTATTTATTTAATATTATTTTATTTTTTATTAGCTTACAGTAATATACAAAAAAGAGAACTTCTGTGTTTTATCATTTTATTTTCAACAAGCTATTGCATATTCATCAAGCTATGACAATGTTACACAGATGACATAAAACTTTGCCGTAAATTATATTCGTTTCTCTTCCCGATAGGTTTTCGATAGTCCATTAGTTCTAAGTTAAGAAAAACATGTTTCTCCTATCTATTCAACACATAGCCAAAGACATCGTTTAGAACGGTATGACAATAAGATTTATAGACGTAAGAAAAGAAACATAAAAAAGCGAATCACAGTATAGAATTCTCGGGAATACAAAATTCTTCTGATACCTTCAGATCTGCCCGCTTGCGCGATTTGATTTATGCGTTATCTGCCCATAATAAAGCATTCTATATAGTTTTACACACTACTGAGCTACAGAATGCAGCGACAAAACATCGTCAGATCAATGTATCACATATGTGACGCTGTCGACCAATGTGATGAACAACAATACTGAACTTTCACCGAACAAATGTTGTTTGACTAAAATAACTAAAACTAACGTCGGATAAATTATAATATAATCCCACAGAACTTTCACAGCTCTTTTGATTTCATTTATTATACAATCACATATGACAACTGATCAATTTTCACTAATGCTTTGCCGACTATAGACAATAAAAATTTCAAATTGCTTGACCCAACGTCGAAATGTCCAACACCGAATGACGAAAGTATTTCCCCGTTACACACGTAATAATATTTCCGAGGTTAACCCCCGTGCATTTTACTCGGCATGCTTGGAATAATGACACATTTTCACTGAGTACGGCGGTTGGCCATTTTCGCTTACCCAGACAGTACCGTTTTCAGCGTTTTGTATGATATGCAATAACGCGCGCGATACGTTGTCAGGCATCTGCTGCTGTTTGAATGTCGCCAAGAACTTCTCGCAGGTCTCAAGTTTGACGCAACTCAAGATAACATTCTCGAGCAAACCGTTGGTCATCGGCGTTGCCGTAAACCCCGGACATAACGTGACGATACGTACTCCAGTGTCGTGATAGAAGTTCGCCAGGGACTGGCTGAAGCCGACAACTGCGTGCTTCGTGCCGCAGTAGATTGGTACCACGCAGTTCTGCGCGCTCAAGCCGAATATAGACGAGATGTTGACGATCAAGCCACCTTTATCACCCTTGTGCTTCCCCATGTAATCTATAGCCAACAGTGTACTGTGTATCAGCGATGTGATATTCAGGTCGATCATCTGCTCCAGCTTATTGTCGTTCGCTATTCCGGCGTTGTTCACGAGGATGTCGAGGTAGCCGAACGCGTCTACAATCTTCTTGAACGTTTCCTCGTACTCCTTGACCTTCGTTATATCGCAGGGGAAAAAGCCGACGTGACTTTTACTATATTTGCTCTCGAACTCAGCTATCTTCGCCCGATTCTGCGATGTTGGCAAGTCCACGATGGCTACCTTTTTCGCGCCGTTCTCCAGTACTATCTTGACGAATTCGCTGCCCAGACCGCCGGCTCCACCGGTGATCATCACGGTTTTGTCCTGTACGTTGTCCATTGCGCAAGTGCAAGTCCTATTTCTTGTCTTTCTTTTTTCCTTTCCTTCACGCGAGGAAGAAGCAAATAATCACCATACACATCTACGTCGGTTTAAATAGTGCTGATAAAATTGGGGAATATTTATCTGGATGTTTTTTTTTATCTTGTTGAGTTGCAGTATTTTAAAACATGTTTAAGTCTTATTTTGAATTACTAAAAGAAATTGTTTATTCACCAGTTCTATCAATTACGCAACAGATAAAATAAAAAAATATTTGTAGAAAAGGATAATGTATGTGTTGTATTAACAGTACACAATGCATTTCTCGAAAAAATCGAGAAATGAGTAAATTCGTATTAAATCAGACTGTAAAATAGAACAAAGTATATTCAGTAATAAGACTCAGATCATGTAAATATAATACGTAGGATAGACTTACATATCTATATTTAACGCATATCGAAATATATACGAAAGTAAGAGAAAAGACAGTGAAAGAATATATTCCTTTAATATTATTTTATTTTGTATTAACTTATAGTAATACACAAGAAAAGAGATCTTCTGTGTTTTATCATTTTATTTTCAACAATCTGTTGCGTATCCATCATGATATGACAATGTTACACCGATTACATAAAACTTTGCTGCAGATAATATTCGTTTCTCCTCATGTGTAATTCTCGATGGTCCATTAGTCCATAGACTTAGGTCAATTAGTCCTAAGTTAAGAAAAACATGTTTTTGTTATCTGCCCAAAACATAGACAAACATGTCGTCTCATATATATATGATATCACAACAACATTTATAGATATTAGAAAAGAAAAAGCGATTTAGTCAATCACAGTATAGAATTCTCGAGAATCCAAAATTCTTCTGATACCTTCAGATACGCCCGCTGAGCGCGATTTGATTTATGTGTTCTTGCTTCGTAATAAAGCATTTTTTATAACTTTATATACTACTGACCTACAGAATGCAATGGAAAAAGATTGTCAAATCAATGTATCACACATGTGTGACGTTGTTGGTCGACGTGGTGAACAACAACAGTGTTGAACTTTGACCAATCGAAATGCTGTTTGACTAAATTAACTAAAACTAACGTCGAATAAATTATAACATAATATTCCCACAAATCTTTTGATTTCATCGATTATACAGTTATATATATCACGGCTGATCAATTTTAACTAATGATTTGCCGATCATAGACAATAAAGACTTTAAATCGCTTGACTCAACATCGAGATGCCCAACACCGAATAATAAAACCGAATATTTCCCCGTCATACACGTAACAGTATTTCGGAGGTTACTCCCGCACATTTCCCCTGGCTTGATTGGAATCATGCCACATTGAGTGGTCCTCATGGTTCACTGAATTCACGGCGGTTTGCCATCGTTGATTATCCAGACCGTACAGTTTTCAGCGTTCTGTATGAGATGCGCGCGACACATCGGCGGCCGTCTGTTGTCCTGCGGCGCGATTCTTTAACTCGTTATTGGAGTTAACGAAACTGTCGTTAACTCCAATAACGAGTTAAAGAATCGCATCACTGGTCCTAATGCCGTGTACTTTTCGGAGGTCTTGGGATTGACGAAGTCCAAGAGTACATTCTCGAGCGGACCGATAATCAACGACGTCGTCGTGACCCCCGGACATAACGTGACGATGCGTGATTGTGTTGTGATTCGGTGTTGTGACAGAAATTCGCCGCGGACTGGATGAAGGCGAGAACTGCGTGCTTCGTGGCGCAGTAAATTGGAGTTATGATATCCTGCGTGAGCAGACGACAGCTAAGGACGAGATGTTGATGATCGTCGATGACCACCTTTACCGCCTTTGTGTTTCCCCATGTAATCCATAGCTAGCAATGAGCTGCGAATCAGCGATGTGATATCCAGCTCGATCATCTTATTGCTCCAGCTTGTTGTCGTCCAGCATCCCAGCGTTGTTCACGAGGGTGTCGAGATAGTCGAATGAGTCTACGATCTTCTTGAACGTCTGCTCGTACTCCTTGACCTTCGTTATGTCGCAGGCGAAAAAGGCGATACGGTTTTTACCATATTTGTTCTCGAATTCGGCAACTTTTTCCCGAACCTGTGGCATTGGCAAGTCCACAACAGCAACTTTTCTCGCGCCGTGCTCCAGTATTATCTTGACGAATTCGCTGCCCAGACCGCCGGCTCCACCGGTGATCATCACGGTTTTGTCCTGTACATTGTCCATTGTGCGAATACAAGTTATACTTCTTGTCTTCCTTTCTTGTGGACTTCGCACGAAAAAAGAACAAATAATCGTGATGCATTTCGATTGGTCAAAGTTCAACACTGTTGTTATTCACCACGTCGATCAACAACGTCACACATGTGTGATACATTGATTTGACAATCCTTTTCCATTGCATTCTGTAGATCAGTAGTATATAAAGTTATAAAAAATGCTTTATTACGAAGCAAGAACGCATAAATCACATCGCGCTCAGCGGGCGTATCTGAAGGTTTCAGAAGAATTTTGGATTCTCGAGAATTCTATACTGTGATTGACTAAATCGCTTTTTCTTTTCTAATATCTATAAATGTTGTTGTGATATCATATATATATGAGACCACATGTTTGTCTATGTTTTGGGCAGATAACAAAAACATGTTTTTCTTAACTTAGGACTAATTGACCATCGAGAATTAAACATGAGGAGAAACGAATATTATCTGCAGCAAAGTTTTATGTAATCGGTGTAACATTGTCATATCATGATGGATACGCAACAGATTGTTGAAAATAAAATGATAAAACACAGAAGATCTCTTTTCTTGTGTATTACTATAAGTTAATACAAAATAAAATAATATTAAAGGAATATATTCTTTCACTGTCTTTTCTCTTACTTTCGTATATATTTCGATATGCGTTAAATATAGATATAGTAATACTTTCCTACATATTATATTTACATGATCTGAGTCTTATTACTGAATATACTTTGTTCTATTTTACAATCTGATTTAATACGAATTTACTCATTTCTCGATTTTTTCGAGAAATGCATTGTATACTGTTAATACAACACATACATTATTCTTTTCTACAAATATTTTTTTATTTTATCTGTTGCGTAATTGATAGAACTGATGAATAAACAATTTCTTTTAATAATTCAAAATAACACAGAAACATGTTTTAAAATATTGTAACTCAACAAGATAAAAACATCCAGATAAGTATTCACGAATTTTACCAACAGTATTTAAACCGACAAAGATAAGTATGGTGATTATTCGATTCTTCCTCGCGCGGAGGAAAGAAAGAAAGACAAGAAATAGGACTTGCACTTGCACAATGGACAACGTACAGGACAAAACCGTGATGATCACCGGTGGAGCCGGCGGTCTGGGCAGCGAATTCGTCAAGATAGTACTGAAGAACGGCGCGAAAAAAGTCGCCATCGTGGACTTGCCAACATCGCAGAATCGGGCGAAGTTAGCTGAGTTCGAGAGGAAATACGGTAAAAGTCGCGTCGCCTTTTTCTCCTGCGACATAACGAAGGTCAAGGAGTACGAGGAGACGTTCAAGAAGATCGTAGACGCGTTCGGCTACCTCGACATCCTCGTGAACAACGCCGGGATTCTGAACGACAATAAGCTGGAGCAGACGATCGACCTGAATATCACATCGCTGATACGCAGTACACTGTTGGCTATAGATTACATGGGGAAACACAAGGGCGATAAAGGTGGCTTGGTCGTCAACATCTCGTCCATAGCTGGCCTGACCTCGCAGAACTGCATGTTTCCAGTCTACTCTGCCACGAAGCACGCAATTGTCGGCTTCAGCCAGTCTCTGGCGAACTTCTATCACGACACTGGAGTACGCATCGTCACGTTATGTCCGGGGTTTACGGAAACGCCTTTGGCCAACGATTTGCTCGAGAATGTTATCTTGGGCTGCGTCAAACTTGAGACCTGCGAGAAGCTCTTGGCGACATTCAAACAGCATCAGATGCCTGACAACGTATCGCGCGCGTTATTGCATATCATACAAAACGCTGAAAACGGTACTGTCTGGGTAAGCGAAAATGGCCAACCGCCGTACTCAGTGAAAATGTGTCATTATTCCAAGCATGCCGAGTGAAATGCACGGGGGTTAACCTCGGAAATATTATTACGTGTGTAACGGGGAAATACTTTCGTCATTCGGTGTTGGACATTTCGACGTTGGGTCAAGCAATTTGAAATTTTTATTGTCTATAGTCGGCAAAGCATTAGTGAAAATTGATCAGTTGTCATATATGTGATTGTATAATAAATGAAATCAAAAGAGCTGTGAAAGTTCTGTGGGATTATATTATAATTTATCCGACGTTAGTTTTAGTTATTTTAGTCAAACAACATTTGTTCGGTGAAAGTTCAGTATTGTTGTTCATCACGTTGGTCGACAGCGTCACATATGTGATACATTGATCTGACGATGTTTTGTCGTTGCATTCTGTAGCTCAGTAGTGTGTAAAACTATATAGAATGCTTTATTATGGGCAGATAACGCATAAATCAAATCGCGCAAGCGGGCAGATCTGAAGGTATCAGAAGAATTTTGTATTCCCGAGAACTCTATACTGTGATTCGCTTTTTTATGTTTCTTTTCTTACGTCTATAAATCTTATTGTCATACCGTTCTAGACGATGTCTTTGGCTATGTGTTGAATAGATAGGAGAAACATGTTTTTCTTAACTTAGAACTAATGGACTATCGAAAACCTATCGTGAAGAGAAACGAATATAATTTACGGCAAAGTTTTATGTCATCTGTGTAACATTGTCATAGCTTGATGAATATGCAATAGCTTGTTGAAAATAAAATGATAAAACACAGATGTTCTCTTTTCTTATATATTACTATAAGTTAATACAGAATAAAATAATATGAAAGGAATATATTCTTTCCCTTCCTTTTCTCTTACTTTCGTATATATTTCGATATGCGTTAAATATAGATATATAAGTCTCTCCTATGTATTATATTTACGTGATCTGAATCTTAATACTGAATACAGTTTGTTCTATATGACAATGTAATTTAATAAATATTTACTCGTTCTTCAATTTTTTTGAGAAGTGCATTGTAGACTATTGATACAACAAATATACTATTCTTTACTCTCTACAAATATTTTTGTATTATATCTTTTATTCCTACAGATATTTCTTTACTCATATTTCACCGATCAATGAATGATAAATTACTTCTGGAAATATCAAGTATTCGTTTTGTTTTACATAGCACCATTTTTTCTTCCTCCAAGTTTTCTTTTCTATCTTTAGTTATCTTGCACAAACTTTGATAAGCATACAAATGTTGACAAGCAGAAAATGTTTATGTCTTACTTTGAATTGTTAAGAAAAATTGTTTATTTGCCGGTTTATGAATTACGCAGCTGTTTCTGTGCATTATTATTTATATCCGTGATTAGAATCTCAAAATATATTTTTTATTAGCATAACAGTTGCGACGATGACCGATGAAAAAATAACTTCTATTAATAATTCAAAATAAGACGTAAACACGTTTAGAATATTACAAGATAGACAAAGTATTCTGATTTCTATAATAATTCTATTAGCTGCATTTAAGCCGACGTGGATAAATGCACCACGATTATTCGATTCTTCGCGCGAGGTTCACAATAAAGGAAAATAAGCAATAGAACTTGTACTTGCACAATGGACAATATACAAAACAAAACTGTAATGATCATCGGTGGAGCCGACGCGGCGGTTTGGGCAGCGAATTCGTCAAGATAATACTGGAGAACGGCGCGAGAAATGTTGCCGTTGTGGACTTGTCAACGCCGCAGGTTCGGGCAAAAGTTGCCGAATTCGAGAACAAATATGGTAAAAACCGTGTCGCCTTTTTCGCCTGCGACATAACGAAGGTCAAGGAGTACGAACAGACGTTCAAGAAGATCGCAGACTCATTCGGCTATCTCGACACCCTCGTGAACAATGCTGGGGTGCTGGACGACAACAAGCTAGAGCAACAAGATGATCGAGCTGAATATCACATCGCTGATTCGCAGCTCATTGCTAGCTATGGATTACATGGGGAAGCACAAGGGCGGTAAAGGTGATCATCGACGATCATCAACATCTTGTCCTTAGCTGTCGTCTGCTCACGCAGGATATCATAACTCCAATTTACTGCGCCACGAAGTACGCAGTTCTCGCCTTCAGCCAGTCCGCGGCGAATTTCTGTCACAACACCGGATCACAACACAATCACGCATCGTCACGTTATGTCCGGGGGTCACGACGACGTCGTTGATTATCGGTCCGCTCGAGAATGTACTCTTGGACTTCGTCAAACCCAAGACCTCCGAAAAGTACACGGCATTAGGACCAGTGATGCGATTCTTTAACTCGTTATTGGAGTTAACGACAGTTTAATACTGGAGAACGGCGCGTCGCGTTTTCGTTAACTCCAATAACGAGTTAAAGAATCGCACCGTAGGACAACAGACGGCCGCCGATGTGTCGCGCGCATCTCATACAGAACGCTGAAAACTGTACGGTCTGGATAATCAACGATGGCAAACCTCCGTGAATTCAGTGAACCATGAGGACCACTCAATGTGGCATGATTCCAATCAAGCCAGGGGAAATGTGCGGGAATAACCTCCGAACTGTTACGTGTATGACGGGGAAATATTCGGTTTTATTATTCGGTGTTGGGCATCTCGATGTTGAGTCAAGCGATTTAAAGTCTTTATTGTCTATGATCGGCAAATCATTAGTTAAAATTGATCAGCCGTGATATATATAACTGTATAATCGATGAAATCAAAAGATTTGTGGGAATATTATGTTATAATCTATTCGACGTTAGTTTTAGTTAATTTAGTCAAACAGCATTTCGACTGGTCAAAGTTCAACACTGTTGTTGTTCACTACATCGACCAACAACGTCACACATGTGTGATACATTGATTTGACAATCTTTTTCCATTGCATTCTGTAGCTCAGTAGTATATAAAGTTATAAAAAATGCTTTATTACGAAGCAAGAACGCATAAATCAAATCGCGCTCAGCGGGCGCATCTGAAGGTATCAGAAGAATTTTGGATTCTCGAGAATTCTATACTGTGATTGACTAAATCGCTTTTTCTTTTCTAATATCTATAAATGTTGTTGTGATATCATATATATATGAGACAACATGTTTGTCTATGTTTTGGG